GAGCACTGCTGGGTGTACCCCAAAAAAAAACCAAAGCAAAAATTGGGGAGACAAAATCTGATGGTCCCCTAAAAAAGTCTATTTTATTTTATGTTTGCTTTTTGGGTCACACCCAGCAGTGCACGGGGGGGTTACTTCTGACTCTGCACTTAGGAATTTCTCCTGGCGTTGCTCAGGGGACCATAAGGGTTGCTAAGGGTTGCTGGGAATCAAACCTGGGTAGGCCACGTGCAAGGCAAACACCCTACCTGCTGGACTATCGCTCTGGCCCGTAGGAAGTCTATTTTAAAGAGGAGGGAGCGAAGAGTCAAGATGACAGGGTGGAATATGACTTTAAAAGGATCTGACCGAGGGCCGGAGCAATAGTCCAGCAGGTAGGTTGTTTGCCTTGTATGCAGCCAATCAGGGTTCGATCCCCAGTATCCCATATGGCCCCCCAAGCAATGCCAGGAGTAATTCCTACGTGCAGAGCCAGGAATAACCCCGGAGCATTGCTTGCTGGGGTCAAAAAGCAAAAAATAAACTGATCTCACACTGTCTTGGGGACATTAAGGACGTTAATCTCTGGAGATAGTGGACAGACCACAGATATGTCCTCTGATAAAAAGGTAAAGGCCCTCCCGTTGATCGTCGATTTGCTCGAGCGGGCCCAGTAACGTCTCCATTGGAGACTTTGTTGTTACTGTGTCTGGCATATCGAATACTCTCGGTAGCTTGCCGGGCTCTCCGAGAGGGGCGGAGGAATCGAACTCGGGTCGGCCATGTTGGCCGCGTGTAAGGCGAACGCCCTAACCGCTGTGGATGTCCTCTGATAGTCTATTGGATTTTAATAGTCAATTAGTTTGTCCTTCCCCCCCCACCCCCCCATAAAATAAAACATTTAAGTGTCTTTGCCTTTTATTACAGAATTTTTGTTGTTTTGGGTTTGGGTCACACCTGGTGGTAATTAGGGCATATTTCTGACTCTGTGCTCAGGAACCATTTTTGGGGCTCGGGGGACCATGTGTGGTGCTGGGGTCAAACCAGCCTCAGGGCCTTGCATGCAAGGTCAGTGCCTTACCTGCTACACTCCCTTGTCCAGCTGATTTTGTCTTGGGGGGGAAACTGATATTAAAGGGTGTTTTTTCTATACATTTTAGTTCTGAGACAGTTTACAGAGAAGTTAAAATCAGAAATAAATGAGCCTTCAGAGCAGTGTGAATGTTCGTGCTCTCCTGGAAAGTGTAGAGCTGCCTCTCACCTTCCTTTCCTTCCTGAGGCTCCCTCAACAACCACTCCCCCTCCCCCCCCACCACACACACACACACACACACACACACACCGCACGCGCGCGCGCGCGCACACACACACACACACACACACACACTGCACGCGCGCGCGCGCGCACACACACACACACACACACACACACACACACACACACTGCTGACATTGCTCTCTGGCTCACCGTCCCCAGGTTCCGGCAGTGCTGCGAGGATGCGTACCTGATCCTGCGGCGGCATGGGAATCTCTTCATCACTCTCTTTGCACTGATGCTGACCGCGGGCCTCCCTGAGCTCACGTCTGTCAAGGATATCCAGTATCTGAAGGTACTTTCTCCCTCCTCTGCGTGTCCTGGCAGGCAGCCATATGACGTTGTCCGGTTGCAGCCGACATATATTTCATCCTCAAGAACATTCGGCAGCTGGTTCTTGTCCACCTAGAACTCATCCTTCCCCCTGTTGGCATGTGTGGGTGTCACTCCTAGCTCTGTGTGCAGGGGTTACTCCTGGCAGTGCTTGGGGGGACCAGGCGGTGCCAGGGGGATTGAACCGGCTTCAGCTGTTGAAGGGTTTAACCCTTGCGTTCTCCAGCCTGGCCCAGCTGCCCTTGGTCTTTGGCATTTGGGGCCACTGTGAAGCTGGACAAACCCCACTGTGTTTCTTTTTGTTAGGACTCCCTTGCCTTAGGAAAGAGTGAAGAGGAGGCACTCAAACAGTTCAAGCAGAAATTTGATGAGGCGCTCAGGGAAAGCTGGACTACGAAGGTGAACTGGATGGCGCACACCGTGCGGAAGGATTACCGCTCCTAACCTCGGCCCGGCCGCTGGCCACTCGCCCCGTCCATCCTGCTCTTGCACTAAGGCAACAGGACCCTGTCAGAGATGTTCAAAAGGGAAGGAAGTCCTGAAACTCAGTTCGGTTATGAACCAGGCATTCCGCAGAACCTGATCCGAACAACCCCGATGACCGCCCTCTGCTTTCTGTATGCTTCCAAGATTCATCATGAAACTCTCAACATTATGGATAATCATTTCCTGCTGACTTTGCACGCCAAGGAATGCTACTAAGATTGTTTTTTTTTGTTTTTTGTTTTGTGTCTCCTTCTTTTCTTCTTTAAAAAAAAAAAGTATTTGGTACTTTTTCCAGAAAGGTGTAAATACTTCATTTTAGTGTTGTGACTTAAGTGTTACCACTCAGCCAATTCACCCACACCTGGGGACTGATCTTACCTTACAAATGAAGCTTGAAAAGTTTTTTTCCCCCTCCCTTTTTAAATTGTGTAAACTACAAATTATAATATAATTTGAAATTATGATTATTTTTCAAAAGAAATCTCTTAAACCTGTGGAAACATTAATTATTTTGTTGTTATTTATCACCATAAGAGCATCATCCCAGTCAGACTTGCTGAAAATCTGCTGGCAAGGCAAATGATAACGATGCTGCATATATATTTACAGTGTTTCTTGTGGGAGTTCTGTATGGTAAGATGTTTCTTTGGTCTTCAGTCTGTGTTTTGAAGTTTTACAAAAAGCAGAGCTTTTTCTTCAGCAACTTTTTGGTTATATGATCCAGTTCTTCCAGATGCTTCGTAAGGAGGCACATACTAATACAGTTTTTACGTGGTGTCTGTGAAAGTGTTCACTTCACAGAGCATTATACTTGAGCAAATGCACACAAGGCCGAAAGCAAATGAAAAGGAGACTGTGGATTAAACTCCATAGCTGAGATTCAGTATTTTAGTAAAATGCCAGCTGTTCTTACTGTATTTATTAAAACTTGTAATAATGTGATTTTTCAAGGATCTTCGTTCAAATTGAAATAGTTTGTGGAATTCCTTAATTTATTTGTTGAGGTACCATATACTTCGGGTGCTCGCTGGCAAGCAATGTTAATATGTGCAATAGGAACTACTGGTTTGAATGTGCGAGTGACCGGCCACTCTGAGTCGAGGCACCCCCTCAGACCTTCTGCTTGTTCTCCAAAGAAGACTGGGGCGCTCGGCCCCGTGCCCCCGACTGGAAGCGAGACGAGGACCCGCCTCGTAATTGAGTTTGCTATGGGAGTTTCATGGAAGGTTGCTCCATTCTGTCATCTTCCTTCACGGTCTCAGGTCAGTGGCTGAGCTGTGTCAGCCGCTCTTGGCGTGTCGTCCCGGCTCCCAGAAACAGCCACGTTCACGGGCAGGTGCGGCTGAGCTCAGGTCCCCGCCGGCTCCTCCCTCCCCTCTTCCCAGCCTGCCCCCCAGCACGGGAGGCCTCTTGGGCTTTCGGAAGAGCGCAAGGTCAGGGGCTACCCCAGTCCATTTCCATCCGTTCGGGAAGCAGCTCAGGCCTGGGAGAATGTCCCTCCAGTACCTGGACTGTCGGAGGCACTCGCCTCTTCTCTGGCCCGATGCTCAGAGCACGCCCTTGTCTTAGAAACTCAGACTGGTGGGCCGGGCCTGCAGGTTCAGGGTGCGGGTTGGAGAATGGTGGCCTTCGTGATTGATGGCACGGCTCTTGTCGGGGGGTCCCCAGCTGGAAGGGGAAAGACATGAAGAGCAGGACAGGGAAGCTAGTGCCCTGACAGAGCTGGAAGAGGTGCGGAGCAGCTCAGGCCACCCTCAGAGGGTGCCAGGCCCGGACCACCGGTGCCCCGCTTGGCCGCCGCATCCTGCCTCCTAGCCTGAATCCACAGACACTCCCTGGCTGAGTTGCGTGTCTCCGAGACACAGCGGCTCTGGCTGAGCAGAGGAGCGTGGGGGGCAGAAGGCAGGTGGGGCTCCCAGGGGGCCGGGGTCTGGCTGCAGAACGAGGGTGTCTGCCAGGTCTGCCAGGTCAGGGCTCTGGTCAGCGGTGACTCTTGCCCCCAAGCGCTGGGTTTCCCAGTGTTCCCAGAACAAGACTTCCGAGAGCCACACACCCCCACTCCCGAGGACAGCCTCTGTGTGTGCCCAGGTGTGGAAAGGCAGAGAGGGGCTTGGACAAACAGGTTCTCCTGTCCGGGCAGACCAGGCCCGCCGAGGCCCCGACCCCACCCCAGCTTTGCCTGTCATGACCCCTGTGTAAGGTCTTTATTTCATTTCTCAGGGTTTGAGTTTCCTAATTTGTAAAATGGGACTGATAATAAACTTGATTTATATCCACGATGATTTGTCGTTCTATCCATGCGTCTGTGTCTAGATTTTTTCTTCTTTTTTTTTTTTTCTTTTTGGGTCATACCCGGCAATGCACAGGGGTACTCCTGGCTCTGCACTCAGGAATTACTCCTGGTGGTGCTCAGGGGACCATATGGGATTCTGGGAATTGAACCTGGGTCGGCTGCGTGCAAGGCAAACACCCTCCCAACTGTACTATCGCTCCAGCCCCTGTGTCTAGGTTTCTGAGTGATTTATGGGCTGGAGTGATAGCACAGCGGTAGGGCGTTTGCCTTGCATGCACCCAGCCCTGCCGAGCCGGGTTCGATTCCTCTGCCCCTCTCGAGAGCCTGGCAAGCTACTGACAGTATTCAATATGCCAAACACAGTAACAAGTCTCACAATGGAGACGTTACTGGGCTCACTCAAGCAAATCGTTGAACAACAGGAGGAGAGTGTTTGTTTGTTTGTTTATGGTTACATTAGTTGATTCCCGGGGGAGCCCTCGCATCCTTGAGCCATACGCCAGACACCCTCCTGTGGGGTCCCAGTGGTTTGAAATGAGACCTCTTTCCCGTGAGCGGGGGTCAGGCATAGGAAGCATATGTTTCTACAGACAGTTCATTTTATGCTGTTTATTCTAGTAAAAGTGCCTCTTAGTAAAACATTAGTGATTTGGGTTCATTTTCATTTCACTTTAGTAAACATTTTACATTATTTACAAAATAAATTGCAGTTTTTATGATTGTACATAATTTTTGGGGGGGGTACTCCCATTCCCCCTGGTTCTGGGAATGTTAACAGTTTCCGGTAACTAAAAAAATAAAATCCTGGCCGACTAAATGTGCTAAGATGTCAGTACCGAGCACGTTTAACTGCCACAGCCCTTGACAAGTCCTGATCTTGGCTTCCTCCGTTTAGGTCCAGTCACGTGGGCTCATTCCAGGAACTCGGGGATTTCTCTGTTGTCCACGAGCAGTGTGTGGATGATCCCTTCCCTCCTTTTCCCACTGCTCACAGCCTTGATGCAGCAGTCATGGCTCCCGATTCGGAAGTGCGTTTCCGTCCCGTCGTCTACAAACTCCCCCTAGGCCAGCAGAGGGGGAAGAAAGGAGTTAGTGTTTCAGAAACTCTGACCTCGCGTAGCAGCAGCACTGCATCACAGCACGAGAAGGGGCTTTGGAGCAGCACTCAACTCTGCAGAACCAGAGCTAGCGTGTGCCGTCAGGGGTTTCCATGCCAGCCAGGAAACAAGTGTCGCTCGGTTCCTCCACTCGGGAGAATCTGCAGCCGGGAAGGAAGCCTTGTGCGTCCAGCTCCAGACCAGCAGCTCTTTGTAGGGTAACCGTGGGCTGGCCCCGCAGTACTACTCCTGGAGTGTGGGCACTGCACCCCTTTTAAGATGGAGCTTCAGAAAGGCGCCCAGAGGTCAAATTTCTGTGCAGCAGAGCAGGGCAGGGCGAGGGCTGGGCCTGATGCAAACTGAGTGACATGTACTTCAAGGTCCCACAACCTCCTTCATTTGTTTATTATGGGGACCACACCCAGCGGTGCTCAGGAGTCACTCCCGGTGGGCTCAGGGGATGCTATGGGGCACTGGGCATCAAACCAGGGTTGGCCGCATGCCCTACCTCTTTCGTGAGTTGCAAACCTCCGTTTGTTCTGGAGACTTCCCTGAGGGTGGAGGGAGGAAGTGGAGTTTAAGTCTGGAGTCTGCCATCTAGAGGAGCCCCTGGAGAGGGCAAACAGCAAGGCCCAGTGTGGTTCTGGCCATTGCTAGGGACCATGGAATGGGAACAGGGAGTTACCAAAGGGACCCTAACCTGCAGATGCCTGCTCTGGAAACCTCTCGATAAAGCGGTTCCATGTCCAGGGGGGTGGTGTGGAAGGGGCGCCCCAGCAGCCCAGAGCGATTCTGAGTTGAACTGAGCTCTGGGCAAACTGCTCTTGGGGTCCCAAGAGAGCTGAAGAAGCTGCACCAGGGTCGATCCCCACAAACATGGTTCCCTGTGACAGCAGGAAGTGCCCAACCCCAGTGTGGCTCCCCAAAGAAGCAAACAAAAATGCCCTTCACACTAGGAAGAGAAAAACTGTGTGTGTGCGTGTGCGTGTGTGTGCGTGTGCATACGTGTGTGTGTGTTGATCCTGGCCCAGACCAGCATCTCCCACGGCCTCCACCAGTGACTGATGGGGTGGAGGGCAAAGGCTGCATCGTGACCAAGGGGAGAGTTCCCACCCTAACACACACACACACACACACACACACACACACACACACACACACACACACCAACTGGGCACTCCATTCTCTTGTCTCCTTCATTCCCGCACCCCGGGCACCCACTGCCAGGTCTATGGAGGTGCCCAGAGGGTCGGGCTGGGCAGCCTGAGTCAGGGCAACCTCCCGCTCTTAGGGCCTACAAGTTGCATTGTGGCTGTGCGCTTTGTTGTGTGCCATCTGGGCGCCCCACACTCGCCCAGCACCTTCCCTGCCCCTCCCCCCCAATACTTTGATTTCAGGGTCAGACCATTTGCCCTGAGCAGCTGGTGTGAAGCTTTCTTATTCACCGGTAGCCCGTGGGGATGATGGAGAAGGGGTCACGTCTGAGCACAGAGCCAAGAATGGCTTCTGGGCACCATGGAGTATGGCCCCCAAACAAACACAAAACAGTGTAGCCAGCAAGCACACATGTCGCTGGGCATCAGGGTGCCTGAAATAGCTGAGAGAGAGCCGCGTGTGAGCTGAGGGAGTGTCAGGCTTTCCACGAGGCTCTCAGGCAGGGGAAAACGGGCAGAGGCTAAGGGGGGTGGCGCAGACATGCAGACTTGGACGTGGTACCGGGTCTCTCTCCGGGCTTTAACCTCGAGCCCCTGGGTTACTTGAAACCTGCCAGTTTGGAAGCAGTGACCTTCTGGGGGCAGGAGAGGACCCGTGTGGTGCTGAGAGGGGCGGGAAGGCCACTTACTGCTGTCTCCATCTTTTTACCGTTGCTCCACACGTCCATTGTGTCCTTTTCTGAAAAAGCAACAAGTTTGGCACATTATACCGGGCCACGCTGGCCCTGGCTGTTGACCCCTGGCGGAGAAGCGGTGTTGCTGGCTTCCTACAAGGCCATCGGTTTTTCTAAAACTCAGTGCTAGTTGTGGCTTTGAAATTTTTCTAAATTTGTTTTTTGTTGGGGGGCCACACCCAGCTGTGCTAAGGATCCCTCCTGATGGTGCTCAAGGAACCGTATCCAGTGCCAGGGATCAACCCAGGCTCGGCCGTGTGCAAGGCCAGCGCCCAGGCCCTGCACCAGCTCTCCAGCTCCACGAAATTCTTCTCAATGTGACCACACGGGGTGCAGACTCTGCTCACGGAGTCCAAAGGGAACAGAGTCTTGGGAGAGAGGGCCCTGGTCCCCCTACGCTGCTCTCCTTGCTTTGCCCTCCTCCGAAAACTCAACCTCAGGGGGCGAGAGCGAGAGTACAGTGGTAGGGTGTTTGCCTTGCACGAGGCCAACCCGGGTTCAATCCCCGGCAAGCTCTTCCAGGAGTAATTCCTGAGTGCAGAGCCAATGAGTAACCCCGTGCATCGCTGGGTGTGACCCAAAAAGCCAAAAGAAAACAAAATAAAATTTAAAAAAACTAAAAAACTCTCAACTTCAGGCCGGTGTTTCTCCTTATATGCAGCCCAGGGGGCTGCACGTCTCTTTCCCAGCTTCTGGCTCGAGATGTTTTCAGAGGCTGACACTGAGCTCTTGTTTGCTCAGGGATCAGTTCCTGGGTGGGGCTGGGGTTCAAATCTGGGTCAGCTGCACACAAGACAAGCACCTAACCCTCTGGACTATCTCTCTGACCCCACCCCCAACCCCATTGTAAAATTTGTTCTGTTTGTAGTGATGGGCTCTTGTTGACCTCCATGAGTGATGTTGTTTTCCATGAGTGTTTGTGGGTGCAGAAACACCCTCAAGATGGTGCAGCAGGCAGGGCGCTTGCCTCGAGGGCAGCAGACCAAGGTTTCATCTCCCGCGCACCGCCAGGTGTGGCCTCCAAACCGAACAAGATAAAAATTGTTTCTATCGGGACAGCAGTGCCTGTGGTCTGCCACAGTCTTAAACTTGCCACCACGGAGTGAAAATGTCCTTCCCACCATTGAATCTTAAGCTTCCGGTGGCCTTTAGACATGCTTCAAAGAGCACAATCAAATCATAAATGCCACTGCCTGTTTCTTCGCTTTTCACCCATGTTTACAATCCTCAAATCCATCATTGTGAAAGCTGCCACTCATATATTTTAGGTCTGCACCAGCTGATAAAAATTAATCTACAGGGGCCAGAGCGGTAGTATGGTGGGGACGGCATTTGCCTTGCATGTGGCCAACCCGGGTTCAATCCCCAGTATCCCATATGGTCCCCCGAGCACTGCCAGTAGTAATTCCCAAGTGCAGAGCCAGGAGTAGCCCCTGAGCATTGCTGGGTGTGACCCAAAAAAGCAAATTAATCAATTAATTAATTAAAAATACTACTACAGGGGTTGGTGACATAGTACAGTGGGCAAGGCACTTGTCTTGAATGTGGTCGACTCAGATTTCTAGTCCCCACATCCCACATCCCTGAGCCTGACAGGAGTGATACCTGAGCACAGAGCCAGGAGTAAGCCCTGAGCACTGCTGGATGTGACCCCCAAACAAACGAACAAAACAAATACTTGATGCCTCAGAAATGCAAATGCCACAGAGGCCCTTTTTGCCCAGAGCTGCAGTCAGAGGCTGGGGGGGTAGGGGGCCCTGTGGGGTGCGGTGGGGTGGGGGTCTCGCTGCAGGACCGCACCCACTTACCCAGCACCACTCTTACATCTTCCCCATCCAAGCGCAACGTCCAGGTGTTGGTGGTTTTTGACCTGTTCTCCAAATACTTCTTGAGACTTTTTCCATTGATTTCCAGAGTATACTCATAAGCCAAGCCACTGACCGCGTCTATTTTTATGGTAGCTTTGGTCTGTGCGGCTCCAACGCAGAAAGTTTCTTTGCCCACTAATTTGAACATCCATTCTTTTCTTATCTCCTCCTAAGGAAGAAAATACAAAAGTTGAAAACACAGAATAGAAGGACGTTATGTAGTTAATTGGATAAGTATATTCTTTTGGTTTCTGATTTCAGATTTTTTTTTTCTTTTTGGGTCACACTCGGCAATGCACAGGGATTACTCCTGGCTCTGCGCTCAGGAATTACCCCTGGCGGTGCTCAGGGGACCATATGGGATGCTGGGAATCGAACCCGGGTCAGCCGAGTGCAAGGCAAACGCCCTACTCGCTGTGCTATTGCTCCAGCCCCTCTGATTTCAGATTTTTTGTTGTTGTTGTTGCTCATGAATTACAACTACAATGGGATGTTTTAAAATGAATCGATCTTAGTATATACTCAAAAGAATACTGATTTCATTAAGAAGTCACATTAGAAAGCTCCAAGTTTTTCTTAAGATGCTAACTCATTGCATAGAAAACTTGGGATTCAGGGCTAGAGAGATAGTACAGTGGATAGGATACTTGCCTTACATGTGGCTGACCTGGGTTCAATTCCCAGCAGCCCATATGATTTCCCAAGCTTGCCAGAAATGATCCCCCAGTGCAGAACCAGGAGTAAGCCCAGAAGTAAGCACTTCCAAGTATGGCCCCAAACAAAACCACTTGGTATTCAACTTCTGGACGATACCACAATTCTTATAATATTGTCGAAAATGCCAAACTTCATTAAATATAGGTCTGCTTGGGGTGCAAGAAATAACATAACTACAGTGGAAAAACATGATAATGCTATTTAGATGTAACTCTATGTATTCATGATAAAAGGAAAACAAAGGCACGTTCCATTTAAATATTAATGTTATTGTCTATGAATTCTGTGACTACTATAAATTTGCTTTGTCAGGAAAATGATACAGGTCAAATCTAAAGACTAATTCTAGAAGAGAAAAGTCTGATTCACACATGAAGAAGCGGATGGACACACAAGTTTGTACAGCAGAACTGAGTTTTCCTACCTTCCCATCCACGTACACCACGCGTTTGCCTGATGTGGTTCCATGTTCAAACTCAATCTTATGGACACCGTCACTCAAAGCAACTTCCCAAACAGCTACAAGATCTGACATCTTTTCCAGGCTATAAGGAAGGCTAAGGGAACAAAATAAAGCAGTTATTTGGCAGAAGAAAAGCAGTAAAATAATCTATTATTACAAGATTGGACCAAAGTAACCAGTTACTCCATCCAAGATATAAATATCAGATTTTTAAAGCCCTAAAATGACAAAATATGAACGTAAAATTGCATAAGAAATTCTATGAGTGGTGCATTTTCTCCTTCTTCTGCACTTCTCCTTTAAGAAATGACTATGTATGTGGGACATGGTCGGTAACTCCCAACAAAGTCACCTCAGTAGTAATACGATTAAGTTTATCCACATTAGTCTTCGAGCTGGTTACAGAATAATGTTTGGAAAGGTCAGAAAAAAGTCTACTTATCCCTCCCTCCATTTAAAAACATTATTTGATCCTGGTGCTTTTTAAGTATCACACCCATCACTTTCATTATTTAGTATCATGTCCAATCACACAAAACAAGTATTACCTTCACTCATTCCATATTAACTAATGACCTGGCATTCAGACTAACAGAAAGAGTTCTCATTCATCCTACAAAAACTAAGAAAAAGGAAATTTCTGAGAAAAATAGCCCATGACGGATATAAAAATGTTACAGAAAATAGTCATTCATGTCCAAATTCGGAGAATTCTTTGTTTTTGTGTTCTTGGCCACACCCAGGAGTACTCTGGGCTTCCATCTGGCTCTGTGTTCAAGGATTACTCACTCCTGGTGGAGCTCAGGGGACCAGATGGGATGCCAGGAATTCAACCCGGGTCAGCTGCATATGCAAGGCAAGGCAAGCGCCCTGCCTACTGCACTATCTCTCTGGGCCCAAAGATCTTATTTTTTTAAAAAAATTTAAAAATTCTGTTTTGCTATGAGTTCTGGCCCAAATTAAATGTATTCGTTGGTGTAATGGCATTTACTATCAAAGGCATTTATAGTATATACATAATTGGTCTGAATCTTTTTTTTTTTCTTTTTGGGTCACACTACACAGAGATTACTCCTGGTTCATGCACTCAGGAATTACTCCTGGCGGTGCTCAGGGAACCATATGGGATGCTGGGAATTGAACCTGGGTGGGCCGCATGCAAGGCAAACGCCCTACCCGCTATGCTATCACTCCAGCCCCTTGATCTGAATCTTTAGCCCAACTGAGACAAGCAATATTATAGTATTGATGATCACAAGTCATTCGATGCTTAGTGGATGCCAGTAACTGTAGGAGTTCTGTGTCGACCCCCCCACACACACCCGCCTTCATCTCTTCCCCCCACCCCCAGTAAAATAGTAATTATTATTCCTTTTGATAGATGAAGAAATGGAGGCTCTGTCCAAGGCAAAATGGCAATAGTATTGGAGGAGATTTAAACCTCAACTCCCTGGGGCTGGAGTGATAGTACAGCAGGTCCAGCAGTTACCTTGCACACAGCCGACCCGGGGTTGATTCTAGGCGTCCCACAAGGACCCCGGGTAGCACCAGTAGTAATTCCTAAGTGCAGAGCCAGGAGTAACCCCTGAGCATCATTGGGTATGGCTCCAAAATAAAACAAAAACCCCTCAACTTGGACCCAGAGCCTGTCCATCAGGGTTTTCATCCTCCTCTAGTATGCTTGAAATCAGACATGGCCATCCTCAGAATGGGCATCATTTTGAAGGGATTACCAAGTATGCTGTGGAAACGGACACCTCAGATCCTGTCCCACTGGAACAGGAGACCTTGTGGGCCCCATCTGTGCCAGGCAGTGCCAACCACCCTTATTCTCAACCACAAGAAAATGGAACCCTGCATGCTACGACCTGACAAAAAAAACACTCCCTGAGAAAAGGCGAAACTCTCCTGAATGAGCAAAACAACCCTGGCTATTTGAAATGCTAGTTTTATTGCCATGCAAGACATTTACCTTTCGTCATCTTCAAAGATTGGACTGTCATCTCCAGATGCCATGGTTACCAAAAGAGTCTTTAATCCAATTAGCAGGCAGGAAAGAGAAAAGCAGAATTGCAGCAAAGAAAAGTGGAGAGCAACAAAGAAGACATTTGCACAGGGGGTTCTAATTGCAGGACCAGAGCCTCCGTTGCATGCCACTGCTGATGAAAGAGCTGGAGGGATTTTGGGGGGGGGGTCACACCTGGCAATGCACAGGGTTACTTCTGGCTCATGCGCTCAGGAATTACTCCTGGTGGTGCTCAGGGGAGCATATAGGATGCTGGGAGTCGAACCCGAATTGGCTGCATGCAAGGCAAACATCCTACCCTCTGTGCTATCACTCCAGCCCCTTCATTTCATTTTTTTCCAAAATATATTTACTTATTTGCTAATGCAACAACTCTTACAATCAAATTGCAACCGTGGATATTTCAAGGAAAGGAATGAAAACCTGAGGAATCCTCTTTATCCTTTATGGCTTTGTCCTATCCTAAAAGCAGAGGATAAACTCTAGATTGTTCCAAGTACTGTACCCCATCGGAGCCACGAGAGAACCTGGGCTCCTCTGGGTCCCATCCTCTTCCTCCAACAGAGGCATAAAACAACCCCCGGGCATGGGGCAGAGAGGCAGGGAACACAGAAAGTGGGACGCAAACACCTGGTTGGGCCCTCTCTGTTCTAGGGAGGAAACAAACCCCAAACGGAATCTCCCATTCAATGCGAGCAAGCTAGAACATGGTGGCATAGGTAGATATATGGATATGTATACTTATTTCTAAATTTTAGATCAATTCGAAGAAATGTGGAGTTTCCAGAAGCAGCCCGGCATATGTGAATTCACTTTCTAAGAGCAAATTTAATTTACCCCTTAAGTCCATGGAAACCCACAGAAGATCCACGATTGCTCAGGTCACTAGCAGGGCCAAGATCAGAAGTAGAGCCAGTATCAGGAAATAAAAAGTCACCGGGCTGTGGCACTCATTAAGTTTTGCAGAACGCAGAAGCACGTGTAACTCACGTGTGCAGGAAACCCTCCATATTTGACGATCTGGGACTAGCAGGGGCTAACCTCGGCAAACCGAGTGACAAACACATTCAATTGTTTTCTGCTGCCCAGGTGGAATCTAGTCCCGCCTTCTCCCTACAGAGAGTCCCAAGGGAGATCTGCCTTCTTGTCGAAAACAAGACTTTGCCAATCTTCTTTGGCTGGAAACAGCCAAAAGTCACATACTCTGTGTGTGCTGTGTGTGTGTGTGTGAGAGAGAGAGAGAGAGAGAGAGAGAGAGAGAGAGAGAGAGAGAGAGAGAAACCCATCAAAGCAATTCAAAGAAAAGCTAGAAATTTTAGAATGATAACTAAACAAAGGTTCAAAAACACTTGGTATTGAAAGGAAATCCCTCATCTTTTATGAGCGGTCCTCAAATGTAGATAGATTTTTCTAGTCTTAAGAAGCCCCTGGCTGTGAAAGTAGAGGGTGCCCAGCAAGCATAAAAGCAGAGACTACTAGCCCGAGAGAAAGCCAAACCATGCAGCAGAAAACGAGATAAAGCATCCTTGGCAAATTACAGTGGAATAGAGTGTTTCATAGTTTGCTCTCCGGCCCCAGAAAGTTTACTAATTCAAATCTGAAAGAATCGCACAGTTTTCCATTATAGTAAAGTAAAGTAAAAAGTAAAGGCCCTCCCGTTGATCATCGATTTGCTCGAGCGGGCCCAGTAACGTCTCCATTGGAGACTTTGTTGTTACTGTGTCTGGCATATCGAATACTCTCGGTAGCTTGCCGGGCTCTCCGAGAGGGGCGGAGGAATCGAACTCGGGTCGGCCATGTTGGCTGCGTGCAAGGCAAACGCCCTACCGCTGCTATCGCTCCAGCCCATTATAAGGGACTCCAAATATTATCATAATAAGAAAAAGCCCAGTGTTATCTAAATTAATCACTTTTTTACAGAGAGCAACAAAAGGCAGCACACCGTGTTTGCTGGGGGTTTTGTTTGTTTGCCGCATGAGGGTCTGAACATGGGACCCCAATGTCCTGGCGTACATGTTACCCCTGAGCCACATCCCAGCCCCCAATGACAGCACAAATTAGAAGGGAGGTTAGAAGTTAAGATTACATTGAATTTTTTCCCTTTGACCCATCAACATTCTTTCGCACATGCAACATTTATTTATGAAATACAAGTTAAGATGTTGAAAAGTTTTGGAATTAGTGGTGATGGCTGTATATTGTGTGAATATACTTGATACCCTTAAACTGTACACTTAACAATGGTTAGAAAGGCCACTTTTGGTATAGATATTTTTATCCCAACTTGAAAAAAGGAATAGTACAATATTCTAAAAGCACTGAATTATATATTTTGAAAGGACGTTTGGTTTTAAAAATATGAACTATCAGGACCTTGAATTGGGGGGAGAGGGTATGAAGGGGTGATTTTTTTGGCTGCACCCGGCGGTGCTCTGCTCTGTGCTCAGGGTATGAGGTACAGGGCATCAAACTCTGGCTGGCCTGATCACCTTAGCTGCTGAACTATCTTTCTAGCTCCTTCAATTTTTTTTTAAGGAGGAGCTAATAGGACCCCCCAGCAGGGCCTTCCACTTGCCAGCCATGCGTCCTAGCATCTGAGCATCTCCCCAGGCTGAAATTTATATGGCACCGGAATGCTCCCTCAACAACACTGCACAAAAGGTCTAAATGGCCTGCTGGGAAGTGTCTTGAAACGCTTGATATTACACTTATAAAAGTGATGGAGTGATAGCGCAGCGGGTAGGGTGTTCGCATTGCATGCGGCCGACCCGGGTTCGATTCCCAGTATCCCAGTATCCCCCAAGCACCGCCAGGAGTGATTCCTGAGTGCATGAGCCAGGAGTAGCCCCTGTGCATCGCCGGGTGTAACCCAAAAAGCAATAAAATAAAATAAAATAAAAAGTGATGGCCACCTCTGCCCTTGCCCCCTACTGCCGACTTTCTTGTTTTTGTGTTTATTTGGGTGGGGGCACCCCAGCTGTGCTCAGGGCTTACTCCTGATCTGCACTCGGAGATCAGGGGACTGTGTGTGGTGCTGGGAACTGAACCCCCGCTGGCCACGTTCGAGGCAAGCCCCAGTTTGGAGTGCTGTGGCTCCCGCCCTGTCTACTCTTTGGAATGATGAGAAATAGCTCCCCAAACAGATCTTTTTGAGGCCTGGACAAACTCAACACACAGCCAACCTAAATGCATGCGGCACAGCAGTAATTATCCGTGACTTCTGGGTCAGGAACTGATGTGGCACTGGGCTGTGAGACGGGTCCTCACAGAAACACAGGCCTCCAGCCAGAGACAAAAAAAAACACAGCGGGATGGGGCTTGCCTTGCTCGCAGTCCATGTGCTCCAATCCCAGGCACTGCACAGGGTCCCCAAGGTCTACCAGGTCCCTGAGCACAGAGCCAGGAGGAACCTCTGAGTACCAGCAAAAAGAGAAGAAGAAAACAAAGAATAAAAAATTGTCACTGGAGAGGGTGCCAGTTGATCCTCCTCCCTCACTCCCCACGACTGTTGTTTAAAAGGGCGAGAAAGGACTTAAATCCACTGGCATTCTCTTTTGTTTGTTGTAGTTTTTGGATCCCACAGGGCTGGAGTCTGTTCCTGGCTCTGCAAAAGAGACCTCTAGCAGTGATCTGGGGACCATACCTGGATGGAGAGTACGCAGGACAAGCACCTAAACCCCTATACTCTCCCTCCAGTACTCTCCAGTACTCTTGCTCCAGTGCGCTCTCTCTCCCTGCTAGTACTCTGGTACTCTCTCTCTAAAGTACTCTCTCTCTCTCTCCATCTCCCCACCATCTTCCTAAAACTCAAACACATACACTTACTTTTCATCATCATGTGACCAAACTGGAAAAGTCCCTCTATTTTATTACAAAGATGAAAAGATGATAAAAACATACTCCAGGAATTTCTGCATGTGGGGAGGACCTTACTCACTTGGGACTCACTCTTACACATCTTTAAAGAAAGCGGGTTTATTTATTTTTTTTTTGCGGGGGTGTCAGTGAGGTGAGCAGCTCTTCAGCTTTTAAAGCCTCTTCCCTAGAACATCTTAAAAAGTTTCCCCTCCTCAAAACTTGGTCTTAACAAATCCCCATATCTGGGGGCTGCAGAAGTCTGTGCACATGAAAGCCAACTTTATTCATTTTTGGTTTTTTTTCTGTTTTTATACACTTCTTGGCATTCAGGAGTAACCCCTGGTGGTGCTCAGGTGGAATACGGCAGGGTCATATGTGGTGCCCGAACTGAACAGGAGTCGGTTGGGTGCAAGGCAAGTGCCCCACAGGCTCCCCAGATCCCGAAGTCCCTTCTAACACATGTTCATGGCATCCCTCCCATCCAAAGCGCTGAGTGCGGCCAGCCACACTGCCAGTCACTCTGCAACCCACAGGCGTGGCACGGGGGAGTCCTAGCAAGGTGCGTCCCAAGCTCCTGGGTGCCGGGTATTGTCTACAAGGAGAGAAACTTGGCTGCGGATCCGGTAGCAAGGTATACCACAAGCCTTGCGAGGACGACGCTGGGAACAGTTTGCCCAAACCAGGAGGACCTTTGGCCAACGTTAAAACCTGCAACCCCCCCTCCCCACCCTTTCATCAGCCTCGAGGGGCTTCATTAAGTCATTACCGCGCCCGAGCCCCAAGTCAACCTGCGCCTCCCACCCACCCCCCGCCCCCCAGCCCCAGGGGCAGCCACCCCGCAGGACGCAGAAACCCACTCAGAGCCGGGGGCGGGGACCTGGGGTGCGCCGAGCAGAGCCCCAACCCGGACCCGGTTCTGCACCGAGGCAGCGGCTCCCGCTTACGGGACAAAGGAACTCCCTTGCGGCCGTCTCCGCCCCGCGGGCCTTCCTGCCGCACTTTCCCCACGGCCGCGCGCGCCCCGGAGCCGAGTGCGGGGTCGCAGGGCCGGGCCGCCCAGCGCCGGGCACCCACCGACCCCCCACACCCGCCGGCTCGCGGCCCCGCCTCTCCCGCCCGGCCCGTGGACGCGCCGCGGCCCAGCCCCCAGCGCCCCCTGCGCCGCCCGCCGCGCCCCCCGCCCTGCGCCGCCCCGGGGCTCACCGCAGGGTCTAGGGACGCGAGAGGGAACCGTCGCCGGGATCGGGCCGCCGGGAGCGGCTGGGATCGGAGCCGCAGCCGGGATCGGAGCCGCGCTCGGGATCAGGCCGCCGGGAGGGGCCGGGATCGGTGCTGCCGTCGGGATCGGACCGCCGGGAACGGCCGGGATCGGAGCGGGAACCGGATCAGGCCGCTGGGAGCCGCTGGGAGCCGCCGGGAGCGGAACCGCACTCGGGATCGGGCCGCGGGGAGCAGCCCGGATCGAAGCCGCGCTCGGGATCGGGCCGCAGGAGCAGCTGGGGTCGAGAGCGGGAGCCGGATCAGGCCGCTGGGCGCGGCCGGGAGCGGTGCTGCCGTCGGGATCGGGTCGCCGGGAGCGGCCGGGATCGGAGCCGCAACCGGGATCGGGCCGCCGGGAGCAGCCGGGATCGAGCGGGAGCAGGATCAGGCCGCGGCGAGTGGCGCGGGTCGGAGCGGCCGTCGGGATCGGGCCTCGGGGAGCCCCGGAGGGGGGGCGGCCAGGGCCGCGCGCTCCGGTTTCCGGGGCAGGGCGGGGCCGGGGCCTCCCCGGGGCCCGCGGGGCTCACCTGGTCTCGGTGGGCAGCGGGAGGCGCCGGCTGGGCCTCCGCCCAGTCCGGGGGCAGCCGCCGGAAGGCCGCTAGCGGGGCCGTGGCGCTCCCCAGCGCGGCCGCACCCGCCTCCCCGCACGGCCCCGCACCCCGCGCCCCGGCCCCTCTCTCCTCCCAGGCCTGGTCGCTCCCGGCCCCTCTCTCCTCCCAGGCCGGGTCCCTCCCGCCCCCAGGCGTGCGGTGGCAACCTCGGGGCAGGCGCCTGGCTGGACGTTGGGGAGCCCCTGGGGGTGCAGAAGCAGCCCCGGCGCCTGCGCTGCCGTGGGAGGGGGGGGGGTCCCACGCGCCGGGAAACCGCTCCCGGGCCGGGGGCACTCTCTGAGGGTTGCTCCTCCTTAGGGGACCTGGAGGGCGCGGGTCACCGCGGGGTGTGGAGGGGGTCCCCTGGGGAGTCTCCCCCGACAGCCTCTCCGGAGGTGCCTCCCCTCGGCGACACCCCAGTGGGTTGTTGAGCTTATTCTGTAAATACTCTCTCAACACCTGGACCCTCCCCCCTCGCCCGCCAACGTGCCAGCCCCAGGGGGGAGTTTTACTGCCTTTCTGAGCTCCAGAGGGTTGGTGGAGGCTTTTTTGGAGGTTGCTGGTCGTGGTTTGGGCCACCCCAGCGGTGCTCAGGGTCTACTCCGAGCTCTGTGCTCGGAATCTAGAGGCAAATGCTGGAGCTCCGGTGCCATCTCTCTGCCCTGATTTGTGGAATTTTTGCCCTATGTGCCGCTTAGTAGTAGGCTGAGGTCCACCAAGGCAGGGCCCAGGCAGCGGGGCTCTCACGGGCACCCATGTCTGCATGGTCACAGGGTCATTCATACCCGACTCCCATAAGCTGCTAAAATGAAGGAAGGAAGAAAAAGCAGATTTGGGGTAATGTATTAAGTGGCCTGGATTTTTTCCCCTGATTTTTTAAAAAATTGAATCACTGTGAGATAGAGCATTACCAAGTTGTTCATGATGGGTTTCAGCCACACAGCGTTCCAACACCCACCCCTCCACCAGTGTAATTTCCCAGCTTCCTCAGCGTCCCCAGTTTCCCTCCCACCGCTTCAAGTCATCCCCCACCCCAGCCTGCTTCTGTGGCATGGCCTGGGTTTCTTACGTGTATTTTATTCTGCAGAGTATGTTGACTAGTTTTGAACGATTGTGGGAAGAATAAATTAGCAGGATGGGAAAGAAATACCCCAGAGTGGAAACTTCCAGGGGTAGAAGAAAACTGGTTAAAGATACTGGCCTTGTGTCTGCCCCCCTGGGCTCAAATTTCCTAACCCATATGGATTGTCCATATGCCAAACCCAGCTTGGCCATATAGAAGGCAACTGCCCTACCCACTGTACTATCTTTCCCGCCCCTGTAAGTGCTTTTCAAATAGCATAAATGGAGAATAAAACAATAGGGGGAAATTGCATAATCGATCCCAACAGATACAAAATGTTCTATTGTCCCATCCAGTATGGGTCCAGGGTGACTATCGGGTACAGGGAAGGAAGAGCCCCCAGGAGGTGGGAAATCAGCTCGCAGCTTGGGATTCAGCCTCAGAGGGTGTGAGTTGGGATCAGTGCCAGTTGCCATTGACTCCTGCTGCTTAGACACGGGTTGTGACCGTCTACACAAGCCCAGGAAGCCCAGAGCTCTCTTCCGAGCCAGGCTCTGCCCTCACCAGGGAAGCTCACTCTGGTTTTGAAGCGGCTGTTTTGAAAGAGTCCTGCCTGACACAGGTTTCATCCCCCAGTAAATACTAGATCTTTCTTCACTGTATCAGTTATAAAAGTGATAGCAAAAGGTCTCTAAAGATAAACTGTACACTGCAAAGCAGCAGAGAACTGAGGTGATTCTGTAGATTGTCAAACAGGAAAGTGGAACAATTTCAGGAGGAAAAAGAACCTAGGTCTGAGTTATCTGAGGCTGGGGTTTGTAGATAACCAACATCTTCAATTAGAGCAAAGAGCTAAAAGCAAGGCAGTCAGACACATACTTCAATTAGGGAAGAGCTGCATGTGTTTCTTGTTTGAGACTTAAAAGTAGAAAAGGGCTGGGGTGGGTGGGTAGGTTGTTCAGTGGTAGAGTCTGAGGTTCTGGGTTCAATCTCCAGCGTCTTCCCCACTTTCTTCAAAACGAAAGTACATAATCCTACCCCTAGACTTGACCACCTTTAAATATGGGCTCAATAAAAAGTTCAGTAGAAGAAAATGCTGCGAATATAGGCCTATTGCCTTTCAACCCCAGCATCATTGCCTTCTCTCCAGTGCTCAGGAATTGGGTGTGTTTCCTTCCATGTTCATTTTCTGTACCTTCACATGCACCACTGAGTGTTGGGCATGATATGATATAGTTGCATCTTTCTGTTGTGGTTGTGGGGGGCGCAGCAGGCAGTCCTGGAGTAGGTGGGGTTGTTGGGATCCAACCATGCCCTCTCATTACCAGGCTTTATCACCACTTGAGCCTCATCCCCAGCCCTAATATAGTCCCATTTGAAAAAAAATTTTTTTTTAAAAATGGCATTGTGAATGACAAATGGGAATTAGAGAGAAAGACAGAGGGCTTATCCTTTGGAATTTCTATCCTAATTCTCTTTCAGTTTATTCTGGTTTTTTTGTTGTTGTTGTTTGTTTGCTTGCTTGTTTGTTTTACACTTTGATAGGCCCAGCACAGCAGAATATAACAATGAGCAACTCTGAAGTTCAGAGTCTTGTGGAGGAGGTAGTCAGAAAAACAGAGTATGGCAGGCCACTTCCCAAAGGGCTCCTGGTGACGACTCCCACTTCCTGGTGGTCTTCTCCCATACTACAGGGTCAGTCTGTGTGATCAGCTGTGCTCAACAGAAATAATGCATCCCTTGTGAAATTGTGTTAAAAGTTTTAAAAGGTGCCCCCACATCCTCACACTCCCGTGAGTTTGCAAGTGGGTACTTCAGCCCCGGCTGAACCTAGACGCCACTACCCTGGCTGACAACGACCTCGTGAAGGATTCCGTTTGGGAGACGATGCAAGCAAACTCCGCTACCTCCTGGGGAGCTGCCATCTGTCCTTGATTTATTCCTCCCGCGACTGTAAATTCTCACCTGGAAGCAGAAGCACGTGGATTAGGGTGATAGTGAATTCTAAGTTTGAAAGATTTGTCTGAAAGTGAGGTAACCAAGTTTGTTCATATTTGGAACCCTATGTTGTCGTGGAGTAAAAGCGGTTGTATGTCAGGAAATTTCAGAGTCAGTTTGAAAGCTTAGGAATGAGAGGATGTGTGGATGTGAATGTGTGAGAAAGCGTGTATGTATGTGTGTTTACATGTATGTGAGTGTGGATGAGTGTGTATTTGTAAATGTGTATGAGTGTATATGAGACTGTGAGTATGTAGGTATGTGAGTGCATGAGTGTGTGTATGTGAGTGTGTGACTGTGTATAAGTGAATTAGTGTGTATGTGTGTGTATGTACATGAATGTGTATGTGAACATGTGTATGAGTATATGTATGTAAATGCGTGTGTATGTACATAAATGTATAAGTGTGTGTATGTGAAAGAGTGTGTGGGTGTGGGTGTGGGTATGGGTGTGACTGGGAATCGAACCCCAAACCTCTGCAGGAGCACGTGCTCACACTTGGCTACAGTCTGGGTCACAATGAGCGGATCTGCTGTGATTGCTGACTTGGGCTGGACTTCAGGGGGTCAAAGGCCAGGGGAAAGCTGTCTACCCATTGAACTGAAGACTTGCCTGAATCTCAGGGGCAGCGCCCCCCTCCTAGGAGAGGCCTCGCCACGCAATCCTCTTTTCCATTGCATTTCCCATAACTACCTGTTTGCTGCATTCTTCATGTTTCTCTCCCTAACGGGGCTCACAGCTCCCTGATGGCAGGAGCGGGCTTCTCCACCATGGTGAAGTCATCTGTTTTTTTCCCTGGTACATAAAAGGCACATCATGTGAATCCTGTAAATGAATGTAAATGAGTTTTTTTCTTTTTGGGCCACACCTGGCGATGCACCGGGGTTACTCCTGACTCTACTCAGGAATTACTCCTGGTGGTGCTCAGGGGACCATATGGGATGCTGGGATTCGAACCCGGGTTGGCTGCAAGGCAAACGCCCTACCAGCTGTGCTATCACTCCAGTCCCTGTAAATGAGTTTTTACAAGCACTAGAATTCTGGGGGAGGGACAAAGCCCAAGCAGCAGATGCTGAGTTCAACACTGAACTTCTATGCAGAGAGAGAGAGAGGCCAGAGAGGCCTTGGTGGTCCGAGGAAAGACCTTTCTTCTTCTAAAGAAGTGGTCCTCAACCCTCGTCTCACACACAGTCACCAGATAGGCTTCAGAACCCCTGCCCTTGAAGATTATTCTGGTATCATGCTGGTCATGGTCCGACCCTCAAACCTTGTGGCCTTGAGTATTGGGAAGAAACTAGGAGTTTAAAATCTCTCCTGGTGATTGAAAGTTTGAGAAGTTCTTCAGCAGAGTTTCGACCCTCCATCTGATCATTAAAACTCAGCAAGACTTTGTAGCTGGGGGTGAAATGATCAGCCTCCCCCGCTTTGAAGATTGTGGGTTATTCTGTTCAGACGGTGCCAGAGACTGAACAGGACTTCTTACACGCGAGGCATGTGCTCTACTACTGAGTTACAGTCCCACCCCCTTCCTTGAAGATACTAAGGATGTTGATGGCGACCCCATCCAGCTCCTAGTATACGCTGTCCTCGAGCTCCTCCTAGGACTCTAGTTTTATTCAACTAACCGTGTCTCCATTCTGCAACCCACATGACACAAGGAGCACCCCACCCATCCAAGGGAGCACCCCTCCTCAGTGACAGGAAGCCCTTTTTGTGCTGGGGAGGCAAAGAGTGTGCCTATGTGATTAATTGGCTCAAAAGCCCTGAGAAGAGTTTCCATGGAAAGAAAGCAGATGGTCCTGATGCTCAGGGCAGGCCTCTGGAAAAGCGCTTTAGCGTGAGTGAAATCTACCATGTTTACCTCAGAGAGACAGTTGTTGAAACACTGAGCTAACCAAGCTCAAGTCTGTCTTGCCTCTGGACATCCATTCTGTCATGTGAAAAAATTGTTACCTTTATTATTTAGTTTGAATTAATTTATGATTTGACTTAGAATCAATTTATAATCAATTAGCTGCCCAAACAATCCTAACCCAATCATAGTGTCCCCCCTCCCTTGGGCCACACCTGGAAATGCTCAGGAATTACTTCTGGTGGTACTCAAGGGGACCTTATGGGATGCTGCAGATGGAACCTGTCTGGCTGAGTGCAAGGCAAGTGCCCTCCCCTCTGTACTATCATTCTGGCCCGATCCATTCATGTTGGATCTTCCTGCCTAGTGAGGCAGCTGTACTCAGAAGAATAGACAAGTCATGCTATGCTACTGGAAAAGGCAAGGCGTGAGATGGATTTTGTTTGCTTTTTGGGTGACACCCAGCGATGCACAGGGGTTACTCCTGGCTCTGCACTCAGGAATTACCCCTGGTGGTGCTTGCTGGGAATCGAACCCGGGTTGGCCGTGTGCAAGGCTGTGCTATTGCTCCAGCCCAGAGATGAGTTTTGTTTGAAGACTTGAAAATCAAAACCCACCTGGTCCATTGGGAATTGTGAATACCTAGGTATGGAAAAAGGAAGTAGAGGTCATTTTTGCATGGGGCAGACAGAAAAAGCAAAAGGTCCCCAAAGAAGACTGTGCATGGGTCTGAAAATATTGGACACTAATTTCTGTGACTGTCCCAAACCAGATAACCCAAGATACCTAGCTGATGCCTCCCTGGCAGATCGATCCCTTGGTCATGGCACCATCAGACCAATAGGGAACTAGAGGTTAACAACGACACCATGTGGCTGTAGGACGCAATGACACTGTGGGCCAATGAGATTCTAGGTGTGAGAGGTTAGACTTTTAGAAATTTCTGGTCACTTTCCCCACCACAAGGTTTTCTGTTTTGTTTGTTATTTTAATCTCCTTTCCTTCTTGTTTTCCTGACTAGAGTTTGCACACCCTTCGTCGCCCGTGCTTGTACACTCTAGTTGGGGTGCAGGAGCTCCTGCACGTTTTAGTGGCACAGTCCGCCAAGGGTCCAACGCCTGGCCACGCTATTCAAACAATTTAAAAATGTTTCCGCGTAGTCTATAGACAGAACATGATTGCACCCAGTGTCTCTTCTGCAGACCACAGCACCCAAAAGGAGAGATAGAACAAAAGGGAGTGCCCTGCCACAGAGGCAGCGTGGGAAGCCCTCCGCAGTGATGGGAAGCCCTTTTTTGTGCTGGGGAGGCAAAGAGCGTGCCTATGTGATTAAGGGGGGTGGGTGGGTGGCTGGGAGGGATACTGGGATTGGTGGGGGTGGAGAATGGGCACTGGTGGTGGGATGGGTGCTCCATCATTGTATAACTGAAACCCAAGCACAACAACTCGTAAGTCTACAACTGTACCTCATGGTGTTTCACTAATAAAACAAAACAAAACAAAAAATGTTTCCGCTGCGGTGCTCGCTGGAGTTCACATTTGCTACGGTGCGGGGCTAGCACACTCTCGCAGTGCGGTGAGCTCTCGGTTGTGGCGCTAGCGGGGGTCCCCATCAACGGTTTTTAAAGTCCCAGGGCTGGAGGGATAGGACAGCGGGTAGGGCCTTTGCCTTGCACGCGTCGGACCCGGGTTCAATCCCCAACACCCAGATGGTCCCCTGAGCCCCGCCAGGAGTGATCTCTGAGCGCGGAAAGTTTTTCAAGTTCCCCTAGGTGAAGCCAGTTTTAGCCAGGGTTAAGGACCCGCCGGTGTGCGGGGCCAGCCGGGAGCGCACGACTTAGCTCAAGCCTCTTCTCTCGCGCTCCCTGCGCGCGCACCCTCCCCGGATCACGCTCGCGGCGCGCATTTTAGCTTGAGGTCTGAAAGCATCACCCTAACCAGGCTTCGAGTCTCTACAGCCAGGCACCTTTGCACTTCTGGAGCCCGAGGTAGGGCCTGACATTTCGTGGGAGACTTAACGGTGGGGGCTGAGCGGGGGGCGGGGGAAACGTCATCTGCAAACACTATTTAGGGTCCTTCAAAAATCAGGCGCTGCTGCGCTCACCCAGGTCTGGAACACAGAGCACTCGCTTGGGATGTGCGCGGGGGAGTGCCTGCGGCGCCCACGTGACCCGTCCTCAATGTCCAGACCTGCTCCAGAAGAGCATTTATGCAGTTGGCCCGGCCAAAGCGGCTCAATTCAGCTGGTGGGTGCGGAGCGGGAGGCGCGACAGCAGCGCGCAGACGCAAAGGCTCCCTCCCTCCCCACGCCGACGATTCGGGGAAGCCACGCCCTCACAGAGGAACCAATCAGAGAGCTCGAGGCCGGACCAGCCCCCGCCTCCCCGTGGGGCCCAAAGCCGCGCCCGCGGGAGTGGGGCAGCGAGGCCACGCCCCCGGCGGCGCGCTCGGACCCCATTGGTGGCTGCGCGGCAGTAACGGTCGCGGGGGCGGGGCCGGAGGTGGAGGACCGGGGCGGGGCTGGGCGAGCTGCGGGCGCTGCTGGCGCTGCTGGCGGGTGCGGCGGCTCAGGAAGGTGAGTGAGCCCGCGGGTTCCTGGACGCGGCCGCAGCCCGCGGCTGACCTTCCCTGGCGGCGAGGCCCGTGAGCCGTCGGACCGGCCCTGGTGTGGGTCCTCGGGGAGCAGCTGCTTGGGATGGTCTTGCGAGAGTTGAAAGCTCGGGGATCAGGGTTTGGGGACCTGGCGGGCCCGGTTCGAGCCCGGCCACGTCGGCCGCGGTGCTGTCCTGCCTCCCTGTTTGACTTGTCGCCGCCGCTTTTCTTCTTCCGTCCGGTGGGGGCTGCTGGTTCTCGCTGCAGCTGAGGTTCGGGGGGCTCACGGAGGCGTGAGGGTCTGAAACCCGGGTGCAGACGGGGTCTGGAGGAGGTGGAGGTGATGGGGGACCCGGGCGCTGTCCGCTGTCTGCAGGAGAGGGCAGGGCTGGTGGGCGCTTTTGTCGGGTTGCTGGGCTGGAGGTCGCCCCGCCGTTATGCAGTTATGCAGCCGTGGTGTTGCCTTCTTGTCGGGAAGTCTGTGAGCTGCGGAGCAGACGGCGCCCAGCCCTGTAACGGGCATCCCTACACCGCGTAATTCTCTCCCCGCACTGCGCCGGGGCGGTTTTCCCTGTCATGCTGGACTTGGCCAAGTGGACGCATCCCACGTGGGGAAGAGGTGGCCGACCACGTGTTGGCCGCAGCTTCCCTTTGCAGGCGGGGAAGACATGGGAGGGGAGGTTAAGGCCGTGGTGGATCACTTGCCTTTGAGTTTGAAGCCGCGGGTTCGATTCTGACAACCCCCTCTGCCCATGTCTTTCCTCTCAAAGTTAGAGGTGCGTGTTTTCTGCTCCCCCCCAACACACACACACACACACACACACACACACACACGCGCGCGCACGCGCGCGCACCCGCTGTTTCCCCAGGGCATTCTAATTCCTTATGTGTGGTGGAGTCCGCTGTTCTTCGGATTATTAAATCCCATGCTGTAATGTTTGGGCACTGAGAACTCTGTGTGTGTGTGTGTGTGTGTGTGTGTGTGTGTGTGTGTGTGTGTGTGTGTGTGCGTGTGTGTGCATGCTCTCACTTCACATCCTGCGATGCTCAGTGCTTACTCCAGGCTTTGTGCTCAGGGATCTCTCCTGGCTGACTCAGAGGACCATTTGGAGTGCCAGGAGGTAGAATCCGGGTGTGCAAGGCGAACACCCTACTCACCCTACTATCTGCACTGGCCTTAACCCTGTTACTTTCCCATGCAATAGACAAGAGAGACTTTGAAAACCTTGCATCCTCCATTTGTCGTAGCACTGTAGCACTGTCCTCCCGTTGTTCATTGATTTTGTTCAAGCGGGTCTAGTAACGTCTCCATTGTGAGACTTGTTGTTACTGTGTTTGGCATATTGAGTACGTCACGGGTAGCTTGCCAGGCTTTGCTGCATGGGCGAAGTACTCTTGGTAGCTTGCCGGGCTCTCCGAGAGGGGCGGAGGAATCGAACCCAGCTCGGCTGGGCCTGCGGCTTGTAAGGCAAATGCCCTACCGCTGTGCTCTCACTCCAGCCATTTGTTGTAACAACATGAAAATATACTTTTGAGCAAGTTAAAATGAGAACGTTGGTGTGGCTCAGTTGCAAGAACTGACTGTGGTTTGTGATTTCTACGTCTGCCCACCCTCCACCCCCAGGGTGCTGAAAAATCATTCTCAGTTTGCTGCATGTTACAGGGCTCAGCGCTCCCAAGGGCGCGTTAACCACAGACTCTTGGGAAACCAGCACAGTACCAGGAGCTTCAGCTGTCTCACATCTCTGTACTCAGCTTTCTTGCGCTGTACAATCCAGCTCCTACCCTGCCGGCCCTGTTCCCGCAGGAAAAGGGGTCACTTCTGCCTCAGCCTGGGGAGCTTTCCCTTGGGGTCCCCTTCCAGCCTGTGGTGGAGAAAAGTCAGCTGCACGCCATTGGCATGCCCAGTTGGAAGTTAGCGAGCCGCTTCTCTTTTTCTTTCTGTCCCATGGTGTTTTTTTGTCCGACAGTGCATCATTTCAGGTCTCTTACAAATGGAATTGTCTGCCTTTTCTTTTCTTTTTTTGCTTTTTGGGTCGCACCTGGCAATGCTCAGGGGTTACTCCTGGCTCTGCGCTCAGGAATTACCCCTGGCAGTGCTCAGGGGACCATATGGGATGCTGGGATTCGAACCTGGGTCGGCCGCGTGTAAGGCAAATGCCCTACCCGCTGTGCTATCACTCCAGCCCCTTCTGAGGTTTTGTTTGTTTGTTTGTTTGTTTTTTGTTTTGGGAATCATCTGCTTTTGAGGCCAGGGTTCAGGGGACCAAATAGGGTACAGGGGTTGACCCTGGGTTGACTGCTTACAAAGAAGCTGTGCTGTCTCTCCAGCCTGTCTCTCTTTTTTTTGGAACCCAGATGAAGATCCAGTTTCTGATGTGAGACTCACTGGATGATCATTTCACTGAGATCAACTTGAATGACCAGGTGGAAAGTGCCAAGAGGAATGAGCTGTGACTGAGGTAGGTCTAGTGGGTCAGATGACTTTGTATTGTTTTCAGCATCTGTTATTTATTCATCATGTACTTGATAAATTACTTATGTTACCTTTTGACCTCTTGACAATCCTTGGGGGTCCTTATTAAGCTCAGTTAAAGAAACTGAAGGCCACGCTGCTGAGGTAGTACAGCAGGTAGGGCACTTGCTTTGTATGCAGCCCACCTGAGTTCGATCCTGGTATCCCATCTGGTCCCCTGTGCAAGGCTAGTAGTAGGTCCTGAGTGCAGAGCCCGCAATAATCCCTGAGTTTCGCTGGTGTGGCCTCCAAACCACCCCTTTCTCCAGGAAAGAAAATGAAGTTGAAGCCCATACAGATGACCTGACTTCTAAAATTTTTTTAAAAAGTTTATTGAATGACCATAAGATACAAAGTTATAAAGTTGTTCATGATTGAGTTTTACTCGTACAATGTTCCAGCACTTGTCCCTTCCCTTGCGTCCACTTCCCTCTACCAGTGTCCCCAGTTTCCCTCTTAACCCCCAGCCTACCGCTAGGGCAGACACTTTTCTTTTTCCTTTTTCCTCTTAGCTACTGTGGTTTGCAATACTATTACTGAAAGGGTGTCATGCATGTCACTCTGCTGCCTTTCAGCACCCAGCTGGTCCAGAGTGACCACTTCCCACTGTCAGAGTGTAGTGGCCCCTTCTCTGACTGCCCTCCGCCATATCATGAGAAGCTTTCTACTAAGGACTGGTCCCCTGGGACTCCTTTTCTGTTGTCTTTGGATATTATTCTCCTACTGTGTTTCTTTGGGCTGGAGCGATAGCACAGTGGGTAGGGCGTTTGCCTTTCACGTGGCTGACCCAGGGTCGATTCCTCCATCCTTCTCAGAGAGCCTGGCAAGCTACCAAGAGTATCCTGCCCGCAGGGCAGAGCCTGGCAAGCTCCTCATGGAGTATTCTATATGCCAAAAACAGTAACAACAAGTCTCACAATGGAGACGTTACTGGTGCCCACTCAAGCAAATCGATGAACAGTGGGATGACAGTGCTGCTGTGCTACTGCGTTTCTTAATATCTCATATATGAATGTGATCATTTTATTTTTTATTAGATTATTTATTTATTGATTTTTTTTTCTTTTTGGGTCGCACCTGGCATTGCACAGGGGTTCCTCCTGGCTCATGCACTCAGGAATTACTCCTGGTGGTGCTCGGAGGACCATATGGGATACTGGGAATCGAATCCAGGTTGGCCGCGTGCAAGGCAAATGCCCTACCCACTGTGCTATTGCTCCAACCCCGCACGTGATCATTTTATATCTGTTTTCCTCCTACTCATTTCACTCAGCACAATATTCTCCAGGTCCGTGTAGCAGCAAATGTCGTGACTTCATTTTTCCTTATGGCCGTGTAGTATTCCCTTGTGTGCCCTGTAGCTTCTTTATCCACAAGTCGGTTGTTTCCAGGTTTGGGCTATTGTGCATACTGCTGAAATAGACACAGGAGTGCAGGTGCCTTTTCTGCTTTTTGTTTTGGGGTCCTTAGAGTATATCCCCAGGAATGGCATTGCTGGATCCTATGGAAGCTCGATTCCTAAATGATTTATTTTTTCGGTATTTATTTATTTTAAAAATTTAATCACAGGGGCTGGAGTGATAGCACAGTGGGTAGGGCATTTGCCTTGCATGCAGCTGAGCCAGGTTCGATTCCCAGCATCTCATGTGATCCCCGAGCACTGCGAGGAGTAATTCCTGAGTGCAGAGCCAGGAATAACCCCTGTGCATTGCCGGGTGTGATCCAAAAAGATATAAAAAAAATTGAATCATCATGAGATGGACCATTGCAAAGCTGTTGCAATGATTGGGTTTCAGTCGCACAGTGTTCCAATATCCATCCCTTCACCAGTGTACATTTCCCACAAGTAGTGTCCCCAGTTTCCCTCCCATCACCCCCAACTCCTCCTCCACCCTAGCCTGCCTCTATGGCAGGCTCTATTCTGTCACTCTCTCTCTCTCTCTCTCTCTTTCTCTCTCTCTGTCTCTCTCTCTCTCTCTGTCTCTCTCTCTCTCTTTCTGTCCCTCTCCCTCCCTCTCTCTCTTTCAACTCTCCTTTCAGGGCATTGTGGTTTGCAATACAGATACTGAAAGGTTATCAGGTATATCCCTTTACCTACTTTCAACACCTAATTCTTATCCAGCGTTATCATTCCCAACTATTATTGTTGTACTGTTCTCTTCTCTGTCTTACCTACACTCTGCCCCTCACACACTTGTGGTAGATCCAACAATTGACCAGTCCTCCTAACCCCTGTTTTCCTTGGCCTTGTTGCTCCCGAGAGTATCTTGCCCACACGGCAAAGCCTGGCAAGCTCCCTTGACGTATTCGATATGCCAAAAACAGTAACAAGTCTCACAGTGGAGACGTTACTGGTGCCCGCTCGAGCAAATCGATGAACAACGGGAGGACAGTGCTACAGTGCAATGTATTATTAAAAGATGTATCCTAAGCTGGAGTATTAATAGGGGTCAAAGTGCATGTGGCCCACCCTGGTTTGATCACCAGCACCATGTAAGTCCTCTGAGCATTGAAGTGAACAAAATCCTTAAAAAAAAAAAATTTTGTTTTCACATTCAACTAAAAAATCATTTTATTTATTTATTGTGGGAGGTTGTGCAGGGGTGCGGATTTGTGCCACATCTGATAATACAGGCCACTCTTGGTTTTGCATTCAGGAATTACTCCTGGCAGTGCTCAGGGGACCATAGGAGATAAAAGGGATTGAACCCGGGACAGCCACATGCAAGGCGAGTGCCCTGTATATTGTGCGCTTTCCAACCTAAATAAAGTTTGATGTCTTATTAATTATTGTTCTTATTTTTTTGGTTTTGGGGCCACACCTGGCAGTGTTACTCCTGGCTCTGCACTCAGGAATCACTTCTGACAGTGCTTGGGGAACCATATGTGATGCCAGGGGTTGGATCATGCTCAGCCACGTGTGAAAACATTCTGAAATCTTGCACAAAAATAGAAACTGTTTTCAGGTAAGCCTGATCTTACCTGAGGAAAGACTTTCAGCTTTTTACCATGAGGATGCTGTTCACTGTGTGTTGTGGTAAATCACTTTAACTGCTGAGGAAAGTCCGCAGTTCAACTCCCATTTTATCATGAATGGGTGTTAGATCTTGGGTAATGCTTTCTCTGTGTCTATTGATCTGATTGTAATTATTTTTATTTTTCCTTGTATTGATTTGGTATATTGATTGAATTGTGTGTGTTGATCCATTCCTACATCCCTAGGATGAATACTTAGCTATAGTTTTTGATTTTTTTGATGTGTTATTGGATTCCGTTTGCTCACATTTTGTTGCAAATCTTTGCATTTGAGGAAATGCAAAGTTCATCAGAGACACTGGTCTAGAGTTTTCTTGTTATGTCTCTGTCCGCTTTGGTATCAGGGTAACGTTTGCTGCAGAGGCTGTTTGGGAGGATTCCTGTTGCTTCACCTTTCTGAGAGAGCTTGAAAGGAAGTAGAAGTAGGTCTTCGGAGATTTGGAAGAATTTACTAGTAAACCCCTGTTGGGCCTGGGCTTTTGTGCTGAGGGAGACTGTTGATGACCATTTTGATTTCCTTGGTAGTAACTGGTTTGAACACCTCACCAAGAATACTCAGCCCAGCTAGACCATCATCCAGAGTGATAGAAGCAATACAGAGCTTCACAGACCAGCCAAAGCCCAGGAGTTTCCTAGCCTTGAAACAAATGGGACTGCATCCGACAGCCAGTGCTGGTGTGTACATGGGGCAGAGGGAGCCTCATTCACTGCTGGTGGGACTGTCGACTGGTCCAGCCTTTTTGGAAAACAGTGTGAACAGACCTCAGAAAACTAGGAATTGAGCCTCCTTGTTACTCAGCGATTCCCAGTGCTATTCCGTGAGCCAGCAATTGGGGTAGATCTTGGCATCTACCCCGAGAGCCCAAAAAAACTCTCTTCAGAAAAGACACCTGCACTCCTATGGTCATTGCAGCACTGTTCACAGTAGCCCAAATCTGGAAACAACCCAAGTGTCCCAGAATAAAAGACTGGATACAGAAACGGGTCCATTTACACAGTGGAATACTACTCTGGCTTAAGAAAAGATGGAATTATGCAATTTGCTAGTATGTGGTTGGCTCTGGAAAGAATCATGCTGACTAAAGTTAGCAGAGAGGGACAGCCACAGAATGATCTCTCACATGCCGGATATAAAGAAACATAGTAGGGCGTGGCAAAATCCCAAAGCGGACAAGGAACCCAGAAGTGTAGGAAGTTTACAGGGGCCACTGGTGCAGGGGTGCTGCTGGGGTGTGATATGACAGACCCTAGCACAGGTGCCTAAATGGGAAGTTAGATTTCAGAAACAGGTGATGTCCTGCTGCCCGGTTTGCCAGAAAGTCAAACACTGTCACGCCGATTTTAACCTTTGTTGTCTGTCCCGTTTGTCCCTTCCCCACGTCATGGCTGGTCATGTGTCAGTGTTCATAGAGTTCTGCATCAGCGTGCCTCCCTGGCCTTCTTCGTTGTCTTCAGAGGCAGAGTCTAAGGACTCTATTGATACCTGTGAATTCGTTTTCTTACTAGCGTAGTCTTACCTAGTATCAGCTCATGAGCCGAGTCATTCTAGAGACAGTCCAAGATAACAGAAGTCAGATCTGTTTAGTACATTTTTATATAACAACAAATATCCATTCCCAAAATATGTCATTGAGATTGCCCAGGGCACAAAATTTACCACATTTATTTGGTGGGCTCGAGGGTCACTTGACTCTGACATCCGAAACTCTACTTCTCATGTTTTATAGTGCCACAGGTGTGTATAACAAGACAACCTGATCTCGTCATGGAATCAAGGGAGATTTCCCTGCACATGGAAATTTGAGCCAAGATCTGAAGGTATGAGTTAACTGAACGAAGAAGTGGATAAGCATGCCCTGATCTTGGGCCTAGAGAAGGATCTCACTTTGGACATTTGAAAGAACCCCTTAGGATTGTCAGAACGTGTGGCTTCTTTGGGGTTTCTCTTACATTGTTTTTTTTTTTTCCCACCCTTATATTTGGTCTCCTTGGACTAATACGATCTGCTCTAAGTATATTAAATATAGGTAAAACTAAATTAATGAGGAACAGTAAATTTACATAGAGTTCATTGTATTAAGCCCCTCGGGAAGGTTAGTGCATGCATCCTGTTTATAAACTTACTGACGAGGCTGGAGAGACAGGGAAGGAACGTGCCATGAATGCAGCCGACCTGGATTCAATTCCTGGTATCCTATCCAGTCTTCTGAGCACTGCCAGGAGTAATTTCTGAGTGCAGAGCAGGGGTAACCTCTTAACATCAGAAAGAAAACTAGGATGGAAGAAAGTTTATCATTGACATTACATTGTTTTATATATGGCTTCATTATTCTTTAGCTTTAAAAAATTTTATAATGAAAGGTTTAAAAAGTACTGAAAGGTGAAATAGCTGTACTTGGCTGATATTTTTTGAGAAGGATCTTTTTTAAAAAAAATTGAATCATCGTGAGATACGCAGTTGCAAAGTTGTTCATGATTGGGTTTTCTGGTTTGTTTTTTTTTCTTTTTGGATCACACCTGGCGATGCACAGGGGTTACTCCTGGCTCATGCACTCAGGAATTTCTCCTAGAGGTGCTCAGGGGACCATATGGGATGCTGGGAATCGAACCTGGGTCGGCTGCGTGCCAGGCAAATGTCCTACCCGCTGTGCTATCACTCCAGCCCCATGATTGGGTTTCAATCATACAAATTCCAACACTCATCCCTTCACCAGTGCACATTTCCCACCACCAGTGTCCCCAGTTTCCCTCCTGCCAACCCAGACCCCCCTCTCCCCCAGCCTGTCTCTATGGCAGGCACTCCTCTTCTTTTTCTTCTTCCTCCTAATCTTCTTCCTCTTTCTCCTCTTCTTTCTCCTCTGCCCCATGTCCCCGTGCTCCCCCTCCCCTTGTTTGTAATATTATTACTGAAAGGGTATAATGTATATCACTTTACCTCCTTTCAGCATTTAGTTCTTTCTTTTTCATAATAGTTTTTTTATTTTATATTTATAAAGTTGTTCACAGTAATTTATTACATTCAACATTCCAACACTCATCCCACCACTATTACACCTTTCCACCACCATTATTTCTAATTTTCCCAAAAATCACTTAAGCCTGCCCCAATAGCAGAACCTAAATAATTTATCATGTATTGCTTCTTGTGAATAATTCTCTAAAAATGATCAAAAAAGGTTTTCTTAGAAGAAAGTGTTTGAAGATTGTTGTGTCTCACCCTGGAGCCATTAAGCGCTTGTATAAGAGATTACTAATATCTTGTTACAGGTAAAGTCTTGTGTACTAATATTTTTTTAATTGAGACTGGTTGACTTCTACTTTACATCCTGCCCAATGTGGTGTGCCACTCCTGGTACATCAGTGGTACATCCAGGAATCCTAGAATTTTGAATGGAGTGATCTAGCTGAAGTTAAATTTCTAACTGGATGGTGACTTTGGGGTCTGGAGGAAGCATCACTGAACCTTTTTGATCTCTTCTGAGATTTATTTGTGAATCTCTGGGTCATGGCCAGTTAATGAGCTTATATGGCACCAGAGGCAGTTTGTGGGTGTGACTGTCAGCTTCAGGAAGAACAGGGGGATGGGGGGAAGTCACCCATCCCTGACTCCGTGTGAGCCTGGAGATTTCAGTCACAAAACCTGCATATCTGAGTTTTTCAGCAGATTCATTCATGGATGAGGCTTCTCCATGCCTATGGAAATCGGCTGTGAGCATAGTGGATATTGGATTCTTGAGGTTTTCGGCTGCCAGGGCTCTGTTTGGGCCTCCTGCCAGGGTTCCCGGGATATGAGATTCAGCCTGGAGGCATCTCTCTTGGCATTCAGTTCCTGTCCAGAGTGATCATTTCCAACTATCATTGTCATAGTGGTCCCTTCTTGAGAAGATTCTTGATTCACATAAAGCAAGAGGAATGAACATGAGTGAACATCTGAGAAAGTGGCATTCTTTTTACAGTTAATCATTCTTAGAATCAGCTTTCTAAGAAGTCATACAAGTTTTGAAATAGGAATAGATAAATTTCTTTCCAAGAGCAGTTGGTTATTTTAAATATAATCTCCTTTGACACCTATTGCACATTTTTCTTTTTGATTTAGGCAATTCAAAAAACTTTTATTGACAATGACTACCTGTGTTGATAGTCCAAAAGAAGCTCTGTTTCCAGAGGCCCTTAAAATCCAGGAGTCCTGTCAACCTTCAGACAGATTCATGACTGACAAACAGGTAAATTCGAAATATTTTAAGCCAGTGTTTTCTTATTGTTGGCAATTTAAAAAATTTGATTTTTTATAGGTATGTTTTTATTATTTTTTCACATATGCCACAATCTAATGAAAATGAATAACCATGTGGAGTAATGTGTTAGTATTAGAAATATCAGGCGTTTTGAGCTAGAGTGGTAGAACAGTGGGCAGTGTGCTTGCCTGGCATACAACCGACCTGGTTTTGATTCCTGGTACCCCATATGGTTCCCTGAGCTTAGAGTCAGGAGTTAGCCCCAAGCACCACCAGAGTGGCCCCCCAAACCCAAAAAATATATATAATAATTCGTATGAAATATTAACAGAAATAAGATCTTTTAAACGAACCAAATATAAAGAGATGAAAAAGGGACATTTGAAATGTAAATTTCTTTAAAATTAATAGACAAGGATAACAAGGAAAGAACCAGAAAACTTAAAACAAAATGTCTCCATTATTACTCTCCTTTTCTCCCACATTTTAAAATGGTATTTTGCTACTTCCAAGTGTTTCTCACCCCCTCCACCCCTCTAAGGCAATTATTAAGTGTTTTTTTGAGAGCTGCTTTAGTGGCAGTGATTCTTTTAACTGTTTATTTTCTGAAAAGAACTGTGTTAGGTCTGAGCGACTACCTGCCCTGGCGGGGTATTCTTGGTTAGAGATCTTTTCTATTCATTGCTCTGCATGTTCCACTTCACTCTCTTCCAGATTGGGGTGTTTCTGTTGAGAAACCTGTGGATAGTCTTTTGGTTTTGTTTTGCTGGTTTTTTTTTTAATGAGGTGGGAAGGGCGTATTCCTGGCTTCACACTCGTGAATTACACCTGATGGGCTCAGGGGACCATATAGATGCCAGTGATCCAACCTGGCTCGGCCACCTGCAAGGTGACACCCTCCCTGCTGTGCTCTCCAGCCTCAGCCTATGGATAGTCCTGTGGTCAGTCCCTTAGATGTGATCTCTCTTCTCTTTCTGCTTTCAGGATTACCTGGCTTTGATATTTTTTTGCCATTTTAATGACAAGGTGTTGGCATGTGTCAGTTTGGGCATTGTTTGGAACGCCAAACTTCCTGGATCTGATGGGCTAATTCCTTTCTCAGCATGGGAAAGCTCCTGGCTGTTATTTCTTCAACTGAGGATTCTTCCCCTTGGATGGGAAAGGTGCCATGGAGAACATACTTTGCACACAGGAGTCCTCGGTTTGGTCCTTGGGCACCGCTGAGTGTAGCTCCTGTGGAGTACGGAGTATGGTTCAAATACAAAAAAAAAAGTTTTGCCCTTTCTCTCTTCCCCTTGGCACCCTCTGAAGCAACTGTCCTCTTAATGTTCTCCTATACAGCAGTGATGCCTTCTTTGTTTTCAGTTCCTTTTTGCTTTATCTTTTTTTTTTAAGTATGGAACGCTTTACAAATTTGCATATCATCCATGTGCATGGGGTATGCTAATCTCAGTATTGTACCAATTTTAGTATATGTGCTACTGAAGCAAGCGCAGTTTCCCCCCCACCCCCACCCCCAGTGGATTCTACTCACTGAGTTTTAGCTTCTTCTGTTCTGGTATTGATCCTCCTATTCTGTCTTTGGGCTACACCTGGCAGTGCTCATGGATCACTTGTGGTGTCGGAGATGGAAGCAGGGTCAGCTGTGTGCAAGTCAAGGGCCTTAACCCCTGCACTGTCTATCTCCCCAGAACCACCCCCCCATTGTTGTGTGTGTATGTGTGTGTGTGTCTTAATTCATCTCTTATTTAGTTGTTTTTGCCCCTCCTTACTTTTCCCTACCCATTTTTTTCTGTATTAGTCACACAAGTTAGAGAGAATTTGCTTCTCAGGTCAGGATGTAAATATGTATTAGAAACCGGGGTAAAGGCTCAGAGAGTGTCTCTGAGTGGTTTTACTGCACAGATTCTGTGACCTAGATGGACAGTCTTCTGGTCATTGTGTTTTAATTTGGGCAGGGCCATACCCAGTGTCTCCAGGAGTTACTCCTGGCTCTGCACTCAGGAGTAGGCAGGCTCCGGGGACCATTTGCGACGCTGGGGATTGAACTTCTGTCGGCCGCCTGCAAAGCAAATACCCTTCCTGCTATACTGTCTCTCTGGCCCTTGTTGTTCTTCAATTTAATTATTAATTTTATATGTGGGTGTTCTGGAATTATAAAATTATTTTTATATAGTTACATCCTTCCAGTCTAATTAGAAGCAATACATTTGTTGTTTAATTTTAATCATAAAAAAATTAATGCTATGCATAAAATTTTACATTTTATGCAAAACTTTGGAGAAAAAATATGTTCTCAAAAGAAAAGGAATTATTTACATGAAAGTTAGTCTTTTACTTTATATCTTAAAATTTTTATCTTTTTCTCTAATTGTAGCAGGAAGAAGCAGAATGGGAAAACATAAATGTGTTATTGCTGACACGTGGCTTAAAACCTTTATGTCTTGTCAAGAAAACAGATCTCAAAGGTAAGGGGACCCTCTTCTTTCTATGTCTGGTAAAAAAATTAATTTTTTATGTATATTTTCTTACATACTTTAATACCTACTTAAACTTAATTTTTAACCTAAGATTTATTTTCACTATCTGCATTATGTTTCTTAAATTTAGATTTTATCATTTTTGACAAACAGTCATCACAGAAAATGAGACAGAATTTGAAAACACTGATGGAAGAAACAGCATGTCAACAGAACCTGATCCGGGAGCTCATAGAAACTAATCAGCAGCTAAAGTAAGGAAACTGAAAGCAAACAAACACCCTCCAGAACCCTTTTAACTGTTTGTGGTATGCATATATAATTAACTTCCTTTGAAAAAATCTCTACGTGTCATTTTCCGCTTTGATTCAGTATCATCTTAGGCCTGGAGCGTGTGCTTTGCATGCGGGAGGCCTGGGTTCAGTTCTCAGCACCATACGCTCTCCCGCTCTCCCAAAGTGACCCCCAAGCACTGAGTCAGGAGCAAATCCTGAGCACTTCTGGGTCTGGCTCCCCAGAAACCCCCAGTTTAAAAAAAATTCTTAAAAATAGTAGGAATTTAGCTTAGGTATATTTCTTCTGTATTTTCTGTTGTAGCAGGCCCCGGGGCCACTCTCAGCAATTCCTGGCCCCGCAGTGTAGGGTCAGTGCTGGGTCTGAGAGATGCAGTGCCCTACAGGGCCAGCCATACCAGGGCCCGGGACACCTCAGTGGTGCTCAGGCAACCTTGGGGCGCCGGGCACTGACTATGGGGGTCACACACATGCTAGGCAGGTGCGAGTTGAGCTCTTTCCCCATCCCGTGTCTTTCTTCCCCTGGTTTGTGTGATAGGAAAAACTTGGAAAAGAAAGTAGTAACTTTAGAGATTTGTTGTGGGTGTGATTTATTTTGTATGACTAGGGGAAGAATTGTGTATCTTCCATCAGGGATGCACTTCAGCAAGAGCAATGCCGAGCAGCATGTCACGAACAACGAGCTAATGAGTTGGAGCAAATTATGGAGAATGTGAAGACCAAAATCGGTGAACTGGAGGATGGGTCCCTAAATAGGGTTTGCCAACAACAGAACAAAATCAAAGATCTTCAGAAAGAGCAGAAAGCTTTACAGGTACGTGGTGGTGTGGTGTTTCCTTGCATGGTAATACAGCTAATGAAGGCCACAAGTGCAAAGTTCAGAGGCCCTTCCAGTCCCTGACCTGTCTCATTTGTCTTGAAATGCTTCCCTTGTTTCCCAGATATCCTGTCTCTGGTTTTCCCCTTATCCCATGGGTCATTCTTGAACTTCTCTCCTTTCCCCAACTCCTTAGTGTTGGCATTTCCCAATGCTCCTTCCTCCCTCCCTCCCTCCTCTCCTCTCCTCTCCTCCTCCCTCCCTCCCTCCCTCCCTCCCTCCCTCCCTCCCTCCCCCTCCCTCCCTCCCTCCCTCCCTCCTTCCTTCCTTCCTTCCTTCCTTCCTTCCTTCCTTCCTTCCTTCCTTTCTCTTTGAGTTAAAAAACATTATTTTTATTATTCTTTTTTGGTTTGTTTGTTTTTGGGCCACACCCACTGGTGGTCAGGGCTTACTCCTGGATCTGCACTCAGGGATCGCTCCTGGTGGTGCTCAGGAGACCATATGGGATGCCAGAGATTGAAACTGGGTTGGTAGCCCATCCTGATTTCAGTCGCAAAATCCAAATACCCAAATTTTCAGCAGCTTATATCTCGGTGAGGTCCATCCTGAGTTGGTGGAGTCCGGCTGGGGGTCTGGTGATGATTTTGGATTGTGGAAGCAGGTGGCTGCCAGGGGCTTTGCTTGGGCAGGCACTAGGCTGACCCCTCCCTTCGATTTACCCTAGTCTGTTCAGCCTTGTGCAGGACCAGGGTCTGAGATTAACTGCAGCTTTTGATCTCTTTTAATATTTATTTATGCGTCTCTGAAGCAAAGCCAGTAGAAGAGTTTACACAGTGGCGCTGAAGTTAGTTTGTGCAGTGACTGTGCTTCCAGGAATGTCGGGAAGTAGGAGGAGGTCTCCCATGCCCACTCTGAGAAAGCCTGAAGATTTCAGTCACAAAACCCACACACTCAGATTTTCAGCAGCTACTGTCGTGGTGAAGTCTCTCCCAAGACAGTGGAGTCTGGCCAGGGGCATGGCAGCGATTTTGGGTTGTGGGAGCAAGTGGCAGCCAGGGGTTCTGCTTGGGTGGTACCAAGTTGATCTGCCCCCTCCGATTTACCCCGGTCTGTTCAGCCTTGTGTGGACCCGAGATCAACTGTGGCTCTTAATCTCTTTTGAGATTTATTTATAGGTCTCTGAAGCAAGGCCAACAAATGAACTTGGATAGCTGAGCAGGCGGTGGCTTGTAGGCATGCCTAACTTTTGACTGTTTCGTTTCTCAGGAAACTTGGTCCCAACTTGTTGGGAGGTCTGGCCAGAGGCACAGTGGCAGTTTTGGGCTATCAGGAAGCCTGAAGGCACCATCAGGTTGCTGATGCATTTGCTCCGCAGATACAGGTTGACCTGCTGGCAGCACCGCACTCCACCTACTCCCCTAAATCTTTTTTTTATTTTTTAGGGCTCCATGGCGATCTTACTCTGTTTCTGTTCAACTACTCACCTGTTTTTTAAGGGTTTTTATTTTTCTTGTGACTAAAGAGTAATTCACAAAATTTGACCTTTAGAACACATTTCTCAGCTAGGGGCCATCTGGCCCTCTGTGGGCTCCCAGGATAGTTCTTTACTTGTGATCCTTTATTGATCTTGAACCTGCTGATTAAATGGCTCATTATATTGATTAAATGGCTCATATGATTAAATTCAAGATTTTATCTGGAACACATGCAGTTACAAGCTCAGTATTTCCCTTATGTTGTGCCTATTTTCCTTGTTATCATTTGAGTTCTGAACTATCAAAGCTTCTGGAGGTTATGATATCCATTTGGAAACAAGCTCCATGCTGAAGTTCTTGAGTGAAGCTTCCTGACAAGGATGTGAAAGAGCCATTAGGAACCGTCTGGCCAGGGCAGTGGCTGCTACACACATCATGTTTCTTTTTTCTTTTTTTTTTTGCTTTTTGGGTCACACCTGGTGATGCTCAGGGGTTACTCCTGGTTCTGCACTCAAGAATTACTCCCGGCGGTGCTCAGGAGACCATATGGGATGCTGGGAATCAACGCCCTACCTGCTGTGCTATCACTCCAGCCCCACACATCATGTTTCTTTACATGTTGTCTTACAGATCAAATGTCAGAATTATAAAAAAAAGCGAATGGAGCAACAAGAAACTATTTCTTCTTTGCAAAAGGACATCTATAGGTTAACCAAGGAGGAGGAAGACCGAATTATCACTCAGAATCGAGTATTTTCCTATCTCTGCCAAAGAGTTCCTCATTCCGTCCTGGACAGACAGTAATGTTTGCTACATTAATTGATATACATAGCCGGGTTCATATTTTTTAAAAAACTGACTTGGGATAAACACTTAAAAATTGGCGTTATAGATGTCTTCCTTTTTTCTGCATTTGTTTTGGCGGGGAGGGGGCTGGGTTTGGGCCATACCTGGCAGTGCTCAGGGCTTATTCCTCTGAATTCAGGAATCATGGCAGGCTCAGAGACCATATAGGATGCCGGGAATAGAACCATCCACCCTGCTTTTTTTTTCTTTAATGTCATTAACTTATCAAAAAATAAATTAAAAAGGCCGTCTTTTTAGGACAGTGTATATAGATTTTTCTGTATTTTTGTTGGGTCATTTATTCTTCCATCTACTATATTTCCTCTGGACTGGCCCTGCAACATTAATTTTTCATCAATTATTGTTAGGATGTACAACATTTTTACTTTATTTCTTCTGATGCTTTATTTTCTACAGTACAGATGTACAATATTTACTTTGCTCTTGTTGAAGAATAAATTGTTTTCATTTTCACTCCTGAAAGTAAGGGTGAAGTGAATAATTTAGATCATCCTGAATTACACTACTGACAAACAAATTTCTATAGGAGGAATTATAGAAGATAGAAGTGCTGACATATAATACTTTTGGTTATTTTTAGGTGTATTTTGAAATAGATGGCTTGGTGTAATTCTGGCAAAAAAATCATTTAACTCTTTTGCAGACTTGCTAAGAAATCTGTTCTTTTGTAACTGTGATTTGAAACTGATTATTTGAAGTTCTGTATTGCTCCAGTTCCACATTTAGAAAGTAATTCAATGTCTCTTTTGATTTTAGGTTGCTCTGCTTAATTGATTACTATGAAAGTAAAATTAGAAAAATTTGTAAGCAAAGGTATGACTAATTTTACTATTTTATTTTTTATTAAATCATGGTGAACTACAGAGTTGCAAAGTTATTGGTTATTAAGTTCAGGCATACTGCATTTGAACGCCAGTCTCTTCACCAGTGTCCACTTCCCTCCACCTGTAGCCCCAGGGTCCTTCCTGCCCCTCTTGCTGCCTCTAGAGCCGGCCCTTTGCCCCGCACCGTACTTCTTCTCTTACTTACCCCCTCCTCCCATTCCAGCGGCAGCTCCCTCCTGAAGAACAGTGACAAGGCAAGCGCCCACCCTCTGGACTCACTCCAGCCCCATCTGCTCTTTCAAAAGGAATTTTGAAGGCTGCGTTTTACTACCTTTTTTTGGGGGGGGGGGACACTTGGTGATACTTAGAGGTTACTCCTGGCCATGCTTGGGGAACCATATGGATGCAGAAAATAAAAATTTGGTCAGTCGCGTACAAGATGCCTTACCCACTGTGTTCTCTCTCCAGCCCCTACTCCATTTGTTTGTTTGAATCTTTGGCACTGTGGTTTACAGTACTGTCAGTGCATAACGCAGTTCAGCACCAGGCTGTCTCCTGAGTAGCCACTTCCCCCACCTTTGTCCCAGCGCCCCCCACCCTAATTGTTTCTCCCCCAGACCCTTCCCTCCACTGCTGTGAGCTTCCTACTGAAAACCAACTCTTGATGTTATAATTTCTTTCTCTAGAAGGATATTAAAAGAACTTGAATTATTTTTTACCTTTTAAAACATAATTGAGGGGCTGGAGTGATAGCACAGCGGGCAGGGCATTTGCCTTGCATGTGGCTGACCCGGGTTTGATTCCCAGCATCCCATATGGTCCCCTGAGCACCGCCAGGAGTAATTCCTGAGTTCAGAGCCAGGAGTAACCCCTGTGCATCACTGGTATGACCCAAAAAGATAAAAAATAATTGATGATTTTTTACATGGAGAGTATCATGCTGAGTGAAATTAGTCAGAGGGAGAGGTACAGATATAGAATGATCACATTCATTTGAGGGATATTAAAAAATATAGTATGAAAATAATACTTGAAAACTTGAATTTTAATTAATGTTTATGTTTTCAGATCCTTAATGGGTTGATATGACTTTGTTTAGTTTTTTTCGTCTTGAAAGACTTTTTATAAGTACAATGCATTTATCTTTTTATATTTTTAATCTTTTCATAGACAGTATAAAGATGATGAAAGTCTATCAGAAGAAGAAAAAGATTGCAGAAATCTGGGTGCTTCACCAACTTATAAAGGCCTGCTAATGGTATGTGGACTAACAAATTTGGTTTTGGTTGTGGGGCCACACCTGTCTATGCTCAGGGCATTCTTCTGGCCCTGTACTTAGGAAGTACTCCTGACAGTTGTTCAGGGAACCGTATGTGTTGGTGGGGATGGAATCTAGATTGGTTTTATGCAAGCTAAATGCCCTGTCCACTGGCCTGTCTCTCTAGCCCTTGTTTTTGTATTTTTAATAGAGTAAAAGTCTTATAGGAAAGATCTTTGTCTTTCTTTTTTGTTTGTTTGATTTTGGGCCACACCTGGCTGTGCTCAGGATTTATTCCTTGTTAAGGGGCTCAAGGATCACTCCTGGCTGTGCTCAGGGGCCATCTGTAGAGATGGGGATCAAACCCAGATCAGCCCATGCAAAACAAGTGTCTTTCCCAGTGTACTATCTCTCCGTCACTTCTTCTTTTGGTTTTTGGGACACATTTGGCTGTGCTCAGGGCTTACTCCTGGTTCTGTTCAGGGATCACCCCTTGCAGGACTTAGAGGACCCTGTATGGTGCTGGAGGCTGAATCTGGGTTGGCCACATGCAAGGCAAGTGCCGCACTCCAGTACTCTCTCTCCAGCCCTGAGGGCTAAATATTTATCAATGAAATGTGTTGCAGTCATTGCAGAATCAACTTGGGGAAGCAAGATGTAAGATTGATACCCTTTTAAATGACAAGCTGAATCTCCAGAAAGATTTGGATAGCAGGTGAGTGAAAAGGTAATCTCAGTTTATCCTTGGGAGGTAAACATATGGGACTGGAAAGTTAAAATGAGAGAAAGCATGTTTTCAAAAACCCATGTTTTCAGTGGCAGATAGATGCAACACTCCACCGTACCTCCATGCACCGCCACCCCATTTCCTGCCATCTGCCTCTTCTTCCTTTCTCTGTTTCAAGGTGACAGGCTGGGGGCATAGAAGGGAACCTAGTTGCCTGACAGACTATTGTATAGCTAGGACTCAGCTGTCAACAACGTTGTAAACCGGGTTGTTGGAATAAGAGGAACCACACCCTCTTACACTCATCTTAGTCAGTTTTTCTCTCATAATGATGGAAGGAGGGATTGCGCAGATGGGCAAGGGAGTGAGAAAATACAAGTCCACTCAACGAAGACCTGGGTGAGGACTCAGGCAAGATTCATTTTCAGACCAGCAGTTTTTTCGAACCAGATTACTTTGGGCTGCCTTACAATTTCTGCTTCCTTTTGTGTTGTGGGAAGAAAAGACAGTTACAAAGTTTAAATGGTATCCACAGAAAGGTATAAAGTATAGGAATAATAAACAAGCTGAGTCTTGTTCATTATACAGTTGTTTCAGGCTTTTAGTGTTCCAACACTACCAGTGTGACCTTCCCTCCACCAATGTCCCCATTTTCCTACCCATCCTCAACCCGCCTGTCCCCTTAGGCACATAACAAATTTATGTTACTTGTTCCAACAAGACTTTAAGAAATGGCAAACAGAATGATTAGAAAATAAATCAGGGGGAGCCAATTTGTGACTGCTGTATGATTTTAACCTTTGTAAATAAGGAAAATAAACCCCCTTTAATACAATATAATAAAATGCTTATTCTCATTTACATAAGTAAGTTTTCAACTCTGGGATCTAAAGTATATTGCACTAAAAGTTATTCTATATTTGAATCTCTTTATGGTAATTATTGTACCTTACAGTCTTTAATAAAACTTTTAAAAATTTATTTATTTGTTTTTGCTTTTTGGGTCACACCCGGCGATGCTCAGGGGTTACTCCTGGCTCTGCAACTCAGGAATTACTCCTGGCAGTGCTCAGGGGACCATATGGCATGCTGGGAATAGAACCCGGGTCAGCCGCGTGCAAGGCAAATACCCTACCCTCTGTGCTATCGCTTCAGCCCCAGGAAACACTTTTTTTTTTTATTTTCCACTTTTTTTTTACTTAAACCGTCAATTGTGGTTTTATCATTTTTTTCTGGAAATAATATCATAGCATTTTCATCACTGCTTTTATGTGCTATTCTCAACACAAATTTTGAATTAATCTATGATTGATGCAGAAATTTTTATCAAACTATTACATGCATAGAGAAAGATAAGACAAATTTTAAGGTTAATGGATTTCAGAAATACACCCGTGTTTAATCAGCATTAAGTAAAACAGAATATTCTACCATGCCAGAACCTTCTTTCCACCTGCTATAACTTTCTCTACTCACAACTTCCTGAAAGAGACTAGTTCCTAAAATTCTAACCTTTGAGACTGCTTTTGTAATATTTTGGATAAATAGAATCCGGCATTTTGTGCAAATATTATGTGTCTTATTTTTTTACTGAAAATTATGCTTGTGATACTCATTCACATTTGAATAAATATGTTTTACTTTTTTTTTCTTTCAATTTTTTTCCCCTTTATTTTTTTTTTTTTTTTTACAGTTGTAGATTTACAATTTTTTGTGCTTTGGTTTCAATTATACAATGATCAGGAAACACTTTTGAACAGAAAAGGAATCTAGTTGCCAATACATACCTCACTGTCAAAGGTAGTTTAAGAATTTTGGTAAGTGGGGCTGGAACGAGAGGATTGAACTCAGGAATTGAACGCAGGTTGGCTGTGTGCAAGGCAAACACCACTGTACTATCGCTCTAGCCCCATGCTTTATAAGTTTTATTCACTAAGTTGCGTGCTTTTAACATGATTTTTTTTTTTAGGCCTACATTGAGTGAATTTAGACTCTACAAGGAACAAGTGAAGAGACTGGAGAGAGCACTTAGGAAAAACATCAGGTAGTTCTCTCTTACAATTTTATTCAAGATTTTTTTTCTTTTGTTGAACCTGTGAGATTCTTATTTATGTCATAGCTACCTTGTTTTGAAATTACAGGTGAGATATGTGTGGGAAATTCCATTGAAAAGAAACATTTCTGGTTTCATGGTTTAAATGTAGCTGCTACAGGGGCCAGACTGATACAATGGGTAGGGCACCTGCCTTGCATGTGGCCGACCCAGGTTTGATTCCCAATAGATAATCTGATTCCCTGAGCACTGCCAGATGGGATCCCAGAACACAGAGCTATGAATAAGCCCTGAGCATTCCCAGGTGTGGTCCTAAAACCCAAACCAAAAACTGTTACTGTCTTGCATTTGGGTACATAATAATCTTAAATAAGAATATGGGAAAAATAGTTGGCTAGTGGAAATAAGGGCATAGATTTAATATGGAAAATTGTCTTGGGACTCAGGGAGAATAGCAAAATAACCACTGAGATGACAAGACCTTGATGTTTGTTGGTAGTATTTGTGACCTGAATAATATAAAACCTTGTCATACTTTAAACTGAAAAGTACCAGAATTAATTCAGTGGGCTGTTCATATCTACCACTTGTACCTGTCTTTCTGTTTTTTCCTTTTTATAAAGTTGTCACAATAGTTCATTACAAATAACGTTCAAATACCAATTCCACCATCATGTCACTTCCCACCACCATAAGAGGAAAGTGTGTGAAGATTGTTGCCTGGAGCCATACTTAAGCCCTTATATAAGAGATACTTGTACCGTTCTTGACTGTGTAAAGCTCCCCAGAAGAGGCTCAGGGGCCAGGATGAAGCTTCATAGCTGGCTGTGCACTTGCCCTGTGCGGGGTGGGCCTGGGCCTCATCTCTGACACGAGAGGGGGAAAAAATCTACAAAGGAGTTTAATGTTTTTTATTTTGCTTTTTTAAAAATAGTGATTGAGACTCAGTAACTTACAATAACGAAGGTTTCCCATGCACAGAATCCCAGCACGACACCCATCACAGTGTACCCACCTTCCTCCCCCAAGAACCTAGATCCCCTCCCTTAGTTGTGTGGGTCAGTTCCAAAGCAGTCTTTAAAAGCTGTTCCTGGGGGTGGAGCAATAGTGCAGTGGCGTTTGTCTTGCATGCGGCCGACCTGGGTTCCATCCTTGGCACCCCTTATGGTCCCCTGAGCCCAGCCGGGTGAGATCTCTGAGCGCAGAGCCAGGAGTCATCCCTGAGTATTGCTGGATGTTTCCCCTGCTCCCCTAAAGAAAAGGGTTAGTCCTCAAGGACTGTAGAGGTACAGCGGGTCACCGGCACTGCATACGGTTCCCTAAACACCTCCAGGAGTGATCCCTGAGCGCAGAGCCAGGAGTAAGCCCTGAGCACAACATGTGTGGCCCAGAGAATAAAAACAAACAGAAGTTGGTGCCCAGGGATAGTATCTTGTAGAGTGTTTGTGCAAACTCCTTGGATGCAAGGGCCTGGGACTTGCAGAAGTAGTATGAAGAGTATAGGAATGAAGCATCCTGGGCATCATATGTTGAGTTTCCCTGTCAGATCACGTACACTCAGTGTACTCAGGCTTATGAAGTTGGTCGAGTTCAGGAGCTTGAGGGAATTCTTAGTGGCAACTGTGTTTTCTGTCTGACGGCGCCACACGCCACAGTGAAAGGTGGTCATTTTGATGATCCAGGAATCATCTATTGAGACAGCCAGAAGTGAGGACCGCGGAGGGACCAGCGAGCCGGTGCTTGTCTTGCATGCAGCCAGGACTGATCCCTGAGCACAGAGCCCCAAGTTGGCCCTCAGTACTGCTCAGGGTGTGGCCCCAAAGCAAAACAAACAGAAAGCAAGAAGTGGAGCCGGAAACAGAAGTGGAAGATTTAAAGACGTGGTACTCGTTCATTCTGTCAGTATCTTCCGGCTTGATGTTGCTTCTTGTTTTATCATCCCCCTATTTGATAATTGCTTTCTTACTGCTGGAATTGCAATCATACAATGAATTTGAAAGGTCACTACCCATGGGGCCAGAGTGACAGCACAGCAGGTAGGGTGTTTGCCTTGCATGTGGCTGAACCAGGTTGGATCCCCGGCATCCCATATTATACCCCCCCCCCCCCGCCCGAGCACTGCCAGGAGTAATTACTAAGTGCAGAGCCAGGAGTAGCCCCTGAGCATCACTTGGGTGTGATCCTAAAAGGAAAAAGGAACTCCTAGGAATGTGCAGAAAGGACTCAGTTATCAAAACGTGTGTTTTGTATCAGTGTAGCAAAAAAAAATATTTTTTTTTGAGACAGGTAGTTCTTTTGTTTTGTTTTGGGGCCCCCTCTGGCTTGCGGTGCCTAGAGTATTATAACCTGCACTATAACTAAGATTATATTGGTGGGGGCAGACCCAGTGGTGCTCAGGGCTTACTCCTGGCTCTGCACTCAGGGGTCACTCCTGGTGGGCTCTCGGTACCATATGTGGTGCCAGGGATCAAATCTGGGTTGACTGCATGCAAGGCAAAAACCCTGTGATCACTCTGGACTCCAGTGTAGCTAAATTAACAAAATACCCTCCAACAAAATTGGCATTCTGCTTTTCTTTCTTTCTTTCTTTCTTTCTTTCTTTCTTCCTTCCTTCCTTCCTTCCTTCCTTCCTTCCTTCCTTCCTTCCTTCCTTTCTTTCTTTCTCTCTCTCTCTCTCCCTCCCTCCCTCCCTCCCATCTTTCTTTCTTTTTCCCTCCCTCCCTCCCTCCCTCCCTCCCTCCCTCCCTCCCTTCTTTCTTTCTTTCTTTCTTTCTTTCTTTCTTTCTTTCTTTCTCTCTTTCTTTCTAATGTAGGAGTACTGCTATTTATTCAGCCATTGATTAAGCTGGTTGGGCATTCTGCTTTTCAATGTGGTCCTCATCTCCAGGATGAGACACCCTGGGATTATAGAAACACTTCCTGGGGAGTAAAGGTAAAGGCCCTCCCGTTGATCGTCAATTTGCTCGAGCGGGCCCAGTAACGTCTCCATTGGAGACTTTGTTGTTACTGTGTCTGGCATATCGAATACTCTCGGTAGCTTGCCGGGCTCTCCGAGAGGGGCGGAGGAATCGAACTCGGGTCGGCCATGTTGGCCGCGTGCAAGGCAAACGCCCTACCGCTGTGCTATCGCTCCAGGGAGTGTCAACAGTTAGTCAGTGCCTGCACAGGGTGGGGAGGGCTGGGACCCCCACAGGTGGAGACTCTGAGTCCTCAGCCTGGACAAAGGGGCAGATCATCTGCTTTGTAGAAGAAAAGACCAGATTCAGTTAAGAACATGTAAATGGAGAATTCCCAGGGCCGTGGCCCTGGAGTGAACTGGCCAGCTGGGGTGGGGAGGGGTGGGGTGAGTTACAGTCCCAGCCAAGTAGTGGGTGGGGCCTGCTTCAAGGAGAGCAAAGCGGGTGACTTCATAGGGCAGAGCTTTGCCTCTGGACATCTGCCCTGCTTTGAAGATGCTTTCTCTGATTAAAAATAAATAAATAAATAAATAAATAAATAAATGTGTTTTTTTCTGGGGCTGGGAGATTGCTCCAGCGGGAGAGCACAAGCCCTTCTGTGAAGCCAAGAGCTGTGCTGGACCAGGCCCCACACAGAGTGACCACAGGCCACTGACACTGCCAGATATGGCTCCTGGTTGTTGTTTTTTTTTGTCCTTTCCTGGCAGTGCTCAGGGCTTGCTTCTGGCTCTGAGTCAGGGATCACTCCTGGTGTGGCAGGGACCAACCCAGGCCTTCTGGGTACAAGGCATTTGCCCTACCCACTGTCCTATCTTTCTGGCCATGTGGCCCCTATTTTATTTTATTTTATTTATTTTTTATTTTTTAATTTTTTTGCTTTCTTTGGGTCACACCTGGTGATGCACAGGGGTTAGTCCTGGCTCTGCACTCAGGAGTTACTCCTGGCGGTGCTCAGGGGACCCTATGGGATGCTGGGAATCAAACCCGGGTCGGCCGCGTGCAAGGCAAACGCCCTACCCACTGTGCTATCTCTCCAGCCCCCCCATTTTATTTTTAATTAAAAAAATTTAATCACCGGGGTGGTGGGAGGGATGCTGGAACAGTTGATGGTGGAGAATGGGCACTGGTGGAGGGATGGGTACTCGATCATTGTATGACTGAAACGCAAGCATGAAAGTTTGTAAGTCTGTAACTGTACCTTACAGTGATTCACTAATAAAATTTTAAAAAAAGTCTAGTCACCGTGAAATCACAAAGTTCTTCATTATTCATGATCATGTTTCAGGCATACAGTGTTTCAGCACTGCTCCTTTCTCCAGTGCCCACGTCCTTCCACCAGGAAGGCGGGTCCAGGTGACCGTCCCTCCAGTATTGAATGAGTTCCTTTATGCCCACATCTGCGCCAGCACCGGCTGTTCTTGCTCTTTGCAGATGTGGGCCAGCCGGAGCTGTGAGCTGATGTCTCCTGCTGTGATTCGCATCTCTAATGCTTGGTGACTCTGCAGAGCATTTCTTCCTGTGCCTTTTTTTTTCTGTTTTGGGTTTTTGGGTCACACCCAGCGATGCTCAGGGGTTGCTCTTGGCTCTTGCCCTCAAGAATTACTCCTGGTAGTGCAAAGGGACCATATGGGATGCTGGGAATTGAACCTGGATTGGCTGCATGCCAGGCAAATGTCCTCTCCCACTCTGTTATCGCTCTGGGCCCCCATTTGTATTTTTTCCTTTGAGGAAGGTTCTGTTGATTTCTTCTTCCCACTTTAACTGTGGCTTAGAGAGTTGCTCGCGATGGTTTATTATAGACATTCAGTATTCCAACTCATGCCCACCACCATGGTTTCGCTTGCCCCAGACACCCCTCAAGCTGCCCCCGTAGGAGGCCTACAGAAAAGAATTTATGTTTCTTGTTACCACTAAATGGCTAACAGAGTGATCAAAAAATATTTCAGTAGAAGAATCTTCATAAAAATTGTTGTATCTCGCCATGGGGACACCAAGTCCTTGCCTGAGGGATTCCTAAGCTGTTACTGCAGGTAAGCCTTCGGTGGTAATGTTCCCTTAGTTGAGATTGACTGGCTTCTCTGCTGCATTTCCGTCCAATCTGGTCTGCTCCTCCTGGGATGTCAGCAGAGGTTGGAGCTGTCCCTCTAGAAAATCCAGAATGTTCCATTGGGCAGTATGGCTGGAGGCATGGTGGCGGCTTTGGGGCAGTTTGGGGTCGTGGTAGGGTTGAAGCTGGCCCACCCTACTCCCAGAACTTCCAAGATCGCTGAGGTCTCAGCTGGGAGTGGTATCTGAGAAATATTTGCTGCCAGTTGATCTCTTTCTAGATTCATTTATGAGTCTCTGGAACAAAACCAACAGGGGAGCTTCGGCTGCCGGGGAATATGGGTGTAGCTCTCCCTGTTTTTTGATGGGGTTGTATGTTGTTTTCTTTGAAGTTCTGTCAATGCCTTATATATCTTTGATATTAACCCCTTATCAGAGGAGTATTTCTCCCATTCATGGGCTGTTTCTGTGTCCCGGTCACCACTTCCTTTGGGGTGCAGAAACTACTTAGCTATGGAGTCCCACTTGTTTATCTTTGCTTCCACTTGCTTGGTCAGTGGAGTTTCATCCTTGAAGATGCCTTTGGTTTCAGCGTCACAGAGAGTTCTGGCTACGTTTTCCTTTACATACCTGTGGTTTCAGCTTTGCCATCAGCGTCTCTAATCCATTTTGATTTGACTTTTGTGCATGGTGTTAGGAAGAGAATTGAGGAACCGGGCAATAGTATAGTGGCAAGGTGCTTGCCTTGCATGCAGCTGACATGGGTTTGATCTCTGGTGTCCCATATGGTCCCCTGAGAGCCACCAGGAGTAGTGCCTGAGTGCAGAGTCAGGAGTAAGCCCTGAGCACTGCTAAGAGTGGTCCCAAACCAAAAGTAAATAAAAGGCCCTCCCGTTGATCGTCGATTTGCTCGAGCGGGCCCAGTAACGTCTCCATTGGAGACTTTGTTGTTACTGTGTCTGGCATATCGAATACTCTCGGTAGCTTGCCGGGCTCTCCGAGAGGGGCGGAGGAATCGAACTCGGGTCGGCCATGTTGGCCACTTGTAAGGCGAACGCCCTACCCGCTGTGCTATCACTCCAGCCCCAAAAGTAAATAACAAATCATAAAAGAAAGAGGTCTCAGTTCTTCTCTTTCTTCCTTCCTCTCTTCTTTCTTCCTTCCTCTCTTCTTTCTTTCTTTCTTTCTTTCTTTCTTTCTTTCTTTCTTTCTCTTTCTTTCTGCATGTAGCTGCTTAATTTTCCCAACACCACTTGTTGAAAAGGCTTTCCTTGCTCCACTTCCTATGTTTTACTCCTTTATTGTAGATTAAATGAGGGTCAGTCTCAGGATATTAACCTCTATTCCATTGATCTGAGGAACAATAGAGCATATTATCCTTATTTAATTTTTTTTCTTTTTAACCTGGAGATGACTTTCAATCTAAGCAATCTACATCCTTTGGTTTAGTAACAATTTTCCAGAGGTTTTTTTTTTTTTTTCTTTTTTGGGTCACACCCGGTGATGCACAGGGGTTTCTCCTGGCTCTGCACTCAGGAGTTACTCCTGGCGGTGCTCAGGGGACCATATGGGATGTTGGGAATCGAACCCGGGTTGGCCGCATGCAAGGTAAACGCCCTACCCGCTGTGCTATCTATCGCTCCAGCCCCTTTCCAGAGGTTTTCTGTTGATTTTACTTCCACGTGCCAGGGTAACAGGTATTGAAAAAAAAATCTACTCTGGATATCTTGAGAAAAACCTACCTGAATATTTTAGGGGCAACCAATCCCACACCACTCTTAGGTGTTTTGTTTGTATTTTGGCAGTCAGGCCTACTTTAGCAGTTAGAAAAAGACAGAAAATGTCTAACTTTTGTTTTGTTTTGTTTTGGGGGTTCAGCTGGTGGTACTCAGGGCTTATTCCTGGCCTTGCTCTGGGATCATCCCTGGTGGGACTTGGCGGACCATATGGGGAGTCGTGGCTCTAACCCAGATGCACCACAAGCAAAGCAAACACCTTCCCTGCTGTATTATCACTCCGGGCCCACCCTAATCCATTTCTGCATGCAGATTATTCTGCTTCGAAGCTTGTTTCTAAAACACCAGTTGGAAAGTAAGGTAGTGATTTATAGTGTACCATGGAAGTTCATTGCTCACATGTGAGTTTTGCTAGGTTCAAGGAGCTAGAAAAAGCTAATCCATAAGCACCTGATCTTCTAGTTCTTTGTGAAGGATATTTAGGAGGAGAAACTGTGCTTATGTTCTGGTATAGTATAGTATAGTCTTTATGAATCAGATTTGCAAATACGTTCATTGGAAAACATTTTCACCTAAGTAAAAAGTTAACTAACATTTAAATGTCAGATATATCAGTTTTCTTGTATCCCCGCTAGAAAACTCACTAGCTTTTCTCTGTACCTTTTGTGTCTAGATAATATGCTTGTGGCACTGCCTTTAGGATAAACTGTAAGATCTGTGAGCATGGTGAACTGGCTGTAGGCGATTGGGAACTAGAGTGTGAAGCCTCTGTGTCAGGCAGAGGAAGGAGCCGCAGATGGTCTGTTTGTGGTCTAGACCTCTAGGGAGATAAAGGACAATGCAGGTAATCAGAGTAGATAATTGTCCCTAGAAGTAAGGAGATGTGAGGATTTTTTTTTCCTTTTAGATTAGGACTAATAGCATGATTAGGTTCCTGTGCAGACACAGGAGATTAGATTTGGTTCACACACGGCAGTGGCTCCTGCTGTTTTTAACAGACAGATGGCGTGTTGGAATATCATTTTACTATTCCACAAAGGGCCAGGTAAGAGCAGGTGCAGGTCCCAGACTTGGTTTAACGGGTCGGGATCTGATGGAAACTGGTAGACACGCTCAGGTTTGAGACGATTGCTTTTTTTCCCCTTCCCTCTGTGGTGCAGTGATGGTTGGCGCCGGCATGTGCTGGCATGCGCTGCCCTCTCCCCGGGCCTTTCAGCTCTGCCTCCCAGTTTGTGAGCTCACCCACCTAGCTCTTGCTGCTACAGTATGAAAACGAGTTGCCTTGCCCATTTCTTTTTTTCTTTTTTTTTGGGGGGGGGGTCACACCCAGTGATGCACAGGGGTTACTCCTGGCTCTGCACTCAAGAGTTACTTCTGGCGGTGCTGGGATACTGGGATACTGGGAATTGAACCTGGGCCGGCCTCTTGCAAGGAAAATGCCCTACCTGCTGTGCTATTGCTCCAGCCCCGCACATTTTTTTTTAATGTAAAATATTGGTTCAGAAATAAGTTTGCTCAGCATTCAGGCAACCATATGCAGTGCCGGGGATGGAACCCACATCAGCCGCGTGCAAGGCAAGTGCCTTCCCTACTGGAATGTCCGTTATTTCTTGCTTCTCAAGCTTAGAGCACATTGGATCCTTTGCTGGAGTTCTTTTCTATTTCTTTGTGAGTGTTGGAGAGTGGTTAAAACTTTCCTCTTCACCGTCCAGTCCTTTTTGTTCTCAGGGATTTCCATCTAATTTGTAGGCTACTGAGATGACCTTTTTCACTGACAATATGGCTTAACATTGGCAACAACTTAGATATTTTGTACAGAGAAGCGCGCGCGCGCACACACACACACACACACACACACATACACACACACACACACCGCGGGAAGGTCACACAGCAAAAAGTCATTGTCTTTTTGTGGTTACTGATTTGGTGCTTCCTGCTCAATTTGGTGTTACTGCTCAATGCTTGGGGCTCCTGACAGGTACCTGGGGGACCAAGCAATTCTCGGAATTAAACCTAGGGTTTCCCACAAGCACAGCAAATTCTGGACTGCTGAGTTCCATCCTGACCCTTCTGTTTACCATCTTTTTCAAAGTACTGGTCTGAGAGAATGTTTTGGATCATCTTGATTTGCTTGTTTTTTCCTTCTTTAGATTACAGAATCTTCTTGGTGAAGGTGGGTGTAAGGACAGAGAGCAAAGAGATGAGCTTTGCAAAGACAGCGACGCCCTCCTGGGACAGAGATACTTCCAGGTACAGCACTAGAGAGAGGGCTGAGTGTGGAGAACCAGGGTCCCACTCGCCACGTGGGAGGCTCGTGTCTGTGTTTATACGTGCTCCCCCAGTCCTGCTTGCCATGACTTGCCTACGTAGCTTAAAAACATTGTAGGCACCTTGATTAAGAATTTCTCCTACCGGGGCTGGAGAGATAGTACAGTGGGTAGGGCGTTTGCCTTGCACACGGCCAACCCGGGTTCGATTCCCAGCGTCCCATATGGTTCCTTGAGCACCACCGGGAGTAACCCCTGTGCATCGCCAGGTGTGACCCAAAAAGCAAAAAAAAAAAAAAAGCATTTCTCTTACCCTTTGAAAGAGGTGTTGGCTTAATTCAAAGCAGTGTGGTAAACAGCAGGATTCTTTACTTGTTAAAAAAAATTATTGTTTTTGTTCTTGGGTACCACATCTCAGGGCTTACTCCTGGCTTTGTGCTCAGGGATTACTCCTGGCTCTGCACTCAGGAATCACTCCTGGCGGTGCTCAGGGGAACATGTGGGATGCCGGGGCTGAGCCTGGGTCAGCCACATGCAAGGCCTTATCTGCTGTACTATCTCTCCAGCCCCAAAAGATTTTTTCTTTTTAAAAAGATTTATAATATGTGGTCAGAGAGATAATACAGCAGGTAAGGCTTCCTGATGACAGAACCCTGCAAAGAGAAAAAAATACAGGGAAAAAAAATAATTGCAATATTCTTTACAGTCTGAGAAATAGGAATATGTGCTGCTCAACATATGTTGTGTTTCTCAGATCATGACAATTGTCAGTCTTACTAGAGACCCTGTTAGTACTTAGCCAGAGCCCTGAGAATCTTGGTCCAATGCATACGGAGAACATCACTTTGACAGGACTATGAGAGTCACTAACTAGAACACTCTTTTCTAAAGGTGCTGTGTGACATCAATGCGATTATTCACCATCCGAGAGCTCCGGTAGTAATTTATAAACAAAGTAAAGGAGGATGCCAAAATTTTAATCAAGATTTCGTTCAAGATTGTGGATTTGAGCACCTTATTCCTATACTAGAAATGTGGGCAGAACAGTTGAGTTTTGTAAAGGTAAGGAGCAGGTTGGATGTTCCTTTCATGTTTTCTGTTGGATGTTCTTTTCATGTTTTAAAAATGTGTTGCTATCTGTGGGCTTTAGTAACAGAATTGGGCATCATTTCTTTTCTTCAGTGGAGAAAGAGGGTGTCACCCATCCTCAGGGGCTGCTGTCAGCTTGTGTGTGGCACCAGGGATTGAACCTGGGCTTCCTGCTTGCAAACATACACTCAGCTGCTGACCTCTCTTCAGCCCACGTACATGTGTGCCTCACCATGCAAAGTACACACGCGACCCCAGTGCCCTCTCCCTCACCTGAGTGTTTTCTGCCATAGAGTATTCTGTATAATTGCACCTTGTGACACCTGGATAGTAAAGTGTCATTATATTGTGACTGCCTTTTAAAAAAATTCGTGTGGCATTTACTATTTCAATCATCTTTGCATCTGAATATATTGTCTTAAGTTGATAAAATGATCAAAAGCCTTCTCTGCAAATCCAAGGTTGAAGATACCAATATGTGAATCCACACAGTAACTGAAGAGTGTTATTTATTGTATTTCTTTATGGAGTCTAGAGCTATACTGTCTAATAGGAACCACTTATCACATATACCTATTAAAATGTGTCTTGTCTCAATTTAGTTGTGTTGTAAGTCACAAGCATATACATAAGACTTAGTATGGAAAAGTAATTTAAGTATTGATCATCTATTGAAATGGTAATACTATTTGAGTTAAGAATCTATGATTAAACTTAACATCATTGAAATCACATTGAAAATATGGCCACTAGACTATTTAAAATTTTAAATTTCTTTGCGTATAAGGGGATCAGCATGGAAAGTGTCATGTTAAGGGAAATGAGTCAGAAAGAGAGAAACAGACATAGAAAGATTGCACTCATTTGTGCAATAGAAAGCAACAGAATGGGAGACTTACATCCAAGAATAGTAGAGAGGAGTACCAGGAGGATTGCTCCACAGCTTGGAAGCCGGCAGCTCAGATAGAGAAAGGATCACCAAGTAAAGGGTGCTTGGAGGGCCCGCTCAGGTGGGAGATAAGAGCAGGCCCTCCAAATGAAAGTAGTTTATAGAACGAACATGACAGCCACTCAATACCTATATTGCAAACCACAACACCCAAAAGGAGAGAGAGAGCGAGCAAAAGGGAATTCCCTACCACAGAGGCAGGGTGAGGTGGGGTGGGGCATAAGGGGTGGTGGGAGGGATACTGGGATCATTGGTGGTGGAGGGATGGGTACTCGGTCATTGTATGACTGAAATGTAAGCACAAAAGTTTGTAAGTCTGTAACTGTACCTCACGGTGATTCATTTAAAAATAAAAAGTTAAATGCTAATTTTTAAAAAATTTTTCACATGACATTTTTGGGGGAAACATTTACTAAATACTCAGGAAATATTGCTTATCAGCTGACCTGCCTCAAAGTCCTAAACTTCCCAGAACCTTACCTTTTTGCACAAATTTTAATTGTTTAAGACAACGTGTAGGTCAACAAAGCAAAGCGGCTATAAAGCTGAAGTAGCATTAATTAGCGTCCTGTCCAATTAAAAACTCCCCAGGAGGACAGCAAGCACGCAGAGCACCAGGCGCTTGCTTTGCCTGTGGAAGGCCCAGGTGTGATCTCCTCCTGAATACCTCCTCTTAAAAAAAGGTGCCCTGCAGGAGACAGATGCTCCAGTATGGATAGATCTTGAAACTCTTAAGAATGTCCCCAAATCAGCAAATATGTGGCGAATTAGATTGGTACATAGGGTGACTGAGCAAGAATGAAGATTCTAACAAGTGGGTAAGGAGTTTCTTTGATGAAAATCAGAATGTTCTGAAATTAAGATAAGGATGATTGGTTGCCCAGTTCTATAAACGTAGTAAAATTACTGAGCTATATATATTTGACTGGATTTTTATGGCATGTGAATTACATCCTTAATGGAGGACATGAAAGTTCAGGACAAAAATATAAAACAAACAAAGCTTGTGTTTTAATCTGTTAATGCTTTAAAATCATCACTATCATTATAGGAGATTTTAATACTAAATAAGTACCTAAAACTTCAGATAGGTTTTTTTGTGTGTGAGACCCTTAATCTGGTGAAACTAAATTTCACAGACTGTTTTTAAACTGATAATGATATTTATTTTGGTTGGGTTTTGTTTGGGGCCACACCAGGCAATCCTCGTGGCTCTGCACTCAGGATCACTGTTGGTGATCAGGGATTACTCCTGGCAGTGCTCCGAAGTGGTATGTGGTGCCAGAGATCAAACCTGGGTCAGCGGCATGTAAGGCAGAAGCCCTACCCGCTGTACTCTCTAGCTTGATAAAAGTGTAATATTAATAATACTGGTAGTGGTATATATAAAACCTCTTTGGGTAGTTATGTCTTATCTTTTTTCAATGAAAATTTTATTTTCTATCAGTAATATCATGTAGTTTCTTTTGTTATGAAGGAATTATATAAGTCTTTGAGAACACTGTCTGCAGAATTGGTGCCTTGGCATAATCTGAAAAAGCCGGATGAAAATGAAGGTGTCAGAGTTGAAGATTTGTTGCTTATAGTTGATACCATGTTGGAAGAAGTTGAAAATAAGGAAAAGGTAATACTTAAATAATATGCATATTTTATTGTAATCATATATTTAAAACCAATAGTGTTAATCTAGGAATTTCCATTTTTCAAGTTTTTATTAGAGATTTGCAATTATTTTTTATTGTGAACTGTCTTTTTTCCCTCTTTATTTTTTTTTGGACAGGGCAGCAGTACTTCAGACTTTCAGACTTTGCAAGCTATTGTTTCTCACTTTCAAAAATTGTTTGATGTGCCTTCTTTATGTGGAGTGTATCCGCGAATGAATGAAGTTTACACTCGACTTGGAGAACTAAACAATGTCGTGAGATGTCTCCAAGAACTCTTAGAATTAGGTGATGATCCTTTGTCATTTTGGGCTCCCCTTTAAGAATAATTAGCCAACCAAAAGTAGGTTATAAAATTGGGAAGGGGTTAGACTATAACCAGCAGTGTGCAGGGCTTACTCCTGGATCTGCATTCAGTGGTCCTTCCTGGGGGGCTTAGGAATTACATATTGAAACCAGGGATCGAACCTGGGTTGGCCAAGACCAAGGCTAGTGCCCTACCCACTGTACTCTTTAACCTAGTTTTTTTTAGCACTGTAGCACTGTCCTCCCGTTGTTCATCTATTTGGTCGAGCGGGCACCAGTAACACCTCCATTGTGAGACTTGTTACTATTTTTCGCATATCAAATATGCCACAGGGAGCTTGCCAGGCTCTGCCATGCAGGTAGGATACTCTCAGTAGCTTGCTGGGCTCTCTGAGAGGGATGGAGGAGTCGAACCCAGGTCGGCTGCATGCAAGGCAGATGCCCTATCCGCTGTGCTATCGCTCTAGTTTTCTTAAGAAAAAAAATTTTTTGAGGGTAACAGGGCCAGGGTATAGCTTAGCAGTGAACATTTCCCTTGCATGAATGTTAATCCCCAGGATTGTGAAAAAAGAAGAAAGAGGAAAATGAGGATAGATGGCCTTTAAATGAAAGGCCAAAATATTTGATTTAAAGCTTTTGGAAGTTTTTGTTTAAAATAATCTGCCTTTTTCTTTTCTCTTTGATAGATAATTCGTCCTCATTATATGTGTTGGTGAACACAGTTGGGAAACTGTGTAGACTGGTGAATGAGGGTATCAAAGACCAGGTTGTACAGATGTTAGGACCGGAAGATGTTCAAAGGTATTTATATCCAAACTCTGAAGAGTTCCCAGAATTATGGGCATGGTCAAATTAAAGAGTTTGAAAACTTCCTAAGTTATTTATCTTTCCTGTTTGGTCTAGCACCTTTTGAAAAACTTAATAGTTGAAAATTATCTCACACAGAGATGGAGAGAGTGTCAGTATTTTCAAGATAAAAATAGATTGTAGGGTCTTGTAGGTTTAGGTAAAGTGGTTCAACATAATTCCTGTAAATCTGTTCCCAGGAGAGATTATGTATGAAGAATGAAACCTTGTTAACAACTGGGACGGGAGCGATAGTACAGCAGGTAGGGCACTTGCCTTGCATGCGGCCAACCTAGGTATGATCCCCAGCAGCCCATAAGATCACCCAACCACTGCCAGGAGTAATCCCTGAGTGTAGAGCTAGGAGTAATCACTGAACAATGCAGGTATGACCTCAAAACGAAAAAGAAAAAGAAACCTAGGGCTAGAGCAATAGCACAGCAGGGAGGGTGATTGCCTTGCACATAACTGACCTGAGTTCAATCTCCAGCATCCGATTTAGTCCCCCGAGCACTGCCAGGAGTAATTCCTGAGCACATAGCCAGGAGTAACCCCTGAGTAACCCCACCCACCCCCAACAAAGAAACTTTGTTAACTTCACGTAAGTTCCCGACGTATAAATAAGCCTATTTTGAATCTACCGCCATAGATCACTGAATAATCCCCATAGACGCTGAATAATCCCTACCCGTGTATTTATTATTTGATTTAAAGATATGTTGAGTTTTTATTTTTTTATTGAACTGACATAAAACCTAATTAAAATACATATTATATGTAAAAACCTAATTAAAAATATATATTAATAAAATAGGGATAAATTCTTAATTCCATGCACCTCAAGAAGGGGGGAAAAAAGAAAGCAGAAATGTTTATTTATAGTTTAAAACACTGTGATGTACAAGGTTCTTTGTGATCTGTTTGTTTAGTTGTTTCAGGCAGGCAGTGTTCTAACTCCCATCCCATCACTAGTGTGACTTCCCTCCACCAGTGTCCCCAGTTTTGCACCCACCCTTAGCAGGCTCGTAATCAACGGACTTCCTTTTGCTTGCTACAGCATGGCTTGAGGAAATGGCAAATGGAATTACCAGGAAATATCTCAAAAATAAAGTCAGTTTGTGATGATGGATTGCTATGTGATTTTAACTTGTGTAAATAAATTCAAATTGCAAAATGGAAACATTTTAGGTTCAAGCTATACTTAAAGCAACTCTTCTCCCCACCCACTAATTTTTTTACTGCATCATATGGAAAAGCAGCTGTATGCCACATGATCTGTGACTTTTACAAGTGTCCTAAGAAGAATCCTTACCTTTTCTGACATTTCAGTTTTCTGATGCTTAATGTTTTTTTAAAAAAATTTTCTTAGGGTCCTACCTAGCAGTGCTTAGGGCTTACTCCTGGCACTGTGCTCAGGCTGGCTCAGGGGTGCCATATGGGATGCCAGGGATCAAACCCAGGGTGAGGTTACCACGGGCCAGGCAAGTGCCCTCCCCACTGTACTATTACTCCGGCCCCCAGTGATGCTTATTGCTTTTAAAGGAACATGTTTATCTCACCATTTCTTTCCCTTCACAGAGTTTTACTGACTACTGATACTTATTCTGAATGTTTACTAGGATATAAAAGTCAAATATTTTAAGAAACGCCTAGAAAATCATCATGGTCTCTGTAAGAATTCTTATGTTAAATGGAATATTTTCAATACCAGAAATGTTTTCTCTTTCTTTATTTTTTCATTTTGGGTTGTCAAAGTAATGGTCAGGGGCCCCCAGAACCATTCCCAGAGATGCTTATTTGACCACTGAGGCTCAGACGGTTCAGCGCTTGTACCAGCGCTGTGGGGCTCTGGGGTCAGCGGTGTGGAGGCGCTCAGCCCTCGAGCGCATAGCTGGGGGTCACTGGTGTCAGTGATTGAATTCAAGGCTGCAAGGCACGCCATGCCTCTGAGCCCTCACCTGGCCCTGAAATGGCATGAATTTAGTTTTGGAACCAATGTTTACACGGATAAGAATTTTTTATTTTTTAAATTTTTATTTCATTACTATTATTGTTGGTTTTGGGGGGCCACATATGGTGATGCTCAGGGGCAAATCCTGGTTCTGCACTCAGGAATTACTCCTGGTGGTGCTTGGAGGATGATCATATGGAATGCCAGAGATTGAACCCAGGTCGGCAGTATGCAAGGCAAACATCCTATTCACTGTACTTTCACTCCATCCTCACTAATAATATTTTTGATAAGAAAAAAATGACACTAGATGAACTAAGAACTCAGGAAAAAAAGGATAAGTTATATGTAAGTTATCTGGATTTTTTTTTTTAATTTTGAAAATGTTCTGTTTTCAGTCAGATGCAAGAACACTAAGTTGGTAATTAGTGTAAACTCTGCATTTTTTTTAAAGCATTATCCACAAATTGGAGGAGCATGAGGAATTTTTCCCTGCATTTCAGGCATTTACTAATGATCTACTTGAAGTCTTAGGTAAGATCTCTGTGGTGGCGGTCCTCTATGATTCGAGTCAGTGGGGTGAAGGCTGAGAACCCCTGAGTCACTAATTAGAGTTTTGACCTAGAAAATTCCATAGAAGGTGTCCAGAAACCATTAGTGTCCTGGAAACACATCCCTGACATACAGTTCGAATGGATTTGGAGTGGTCTACAGGCCCGAGAAATAGTTAACCTTTAAGGAGCTAGAGATTGCCTTTGGCGGGGGGACCTTAGAATGAGAAATAGTTTGTCTCTGGCGAGGTTGCAATTAGCTCTGACTGATCGTGCCTCATTGGCTATCTTGGTAAAATTTATGAACTGGGAAGGTGCTTTTTCTGCTTTTTCTTTTGGCAGGAGACACACTTGGGGTGCTCAGGACTGCTCCTTCCTCTGCTCGGGGATTATTTCTCTGTGTTTGGATTTTTCTCTTCTCCCTCCCCCTTCTCCATGGTACTTACCTACCTGCTGTACTTTTTAAAATAGAAAAACTATATATCTTTTCCTCTTAATAGAATAAGGAAGAAGAGTTGGTTTTAAACCTGTAGAAAGGGAGTGATAGATTTTTGTTGGTCTGGGGGCCACACCTGGCTGTGCACGCAGGGATACTTCTGGCAGACTCAGGGGGCCATACAGGGTGCCGGAGCTGCATGCAAGGCAAGACCCCTACCCGCTGACTCTCTCCGGCCCTGGAGGAGGTGTATTTATACACTTGCTCAGACTGAAAACTTTGGTTTTTTTTTTCTTTTTCTCTTTCTTAATTAGTCACCGTGAAATCATGAAGTTATTCATGATTGGGTTTCAGGCACATTGTTTCAACACCCATCCCTTTCCCACTTCCCTCCACCAATCCCTGCCTCTCCCTTTGCTCCTACCCACTAATTCATGTTTTTCTACATAGTTCATTAGAAAGGTTTATGTTTGGGGGGCTGGAGGGGCCGGTGAGCTTGGGACCATATAGTGAGCCCCGGCCCCCCGCACGCACTTGGCCTGCTGAGCGATCTCTGGCTCTGAAAGGTTTTCTTTTCCACTCCTAAAGAATGATTCCTTAATGCAGGAAATTAAACTAGAAGAGGGAATAAGATTTACGGTAGTAGGAAAAAGCAATTTTAGAAAAATTAGGTAGTAGGATAAAGGAATAAGTAAAACTTGATGAGAAGATGGGTAAGTGAAAGAAGTATCTGTCTTGTGAGCACTAGGATCACACACGTGATGTGGAAGCACAGAGAGCACACGTGAAGCTCTGCGCAGTGTCCTGTAGCCTGTGGAACCACGGCAGACACTGAGTGTGCCTTTGGCCTGCTTCTATGTTTGGAAGGTCATGCATGGCAAAAGAAAATGTCATTTCGGGGCTGGAGCGATAGCACAGTGGGTAGGGCGTTTTCCTTGCATGGGGCTGACCCAGGTTCGATTCCCACCATCCCATATGGTCCCCTAAGCACCACCAGTAGTAATTCCTTAGTGCAGAGCCAGGAGTAACCCCTGTGCATCGATGGGTGTGATTCCCCCCCCCCCCCAGAAAAAGGGAAATTTTCATTTCAAAGTTAAGCATGAGGTGAACTTGAAGTTGTAGAAATATGTTGCCTTGTATCCTAAAGAGCCCAGCTTCACAGAACAATAGGATTCTACTTACTTTGGGGCTAATAATTAACTTTTAATGGTGAGGTTTTGCTTTTCCTAAATATTTCAATAGGTGTGCTGGTAGCAGTTTTTGAAGAATCCTCCTATAGATTCTTCTCAGGTATTCTTACACTCAGTGTGGCTTATGTGGCTGATTTGCTTCAAAAGTCCAAGTGTTCCAGCAGATGAATCTCTAGTTTGACCATAGTTGAAATCCTGGAGTTAACATTACATTTACCACTGGAAAAGTTAAACTGGTTTTGGCAAACAAGACTATTTCTCTTTTTACTAGGTTTCCTATCTTAAACATCTAGAACAACAGAGTGGTGTACCAAATACCCTTTTCTCTTGCAATAGGTATGACTAGCAGAGAAAATTCTAATGGCTCAGAATTTTGAGTTTATTTATAAGGCAAATATCCCATGGAGAAAACTGGTGTGATTTCAGAATGGGGGTAGGTGTATGTGACTAACTTCTACTAACACCTGTCTCTTGTTGATGGCAGGTGTAAACCAAATTCTCTGTTGTAGATTTGCCTATTGTTTTTCCTTTCTGCAATTTAATGACCTTCAATGGATCCATACCAGTATTCTGACTCAAGTCGGGAGCTTAAACAGCATGGGTCATGTATATAGATCAAGAGAAAAGCAATACAAAATGTAGCTAAACAGGGCTGGAGAGATAGCACAGCAGGTAGGGCGTTTGCCTTGCACACGGCCGACCCAAGTTCGATTCCCAGCATCTCATATGGTCCCCTGAGCACTGCGAGGAGTAATTCCTGAGTGCAAGAGCCAGGAGTAACCCCTGTGCATTGCCAGGTGTGACCCGAAAAGCCAAAAAAAAAGCCCCCCAAAATGTAGCTAAACATGGAGGGAGAGAGAAGGAACTTCAGGAAGCATGTCTTACGTAAAAGAAATAAGTTTATGAACAATAGCTTAGCAGCCACCTAGAAAAAAAGTACCAAGAAACCAGAGTCCCAGCCATTGGGGTGCATTGGATACAGTAGGACTGGAGAAAAGAACCCAGTTCCAGGGGCCAGAGCATTCAGTGACTTCTAACTTAGCCTGTAGTCTTAGGAAGAAAAATCAAATTTGAAAGAAACTGACAGGGAAGAAGCTGAGTGAGTTCATCTGGTCTGCTGGACCAAGCTATACTCTACAGTATAGTTCATCTGAGGTTTCCACCTTTGGTTCAGGATGTGTTATCCCGAACAGAGGATCCAGCTAAGACCAACCCTCAGGACAGGACTGTGTTCCATGGAAAGAAATTCCCCGAGCCCTCACCTGGGGATCCAGGAGCAAGACAGTTTCTGAGAGTCACGTGTGTCCACCCAGGTCCTCCTACAGTTGCACAGAGGCAGTAGACACGCAGTCAGTCAAAACTGTTGATCGGAGCACATCACTGAGGGCCAGTCTGAGGACACGGCAGCATTTCCAGATGGACGCTCCGTGATCTGACTCATGACACATTCTCACTGCCACTGGGGAGACATTTTGTGTGTAGGAAAGGACAAGATACCACTTTTGTATTCGAGGTTTGACATTGCATATGGGCTCTCATTTCATCTGACATAAAGCTACTTGATAAAGCTACTCTTTTTTTATTCTTGTTTTTCTATTACAGAGATTGATGACTTGGATGCCATTGTACCTGCAGTAAAGAAATTAAAAGTACTTTCATACTGAAAACAAATTAAATCATTTTTACTGTGTAAATTGCATTCTTAGCATTGTGTAGGATTGATCTTGAGGCAAGGGTCATGAAATGTATATATTTATATATTTATTCTTGGAATTCATCCCCTTCTTAGTATTTATTGGGTCTTTCTCCATTCATAGATTTATTAACTTTGAGATTCTTTTATTCAGTTCTGCGATAAAATTAGTAAGTTAACTTTAGACTCTAATCATTTTCTTAAGCAGTTTGTGAGTGCTTAAAAATTAAGTTTGTTTTAAAGTAGTGCAGTGTTGTAAATAACGAATAGAGCTAGAGAGCGATATTATAAGTAACAGAAAGGTTGCGTTTAAGTTCAGGATTTTGTGATCTTTTTGGCTCTGGAACAAGGAATGCCAATGACTCTCTTAAGTCCCGCCAGTAGGAAGCCATTGCCTTCCGGGCAAGGATTTATTGGCACATTCTATTAAGATATCCTGCATGGCACTTAGCCATTCAAAGCAGGAGGAAGAAAAGGAAGAAAGAAGAATACTTTGGCATTCTGTTAGGGTAGGAAATGAATCATGGAATAATAAATAGATGAGTGGATGGAACTCTTTTTTCTTTCTTTTTTTTCAATCTTGATGTAATGTACTTTTTGTAAGGATGAGATCTTAAATAAAATTTTTGTCAAGAATTTCCAGACGTTGAGTGTCCTCAATGACTTATTTGTGCCACTTGCAAAGAAAGAGGCTCATTCTCTTATTTCCTCGGGCAGTTGATTCACCCTCGCTACATTTTACATGAGAGTCCTTTGCTTGCCATTTCCTTCTTTGTTCTTAGCATTCAGCCGTACTTTTTTAATATTATTATTATTATTATTATTATTGAATCACCATGAGATAGAGCATTACAAAATTGTTCATGATTGCGTTTCAGTCATACAGTGTTTCAACACCCATCCTTCCCCAATGTAATTTCCCAGCACCAGTATCCCCAGTTTCCCTCCCACCCCTTCAAGCCACCCCCTACCCAAGCCTGCCTCTATGACAGGCACCTCTCCCCTCTCTCTCTCTCTGTCTCTCTCTCATTTAAGGTCAGCCATACTTTTTAGGGGGCCGCTATTCAGTCTCAAAACTGTAGGTACAAGCTACTTTTGGATGCAGATGCCCCTTTCATCCTCCTATTCCCCCCCCTTTTTTTTTTTTGCTTTTTGGGTTACACCAGGCGATGCACGGGGGTTACTCCTGGCTCTGCACTCAGGAATTACTCCTGGCAGTGCTCGGGGGATCATATGGGGTGCTGGGAATCAAACCCGGGTCAGCCGCGTGCAAGGCAAATGCCCTACCCGCTGTGCTATTGCTCCAGCCCCTGCTCCCCACTTTTATAAGTATCAGTTTAGATGTAAGTAGCACAAGCCTAACTTAGTTTGATCTCTGGCACCGCATGGCCCCCCAAGAACTGCCTGGGTATCTGTCCTTCACCCCCCTGGCACTGCAAGGTGTGCCCCCCCCCCTTTTTTTAAGCAGACTTGAGACTTCCTGGTGATTCTTGCTTGTTGTCACGTAGAGAATATTGTAAAGATTTTCTGGAGGTGGGTTTGAATGGAGAAAGTAATGCCAGTAGACAGATATCCAGATCCTTAGTGATTAGATATAAGATATTAGATTCCTTTCTGATTTAAAATGGGATTATTTGTTTCGTTAGTCTGAAACTAGTTCGCAGTTTGTGAATCTGTGCCTTTGATGGCTGGGTAGAAAAGTATTTGGCTGTTCAATAATGAAATATTCTGGCATGAGACAGGAGAAATAGTCAACAGGAAGAGCATATGTTTTGCATGAGGCCTGGGTGTGGTCTCCTGAGTTCTATCAGGAGTGACTCCCGAGCACAGTTGGGAGTAGCCCCTTAGCATCATCAGGAATGGGATGGCCCAGGCACACTCCTCCCCATCCCCCCCAAAAAAACCCAAAACTCCAAAGCCAAAAACTCTAGGTTGTGCCAAGAAATTACTAAGAGACAGTTTGGAACTGTAATAATATTTGAAGTGTAATTTAAAAATTATTTTCTTCTAACTTATTTTCTTTAAGAACCTCTTATTATTTATTTCATTTTTTGAGCCACACCCAGTGATGCTTCAGAGTTACTATTGACTCTGCACTCGGGAATGACTCCTGGAGGGCTTGAGGGGATCATATGGGATGCCTGGTTGCATTGTAGTCAGGACATGTCTATATTGAATTTTTGGAATTTGGTGACTGTTTTTGGAGACTGTGTGAATCTCATACCTGGTCCAAGTGTGCTTCTAAAGTTTATCTTTAGGGGCTGGAGAGATATTACAATGGGTAGGGCACTTGCCTTGCATGATTTTCTTAATTTATTTCACAAAGAAATTAGCTTTGGGTCACGTAAAGTGCTGGGGGCTGTTCCCAGCTCCATGTTGGGGAGGGGACAGACATGTGCTGCAGGGAATGGAGCCAGGGCTCCCACATGCAAGGCATGTACTCTAGTCTTCTGAGCTAGCTTCCCACACTCACAATTTTATTTTAAAATGTAAACACAGGCTGAAAAAAAGGCATCGGTGTCACAAAATGATTATTAAGTGAACTTCCTAAAACAGAACAGTGAACCAACTCCCCGCACTCTCAAAGACTCCTCCAGGGCTGCCCTCTGCTTGGCTTGTGTTCACCCCTTGTCTTATTTTAAAAATGTGTTGGCACTGTCGTGTGTGTGCCTACACTAAACATGCTTTAGTGTACCTACAACCACAGTATCCCTGTTTTTGAGCTTTATGAAAATGGCATCAATCATATATGAAGTTCTCTTCTTTCACACAGTACTGTACATGTACTGTTCATCCGTGCTGTTGTAGGTAGGTTAAGGCCAGTGGCCTCATTGCTCTGCACCTTGAATTTGGGTTGCTTCTGGTTCTTGTCTGTTGTGCCTTAACCTTCTTGTACATGAATCCTTGTACACAAATTTTTAAGTGTTTCGATTGTGTCACCAGAGACAAAAATTTTCAGGGCCCTTTGGGGGAAACACTTGTGTAGCTGTTGGGGGTGTGTAAGGGGGTAGAACCATTTCCATAGTTGATGGTGTAACTGGAGTCACTGTGGTTGTTCAGTATGAGAACCTTGACAGGGGATTTGAAACTTCAGAAAAAAGATGCCAGACTATTTCCAAAATGGTTGTACTAATTTGTATTCCTACAGCAGTGGATGAGAACCCATCACATACTGACCAACCCTTGGTAAGGCAGATTCTGTCTTCCAGTAGTATGAAGAGCTGTTGTGGGTGGGGTTGTTTGTTGATTTTTAAGATTTTTTATTGAATCGCTGTGATAGACCCTTGCAAGGCTGTTCATGATTAGGTTTCAATCATACAGTCTTCCAACACCCATCCCTCCACCAGTGTACATTTCCCAGCACCAGTGTCCCCAGGTTCCCTCCATCACCCCCCACCCAGCCTGCTTCTCTGGCAGGCATCCTTCCTTCCTTCCTTCCTTCCTTCCTTCCTTCCTTCCTTCCTTCCTTCCTTCCTTCCTTCCTTCCTTCTCCTCCTCCTCCTCCTCCTCCTCCTCCTCCTCCTCCTCTCTCTCTCTCTCTTTCTCCCCTCTCCCTCTCTCATACTCCCTCTCCCTCTCTGTCTCTTTCTGTTTCTCTGCCTCTCCCTCTTGCTCTCACTCTCAGCTGCATGATTTTAACATTCAATTCTAATGTTCACGCTATTGTGGTTTTAATGTTCAGCTTAGTCATGCATTTAATAATGCAGTTAAGCATCTTTTCCTTTGTTTACTGATTATTTTTCTTTGTGTATTGCAAATGGGCTGGAGTGATAGCACAGCAGGTAGGACGTTTGCCTCGCATGCAGCCAACCTGGGTTCGATTCCTCCACCCCTCTCAGAGAGCCCCGCAAGCTACCGAGAGTATCCCACCCAAACGGCAGAGCCTGGCAAGCTCCCCATGGCATATTCGATATGCCAAAAACAGTAACAACAAGTCTCACAATGGAGATGTTACTGGTGCCCGCTCAAGCAAATTAATGAACAACAGGCGGACAGGACAGGACAGTGCTACTGCTGTTGTCTTTTACATTGTGTTCTGTCTCCATTTTTCTTTGATTTCTTTCTATAAACAGAAGAATCTAATTTTAAAATTATATTAAAATATTAATATAAGCTTTAAGCTGGATGGTCACTTAAGTTATAGTTAGTTCTCTGTGTCTCACAAAATCTTTCCCTATTTATAGGTTCTACAGTTAACTTCTGATATTAACTTATCATTGTATATTTTAGCTTTTCATAGCTAATGTAAATACTTGGAGTTTTTTGACATTTGAATATGGCATAAGTAAAGGAGCATTTTTAACATTTTCCCACATGGATGCCTAATTGTCCATTGAAAAAGGTTGAAGTAACTGGCCAAATAGAGGTCCATGCTGTATTTTGAGTTAGAAGACCAGTACTGCAGATAGTAACTTTTCCACTGATTCATTTAATGACGTCAATGACAGACCCAATTGGATGTATGTGTGCACCTCATAACAGAGGCAGTATGTTACTAATGCAGGGAAAGGCATCTGGACCAAAATAAATTGCCTCCCATGGATATTAGATGTACTTACAGTATTTGTTTTTTTTCATACATGTTATAATGATCTTTTCCTGTTTCAGGAATGGAGAATTACAATTGTTTTACCATTTTCTTTGTATCTATCCAGCAACCTTGCTAAAATTACTTTAAAAAAACTTATTTAAACACCATCATTTACAGTGTTTTTCCAATACTGTTGTTACAGGCATTCAGTGTTCCAACACCAGTCCCACCACCAGTGTAACCTTCCCTCCACCATTGTCCCCATTTTCCCAATCATCCCCCAAGCCCTTAGCAGACACAAAATAATTTATTGCTTGTTACAACTAGATGGCTAATGGAATTATAAAAAAATACTTCAGTAAAAGAAAACTTGTGAAAATTGTTATATTTCACCATGGTGTCATTGAGTTCTTGTCTGAGGACTTACTGTTTGTCACTAATTGAGCCGAATGGGTTATTGTTTTTGTTCATTGAGCTTAGCTGGCTCTGCGTTACTTTCCCATCGAATCTGGTGTGCTCCATCTGGGCTGTCTGTATTGTGGAATTTGGAGGTGTCATGTGGCCACATATGTGGCACATGCTCTAGGAACTCCAGGATCTGGAGATGGATGAGTTTACAAGGCAGCAGCTGTGGGGTGTGGGTGTGGCTGCTGCGGCTTCTGGAAGTACAGCAAGGGCAGGGGTGGGGTGGGGGAGGATTCTGCCCCTGCCCCAATTCTGAGTTTTCAGTCTGAAAGCTGTTGTATGTGGAATTTTCATAGGTTTGGTGTCTGCAGAGGTCAGTCATGAAGGAGTGGAGCAGGGTTGTTTGAAAGGTGGCAGAGACTTTGGCAGGGCAAGGACCTGGCCCATCCCACTCCTGAGGGTGCCAGCTGGGAGACTGGTGATCCCATGAATTTTAGCAGCGTGGCTTGCATCTCTTCCAGGTTTTAGTCACAAATCTGTAAAGCTGGGCCAATACTGGATGAGTGAAACTGTCTGCTTCTAGCAATTCGTCTTTAATATGGAGATCTGTGCTCATTATCCTATTAGCTGCATATGCCAATCTGGAAATGATATGCCATGTTTCTTCCTGTACTACACAGGTTACAATATAGTATTGCATAGAAGTGAGAATAGGAAGAAGCCATTCTTATTTTTAATCTCAAGAAATTTTTTTTTATTGTGGGGACACATAAAAGTACTTGGGGGAGGTATGTGGTGCTGGGCCCTGACTCAGGGCCTCACCGAGAGACATGTCCTTCTCTATATTTGGGGGTTTCCACCCATTCCTTGTTCTCACTGGCAGCCAGCATGCTGATGAGACAGATGTCTCCTGCCTGGTGCATGCTAAAGTTGGCTTTCCTTTAAACTTATACTCCTCTCTTGTGAGCTTTGCAACTCTGTCACTGGTCAGCCTCTGCAAATAAATGCTATGGCTGAACTGTGTCTTTGGAAGAGGAGGGATAAGTTTTCACTTGTTTGCCATCTTTTTGTTTCTGGGCCACACCTGGTGGTGTCAGGGATCACTCCTGGCAGGGCTCGGGGACTATATCAGGTCCTGGGGATTGAATCCAGGTCAGCTGTGTGCAAGGCAAGGACCCTACTCGCTGTACTATCCCTCCAATCCCTTGTCTGCCATCCTGATCAGAGATCTGGGGGCTGCTGATATTCCAGGTGTGGTAGGAAATGTTCCCTTCTACTTCCCTGGTGGGTTGCCAGGGCACTATTCTAGTGAACACGACAATGCCAGTGTGAGGTAGATAGGACAGGCACTGGTTGCCCCATTTTATTATGAGAACTTTTCATGCAAAATATAAATGTCAGTAGAAATATCAGACATCCAATATGTATTTTACACAGTCTGGGGAGCATAGAGGTTGACAGTCAATTCGGGTAGTTTACAAGTCAATTAGGGAGCAAGCAAACAAACATTAAAAACCAAGCACAGGGGCTGGAATGATAGGACAGCGGGGAGAGCATTTGCCTTGCACGAGGATGACCCAGATTCCATCCCTGGCACCCCATATGGTCCCCAGGCACCAACAGTTGTAATTCCTGAGTGCAGGTTCAGGAGTAACCCCTGAGCATCTTTAGGTGAGACTCAAAAAAAGACATACACACACAAAATCCAAGCACAGTGCAAGCAGGCTGCCTAATGTGACTATGGGTACCTAATAAACATTTTCTGAGGTTCCATGTTACAAGACAAGGACTTTTTCAAAGGAGAGCTGCACAGTCTTGCGGGGAGTGAGCGAGGTGTTGGGGTGGGATTGGGGGCTGTTTCCATGTGGACTGCCTGAGCTGGCTTTTCCAGTGGTAAGTAGATTTGGGTAGACAAGCTAGAACATTCAGACTGTTCTTGAATAAAGCATCTGTGCTTGAATAAAGTAGTGAAAAAAGACAGCGACCAAATCTCGATAGGTCTAAAAGGTAGTCAGAGATCATTTTGATGGCTAACACAACACAAGCTTTAGGATGTACCTTCCCGCAAATGGGACTGAAGGATGCAGGGACAGACACTGGTGACAGAGGGTGCCGTGTGCCTCTGACGGGGGTGTGACCTGGGCCACGGCCCTAGGGACACTCGAGAGGATTCGGATATTTGGTTTTACAAAGTTAGAAATGCAAAAGAGGCACTTATTTAAATACACAACATACATATTTTGGTATTTGGGTAAACCAGCTATCTCAAAAAGGGGGGGACTGAACCAGGCCAGACCCCAGGATATGCCCCCTCCCCCCACTGGAGTATTTTAAGCTCTGTAGTGGTGCATCAATGTAACATTGGTGCCCTGAGGAAAATACTTTCTAGTTCCAGATCAGGCACTAGAATCAACCCCAGGGCCCAGATGTGAGCAGTTGGTATAGCCAGAGGGATCACTGTGCTACCTCTGAACACTTGGGTTGGGTCACTGTCTTTCTGCTCTGAGGCTCTTTTATAAGAGCCGCTTCCATCAACACCCATTGCACGGGCAGCTGCTCTGGGGAGAGCCTCCCTCACACCCCTGTCTGCAGCTCCGACCAGGCACAAAATCCCTTGTATCTCTGTGGATTGGAACAATTCAGTCCAAACAAGAAAGCAGTTTTTTTTTTCTCTTACGGGTTTACCTTTTCCCAGTATTAGCCAGTTGTGCAGTGACTTTTGACATAAAGGGTGAGGAGCTAGCACAGGAGGCTGACTGGGTTCAACCCTCAGCACCGCATCCTGGGGCCCTTCTGTTGTACTGTCTGACCCAGTTGGCTAAGTACCATGGGGAGAGTCCCCATGAGCAGCCACGCACACGCGCACACACACACACATACACACACATACACACATGCGAAAAGGAATGTAAGTGTGTAGATGGCTGTCTGGGTTAAATTACAAAATATATATATGTACACAGTTCAGCAGGCTGAAGCACTAGCACAGTGGTAGGGCGTTTGCCTTGCATGTGGCCGACCTGGCTGACCCAGGTTTGATTCCCCCGCCCCTCTCTGAGAGCCTGGCAGCTACCGAGAGTATCTCGCCCGCCACAAAGCCTGGGAAGCTACCCATGACGTATTTGATATGCCAGACACTGTAACAACAAGTCTCACAATGGAGACGTTACTGGGCCCGCTCGAGCAACTTGATGAATGACGGGAGAACAGTGCAGTGCAGTGCTACACAGTTCAGTACAGAGGGGGTAACGTACAGGGCTCATCAGCTTCTGGACTGTCCATCTGGAGTCAGCTCGTACCTGTAAAACAGGTGCGTTTAGATCTGGGTTAGGACTGATGAGGCCCAGTAACCATCTAGAGGCTACTTGAACCTTGGGAACTTGAAGACTGTTACCCGTGTAGGGCAATGGATGCTCCCTAGATGTGTGTGTGCAGCCGGACTGGGACCAAGTCACCCACATGCACCATAGACTCAGTTATATGACAAAGTCTGTTAGGGGAGGCAATGGCTAAGTGGAGGCTGAAGGACTGTGTCTACGTGCATTAATGTAGGTGGCGAGGGACGGCTCAGAAGCTGCTGCTGCAGGGTGGGGTGGAGGGATGGGGGGTGGGAAATACTGGGACCCGTGGTGGTGGAGAATGGGCACTGGTGGAGGGATGGGTACTTGATTGTTGTATAACTGAAACCCAAGCACAAAAATTTCTAAGTCTACAACTGTACCTCATGGTGTTTCACTAATAAAAATTTTTAAAAAATAAATAAAGCAGAGGCGAGGGTGAAGTACTGCTGACAGCCTGAGGTGTCTGCTTCCCACGCCCCAAGCCGCTGGCCGCTGGCAGTAACAAGGCCAACTAACCTTTGTTATCCTCTGCATATGTCAGGTTTCTCCAGCAACAGCTGGGGTCCCAGAGAAGTCGGGACCTGGGCCTTCCCCACAGGCCCTGCCACCCCAATGTCAAGGGACTGTGCCAGGGAGAACTCCCAACAGGGCACTCAGCCTGCCTGGGCTTCTTAGGGACCCGTACTGCTCTCCCTGCAGACTGACACCAAGGGTAGGTCCCTGGGTGAGAACTTGAGAGCCTTTAAAAGTGATTTCTTTCCCGCTTCAGACCACCTGTGTTGAGACTCTGAAAAGGGGAGAAGTCTGAAGATAGAAACTATGGAAAGCTGGCTGAGGAGCTTAGTAGCGTTTCAGCACAATAAAGTTAAAGGCCACACTCACCACTGCGAGAAGCCCTTAATCAGGTCTTCTTTGGATAAGTCAATCAGTACCTAAACAATCACAGGGAATCAGAATGAGGCACAGGTTTCTTCCATTTCAGGTAAAACCCCTGTTACACAAAGGCCTTGATGGAATGAGGCAGCAGCGTCACGCTGGGCTTTGTGGAGCAAAGCAGTCCTTGTTCAGGTGCTTGCGGTATGTGGCGAATTTGGATTCTTGCATTTGTTAAAATGAAGGTCATCGGGTTAATTTACAGACCTATACTGTTCCGTTTCAGTCCTACTTAAAAATCAAAATATAAAAACCTCCCAGTGAGATGCCCCCTCCCCTTCCCATGAAGTTAGTTCTGGTAATGCACTGGGGTCCCCTGGAGGGACCCCGGTGGTGTGGGGTGGGGCGTGGCCCAGATGCGTCCGGTACTCACTTTCCCCAGCTCCTTTCTCCGGTGAGAGCCAAGTGGCCTACTATTTTTCACAGCGATGTCCAGTGACCTCTTCTGTACTTCTTCCATGGGAACAAAAAATTCAAATCTTCAAGAAGCAAAAGAGAGGACAGAAGATTTATGCATATTGTTGGACCTAATTGTGTTGCAGGCACAGGGGAGACAGTCCAGGGATCGGCCTGGTCAATCCCTGTCCCAAGCAGCACCTCATCCTCGGGCTTGAGCCCTGATCTACCCCTCTCAAGTGTCCTCAGGAGGGCCCTCTGGGCTCTAAAAACAAACAGTGTTTGGTTCATTTTCCTGCATTAGAACAGTAGCTACAGACTGAGAGAAAATCCAAACGAGTACTGGCTCACAGTGCTCCCCAAATGTTCCTAATGACGGAGAGTAACAAGGTTCCTGCTTTCTCCAGCTCTCACCCGTCCACTGCCCCTTCTGAATGGAGCCTGCTCACTCACTGGTCGCAGACCCTTCCAGCCCTTTCTAAGCGGCCTATTCTGACCAGTTCAGGCTTCAGCTACATTGCAGAGAGGGCTGGAGTGTGCGGCAACCTGGCTTTCCTGCCGTGCGAGGCGGAGCCTTGGCAAACGTGCTCACAGGAAGACGCTGAGATAGGCTCACTCCTGGGCTGGAGGCAGGGGTTCTCCCCCAGATAACGAGGTTCATTCCTAAGTGGGAGGGCTGTCCCCCTAATAACCAGGTTCATTCCTAGGCAGGGGTAGGGTTCTCCCCCTGATAACTAGGTTCTTTCCTAGGCTGGGGGAGTGAGGCTGTCCCCCAAATAATGCAGCCATGTTTTACTGTCCTGTTTTTGACAGAGATGGTTTTCTCACAACAGCCAGACCGCCCTCCTTTAGTTCACCAAAGCACTCTGCCCCCCGAGCCACCTTGAGGATGGTCTCTTGAGTGGCACTAGAACATAGGACCTGGTATATAATAGTAAAGGTTCTGCAGCTGGAGCGATAGTACAGCGAGTAGGGCATTTGCCTTGCATGTGGCCGACCCAGATTCGATTTCCAGCATCCCATATGGTCCTCCAAGCACTGCCAGGAGTAATTCCTGAGTGCATGAGCCAGGAGTAACCCCTGTGCAATGCCGGATATGACCCAAAAAGCAAAAAAAAAAAAATAGTAAAGGTTCTTCCCTCCATATTCCAGATGATCTCAAAATGGAGCTCCTCTTTGGTTCTGGTTTTGGTTTCGGGCCACACCCAGTGCTGCTCAGGGGAGTATCAGTGGTACTGGGGATCAGACTCCGGTCAGCTGTGTGCAAGGCAAGGGCCCTACCTGCTGGATTCTCTCTCCATTCCCCAAATGTAGGTCTTGAAAGAACATATTAGTGCTTTTCCTCTTTGATTTATTTTTTGAGCATGCCCTCAGTGCTTGGGGACTGCCCCCAGCATCGTGCTCAGAGGTTGCCCCTGTGCTGCTTTGGGAGACAGAATCCAGGACTGAGCCTGGGCTTCCTGGGGACAAGGATGAGCTCGGCCCTCTGAGCATTCCCCTCCCTGATCCACACACCGTAGTTCCTCAATATGCTCCAAGAGAAATTCAGTCTGATCTTTTTTAAATTAATAGTTACTGGACAAGGAAGAAAAAGTGAGAAGTCTATGTTCTCCATTCTGTAATTAAAATCCCATGAACAGAATTACTGGGTGTAATATTTGCCCTGGCTGGCCAGACCTCGCTTCTCTCAGGACCCTGAAGTAGGAAGAAGAAAGCAATGAGATTCTGACTTTTCTTTTTTTTTTTTTTCTTTTTGGGTCACTCCCAGCATTGCACAGGGGTTACTCCTCACTCATGCACTCAGGAATGACTCCTGGTGGTGCTTGGGGGACCATATGGGATGCTGGGGATTGAACCCGGGTCAGCCCCGTGCAAGGCAAACGCCCTACACGCTGTGCTATCGCTCTAGCCCCGAGATTCTGACTTTTGTTGAGGCCAACATGAGTAAGAAGATTTAGAATATGACCTGATACCACTGACCCATCCAAAGCAAGAAAGGTGGGCTCGGGCAGCTATAGCACTCCTGGGAATATATCCCAGAGAGGCAAAAAGGTATAGTCGAAGTGACATCTGCAATTGTTTGTTCATTGCAGCACTCTTTACAATAGCCAGAATCTGGAAAAAACCTGAGTGCCCAAGAACAGATGACTGGTTAAAGAAACTTTGGTACATTTACACAATGGAGTACTATGTAGCTGTTAGAAAAGATGAAGTTATGAAATTTACATACAAGTGGTACTACATGGAAAGTATCATGTTAAGCGAAATGAGTCAGAAAGAGCGGGATAGACACAGAAAGATTGCATTCATCTGGGGAACATAAAGCAACAAAAAGTGAGAGTGACACACAGGAATGGCTGAGATTAGTACCAGGAATTTTGCTCCATGAATGGAAGGCCAGCCACAGGCTCTAGGTGAAAAGGAAGCTCAGATAGAGAAGAGATTACCAAATGAAGGGTGTTGTGAGGGCCCTCCCAGGGTGGGAGAAGCATGCTAAAAGTAGTCGATAGACCAAACATGATTGCCACTCAAAGCCTCTCTTGCAAAACACAGTACCCAAAAGAAGAGAGAGAGAACAAGGGGGAATACCCTGCCACAGAGGCAGGATGGGACGGGGGGGGGGGGGGATGAGGGGGGGGATGCTGGGACCCATGGGGATGGATGACGGGCACTGGTGGAGGTATGGGGACTTGATCATTGTATAGCTGAAACCCAAGCACAAAATTTGTAAGCCTATAAAAAAAAAAAATGGCAATACTCCCCAAAGCATTAAAAAAAAAAAAAAAGAAAAAAAGAAAGGTGGGCTCGGGGCGGGAATGCAGTGGGCAGGGCCATGGACCTGTGTGATGCCCAGCATTCCCTTGGCCCCCTTACGTCTCGTCAAAGAGAGGCTCCAGGGTCTTGCGCTTCACTGAGGTCTTCTTCCGACTCGCCCACCTTCTTTCTGGCAGCAGGTAGACACGGACGTAGGGGTCAGCGCCACTGCTGGTACAGGGAGTCAGGTTTCTGGTTCAGTTCCAAAGCATCCGGGAAAGAGAGAGGATCTGGTCAGCATCGGGGCAGGGCAGGCACTGCCTTGGTTGCTCCCCTTCCCCGACACCACCCCACAGGACTCGCCCTGTCCCAGGTCCCAGGGCATTCGGGCACTGCAGGGCTGGACACCTGAAGGTGGTGGGCTGGGGCTCACAGAGGCCCTTGCACTGACCTCAGCCCGGGGAAAGGAAGGGGCTGGAGACTCGCTCAGGCCACCGCAGGATCTAGCTGTCCCCCACCTCCTCCCTTCCCTCCTGCAGCACGGCAGCCCACCGCCCAGGAGACCCCTAACAGCAGCTGTGGAACATAAATGAAAATGAAAGAAAACCAAACTCAGGGCAGACTGACGGCTAACTAGGGAAGAAGGGGCTGGGCAAAGGGAGGCAAGGGGCTGAGTATGAGGACAGAGGGAAGCTGCATTGGTGGGGGGTGGTCTCCATAGACGTCTACAGATGTCAAATCACAATGCTAAGCACCTGAAATATACGCTAAAAATCAATGACAAAGGCCAGAGCCATAGCAGAGCGCGGAGGGTGCTTGCCTTGCACATGGTGGACACGGGTTCCAACCCTGACACCCTGCACAGTCCCCTGAGCCCCGCCAGGAGTGAGCCCTGAGCACTGCTGGGTGTGGCCCTTGAACAACCAAAAAATTAAAGATGATAAATAGAAAACAGAAAAAGGGTGCCTCGTTTGAATCTTTCATACGGTGAACCGAGCCTCCCTGACCTTGGCCTTCAGTGCCAGAGCTGCCCGGCAAGGCTGGCGCCCGCCAACACCACACCACTGCTGCCCAGTTTAAGGAGCGTTCTGCAGCAGAGCAAACGTCTGCAGAAAGTAACATCCAGAGCCATGGTCCTGACCACAAGCATCGTTGGTGATGGGGGACCAAGCAAGTCCTCGGCAGTTAAAGGGACCTGTCCTGACTCGCAGCCACCCCCAGAGGCCGGGGCTGCGCAAAGCAAGCACCTGGCCTGGTCCCAGGGTCCTGCCTCCCCTGCCACTGACCCCCTGTTGCCGCTGCCCTCACCTGCAGCCGTTGATGAGTACCCGGAGGCAGCGCCGCAGACACACGTAGCGCACGGTCAGCTGGATCTCGCCCAGCCCCCGCTGCCGGAGCAGCCCGCCTCTGTGAGGGGACAGCGGGTCAGCGATCCTGGCCCCGACCACCCACACTGCGCCTCTGCGCTGGGAGCCCGCTGCCTCCGGAGCCCGCCTCCTGGGTAAGTTCCCGGGAAACTGCCGCTGCGGCCCAGCCACGTCATCCCACATCCGTGCCTGCCCCGCGCGCCCCTGCCCCGTGCGCTCCCGCCCCCCGCGCCCCTGCCCGCCCCCCGCGCCCCTGCCCCCTGCTCTCCTGCCCACGCCCCCTGCCCCGCGCCCTCCTGCCCCCTTCGTCCGTGCGCCCCTGCCCCATGCACCTCCCTGCCTCGCACACCCCCCCCTCCGCCCCGCGACCCCCTGCTCCACGCACGCCCCCCTGCCCCATGTTCCCCCCTTCCCCTCCTCCTACTCCACACACCACCCTGCCAGCGCCCCCTGCCCCTCCTGAGCTCCCCATCCTCCCGCGCTCCAACAGCACCCCCCTTTCTGGGAACCCCGAGAACCCGCACGCATGGGGCAATTCAGTGGGCCGGAGCTGTACGGGCGCTTAGGAGAGTAGGCAGAGAGGTGCATACTGGAGGTGGAGGCTGTCACTTGTCAGGTCAAAGCAGGAGGAGGCCAGGGAGCTGAGCGAGGCCATGCTGGGGGCCTGCCTCTGGGCCGGCCACGCGAATGGGAAGGCGGGGTTCGGCAGGGGCCGGGGTGACTTGATGGGGCCCGGAGAGTGGGGGCCAGGGACAGTCAGGAAGACGGCCGAGTTCCTCTTCTCCCCCTGGGGCGCACGGGTCCCTTTGGCACTGTCCTTGCCTTTGGGCTCGGGGTGTGTCTCTGGGGGGCCCTGCACGGGGGTGGCAGTGGCGGCGGGGGTGCTCTCGGGGGCTTCTTCACTGACAGCAGGCGCTGGGGTCGGGGGGCAGGGTGGACCCGCGTGTGCCGCTTCAGGGCCCTGCTGGGTGGGCACCTTCTTAATGAACAGGGGGCCCTTCTTCTGGGCATCGGGGCCTGTGTACGGGCTCCCCAGCTCTCGCTCCTCCACGCGCAGGAACTGCAAGCAGATGACACCGGCTTAGGGGCATGGCACCCCTTTCTCCTGGTTCCCGCTGGGCTGATGGGGAAAGGGTCCTTCTCCCTTCTAGAACCATTTTCTCAGAGTTCAGCCCCTGGCTGCTCCCCACCAGGGCTCACCCCCTCACCCAGACACTCACGCTGGGCACGGTCACACCTGCTGGGCAGAAGGACCTCATCTTCGCCCATCAGTGCTGTCCCCTAGGGCTAGGGGCCTAAGCAGACCCGTGTCTGTGCTCCTGGCGCCCAAGTCTCACTGTTCTGTCCCTTCCCATTCCGAGGGAATTTGCAGTGACCGGGCGTGCTGAAAACTGTCTATTTCAGAATGGACTGTAAAGTGAAACTCCACAGTCACAGCGAGTCAGGAAATCCCACAGGTTAAACCACAACAAGGACATCATCTTTCCTGAGGGCATTGCACTGGGCCCGCCTATCTCTGAATTTGGGGTTCTTGTGTAGACCACCTTTGGGGGCCTTCAAACTCAGAGACTAAATGGATGGGAGACAGACAGAGAGACAGGACAGTGGGTGGGGTATTTGTCTTTTATGCGGCCAACCCACGTTCAATCCCCAGCATCTCACACAGTCCCCTGAGCATGGCCAGGAGTCGTTCTTGAGCACAGAGCCTGGAGTAAACCCCGAGCATAGCCAGGTAGGCACCCCCTCCCACCAAAAAATGAACAGAGCGACCAGAGACTAGTATAGCAGGTAGAGCTAAGCCAGATTTGATCCTTGGCACCCCATATGGTCCCTGAGCACCACCAGGAGTGATCCCTGAGCCAGAAGTAATCCTTGAGCACCACTGGGAGTGGCCCCCAAACCAAACAGACAAAAACCACCAAAACCAAAAACCCAGAAAGATGGGTGCAGGTCTCTGCTGTGCTCTGAGGTGCCGGCTGCAGTAAGACAGACTCTCCTGGGGAACAAATGCACCAGCCAGGCCTGTTTGCCCGTCCCCAACAGAGTCACAGAGAAACCACAAAGCCCAGAAGGGCCAGAGGGAGCTCATATGCCTGGCTTCAATCCCAGGTACCACCCGGACCCTGAGCACAGAGCTAGGAGAAGCCCCCTGCATGGTCAAGTACGGCCCCCGAACAAGAAAAGCACCTGCAGACACAGAAGCACTTAATTTCCAAGATCTTCAGATCACAGAATTAACAGAGCATTCTCAAATGATTATAGATAAGGTAGAAATGGCAAAATAAATGCAATGAGAAAAAGATAAGGTTGATTTGGAAAAAGATGAAATGAAAAATGAAAAAAGTCAACATCTGAAATTTCAATGATGATCTGAGTCCTAACAGGGCCCCATCTCTGTCACTGTTAGGCATAATCAGAGAAGGACTTAGTGGCCTACCACTGCATTTCTCCACTGGGGCTCTATCCCCAGGATACTCCAAAGTTCCACAGGGGAAAATCGTACAAATAGGGACCAAGGCTCCAGACTAGAGGGGCAACTGGTGGGCCAACAGGAAGGAAAGAAGGCCAGAAGAGGCCACGGCGAGGAAAAGATGGCAGCACCTGGGTGGAGAGGATAATCGGGACAACCAGAATGGAGCAGCAAGAGAAAGGGATGGAATGGGAAGGGGAGATCAGCCCGGGGCCCGCAAGCAGAGGCCCCAGCGAAGATGTTCTGTTCGGAAGGAGACTGAGAACTTGAAGAGGGGCAGCTGCAGGACCCGCCGCCGGAAGCCAGCAAGCACCTTCCTGGCGCAGAGTGGGCACTGGGAGCGGGCGCCCCCTGCCCTCCCGCAGGCACCCAGGGCGAGGGGATACCCGAAGCACCAGCCTCATGGAGATGAGGCTGTCCAGGCCCGAGTGGTCCAGCTGGAAGCGCTGCTCCAGGGTGAGGTCGGCGCAGGGCAGGATCTGGCACAGGTCGAAGTCCAGCACGCCCAGGGCACACTCCTGCTCATCGTCCAGCACCTGGGCGGCGGCAGACAGTCACAGGCCAGCAGCATGCCCCCACCTCACCACCACCCAAGCATGACTTCGGTCCTGAGGGCTTCTAGGGGCCTCTGGTCCTGGTTTGAGAATGGACCTTCGGAACCTAGAGCTCGGCCCGTGGGGAAGAGACTGTTGCCAGGGGTGTGGTGGGGGACTGGGGGGCGGCCGTGGGATCCAGGAGGCCAGGCTGCCCCGCGCCAGTGCTCAGGGGCTCAGGAGCAGCCTTGCCGCAGCCTAGGGCACACAGACGAGGCTGAGGACCCCAGGGACCCAGCTCCGCCACTGTGGGCCAAGAGACCCAGGGCAAGTCATTTGTCCCTGTGTGAAGCCGAGACTCTCTCTCTCTCTTCCACGCGAAGAGGTTCTGTTTCTGGTCCATTAGTACCGACCCAGGCTGGTCCCTCCCTGCTCCTTGGGTGCGCTGCGACCCTGGCAGCCTGCCTGCCCCCACCTCCGGCCCGCTCTCCCGGGGGTGCGTTTCTGGCCGCCCCTCCACGACGCCTCCTGGCTGTGCTCCAGGAGCCCCCCAAGCTCACCTTCAGCTGCAGCTGCTCGGCTGTCACGTCGCTCACGAAGAAGGAGAAGGACTGGCTCCACACGGGGTCCTTGCTGCGGGGGCACGTCTGGGACGGAGGGAGCGGCGCCGAGGTCAGGGGGAGCCCGCTCTGGGTCAGCTCAGGGGGCACAGCAAGCCGGTGTCCAAGGCCAGGGAGTTTCAGGGGGGCCCAGTCAGACCCGCACCAGGGCTCGTCCCCAGGGTGCTGGGACCCACCAGGGCGTACACTGCGGTGGTGGTTTAGGGCCAAGCTGAGGGCACCCCCCTCCCCACACCCCACCCCTGCTGCTGCGGGCTATGGCGGAAACTGTGAGGTGAGGCGCACCAAGCACCAGTCAGCGCCTGCACCTGCCCTTCTCTGGCTGCTCCCCAGAAACAGCTGAGACCCCCGCCCCCGCCCTCACCCGGCTGCTCCCCAGGCTCTGACCTTGCTCGTGTGGGTCTTCCCACCCACCGACAGCTTGACGTAGGAGGAGGGATCTCTGCTGGCCTTGTTCTGCAAAGGGGGCTTGTCAGGGGCTGCTCACCCCAGCTCCACCCCTCCCCCCGCACCTCTCCTCCATCTCCCCCCACACCCCACGCTCCCCAATTGGCAGACGGGCCAATTCCGCCTGTGAGACAAGGCTGAGAGCCCCCAGGTCCCTGACCCTCCACTGGGAGCAACCCCGAGGGCAGGGCCCCCTGGGGCATCCACACCGAGGACAGGAAGGGCTTTGGCTGCAGGCCCCTGCACCCTGGTGTTGTGGCTCCTCCCCTAGCTGTGCTGCCCAGGTCTTGGTGTCCATTTGTAAAAGGGCACTAAGAAGCGGGCAGAGCCGGGGCCTCGGCCATAACGGAGGGGGGCGAGGTTGAGCTGCAGCACAGACCCTGGTGGTGTCCAGCAGCTCCCCGCGGGAGCAACAGTTCCCATCTGCCCCCGCTGCCCACCGACGGGTGCCAGGGGCCCGGCGCCTGCACACGCGCCCACAGGCACCCGTGCGCACACGCACGCGCACTCACCTTGGCGAACCTGGACAGCTTCTTGGCTCGATACTCTCCGTTCAGGTAGTCGAAGGGGTTTCTCTGGGGCAAGGGAGAGGGCAGGTGAGGGGCGAGGGCTCGGGAGGGAGCTGGGCACGGGGCGGGCTGTGGGTATGGGGCAACTGTGGACACGGGGCGGGGTGCAGGGGTGGGGCGGGCACGGGGCATGAGCAGGGTGGACACGGAGCGGGCTGCAGCCTGTGGGCCTGGACCCAAGCCCCACTCACCGGCAGATTGCAGGCGCTCTCCAGGAAGACCACGAGGAGGGCAGTGGAGAGGCCCCCATGGTCCTGCGGGAACACAGTCCCTCCCTGGGTGCCCGTCTGGGCCGCTGTCAGGGTCCCCACAACCCAGCCCGCTGGAGGTGCCTGATCCCACTGGCCTCTCTGGGCCAAGAAGCCCAGTGAGGGCGCAGGGCCGGGGATCCTCAGTGGGGCCTGGCGCTGGTGCCGTTGCAGGAGAACAGCTGCCTCCCCCTCCCCTCACACAGACCCCCTTCCTGCTGGGAGCGGGACCCTGGCACACACCTCGGTCAGAGCCTCAGGGTCTGAGATGAGCGACAGCCACTCCAGCCGCAGGTGCAGACGCCCGCTGGCCGTGTCGTTCAGCACAAACCACTGGGGGACACAAGAGGGGGACACACTCAGGACGGAGCTGGTGGACTGCCCTAGACCCCTCAGACAGCTCCATCCTGGGGACCCGGGGAAGGGAATGGGGAGGGGCCAGACCGAATGGGCTCTGGGCCTGAGGGATGGGGAGAGAAGGTTCTAGATGGCCCAAGCACCGTGCCCAGGGACGGAGACAGCACTGGGGGCAGGGGCACTCTACCTCATCCACCACCCTGTTGGTCATGACGTCTCCGAGGCATATCTGCAGGCTGCAAACACAGGCGTCAGCTTGGCCGGGAAGCCCACCCTGGACTGTCTCCAGAGACCAGAGGGACTGCCACATGGCACTGGACTCATCCGGGAGGTCCAGGGGTGACTGTGGGGGAACCCCAGCAGAGCCAGTGCTGGAGCCAGCAGGGGTTGGGGCCTGGCACAGTGAACCCCCCTATGCAATGATCAGGGGACCCTGGAACTCAGCACACACCCCCTGCCTGACATACACCCCAAGTGCCAGCGGTCTTGGTCCTGGGAAATGCAAACTGGCCCGGGCGTGACCTTGGCAGAGCCACTGGGTGACAGGGACAGAGGGCTTGTGGGAACCTGGGTTGTGGGCCAGCCCAGCGGCCCTGCAGGCCCGGCTCACCCGTCTCACCTGCCCAGAAAGTCATCCCTGTCGGGATCCTCATCGTACAGGTCGACTTCCAGGTCCTGCCCAGGAACTTCGTGGACGATGAGCTGGAGGCGAGAGCAGCCCCCGCGGAACGCGTGACCCCAGGCGTCGGGCAGGGGCTGGGCAAGCCCACCTGGAGATTGTGCTGAGCAGGGCAGGCAGCTGTGGGCGCTGCCTGGGAACACAGGGCCATGGACTCTGGCAGCCACCAGAGCACTTGCCACGCATGCAACGTGCTGGGGCCCCTGCCGCCCACAAGGTTGTAGCTGTAGCTGGGCTTCCCAATCTGGGCCCGGGGGCGGTGGCTCAAAAGGCTTCAGCAGTTGGTTGGCATGTGGGAGCCCTGGGTTCTATTCCTGGCACCACACAGTCCCCGAGTACCACTATGAGTGGCCCTTGAGTACTGCTGGGTGTGGCCAAAAAACCAAAAGGAAACAAAACAAACAAACAAACAAACAAACAAAAAAACCCCCAGCGTTTGCTTCCTGGATGTCAGCTGTGACCAAGGAGGGCTGAGGCCGAAGGGTGCAGTTAGGCAGTGGAAGGAGCTGGCCGAGGAGTGGCCCTCACACGGGCCCAGGACGTGGGCAGGAGAATCACAGGAACCCGCCCCTCCCCCCCTCCCCCCACCTGTGGTTGGTCCAGCGACCCCTCGGGTCTGAGAGAGCCACAAGGGTGAGGCCATTCTGGTAGGTGCCCAGGCTGGAGGGCAGCAAACACGGGCAGGGGTCTCACCTCAAACACCTCGTTCCAGGTGGGGTTCAGATTCTTGTAGACGGTCTTGCTCCGGCAATGCTGCAGTCCGATGCTCACCTTGGCGTAGGGGTCCGACTTGCCTGGGATCCCCAGGAAGTTGTCCTTCTGGGCCAGGTTCTCCGCTTCCAGCAAGTGCACTCTGATCACACCCTGGAAGACCACCCCCACCCCACCCAGCTCAGGAATGCTGTCTGGGCTGTGCCAGCCTCTGGCCCCAACCCCCCAGCATTCAGATAACTAACACCCTCCTGTCTACCGGGCAGCCTGACCAGTACCCAAGGATGCCGTCACCTCCAACCAGCCACAGGACCTTGATCCTCCACTAAAACAACCTCCAGAACCCTCTGTTACTCCTCCTTCTGCTGTGGGGGCAGGGGGCGGGTATGCCCAGCCCTGTGGGCACTGCCTGCCTCTGACAGTGGGTCTCCGGGCTCATCGAGCAGCACAGGACCTCCCCAGCCCCACCCTCTGGGTTGGGCCTCAGGCAGAACAGGATGCAGGATCAAGGACCCCACCTCCCAGGGGGTGACTGGGCCTCCTGCCCCACCTGTAGCCACAGGTCCACCCCTCACCCCTGCAAGCCTCCTCCGAGATGCTCCCCAAAGGCTGGGAGGGTGAGATGCAGCAGGCAGCTCGGGGCAGTGCTGTTTGGAGGGGGGCTCAGCATAGGGGGGCTACCAGGGGCCCCAGCTAGGGCCCCACGCAACACGGACAAGGTCGGAGGGAAGCTGCTGCCTCCATCCCAGAATGGGGGAGTTCTCTGGGGTCCCCACCGTGTGATGCTATGAGACAGGAGGTGGGGAGTGGGGTGCCAAGACCATGGGGTGGCGGGAAAGAAACCGGTTTCCTTAGCGGGAAGCTTGACAGGGGAGCTGGAGGGCTTGGAAAGGGGAGTCAGGGAGAAATGGACTCTCCAAAGAACACAGAGAACAGTGTCGGCTGCCGGTGGGGGGGGCCCACCTCACACCCCAAAGGGACTTCCCATGTGAGCCTAAATGCCGGGAAGGGAACCTCTCCTGTGGCCAGGACACAGCTGTGGGTGACCCACACTGGAGGGAACAGACCTCAACCTGAGGCCACTAGCCCTGAAGCCTGAGGTCAGAGTGGGGACCGTGAGGCCATCCCTAGTGCCCCTGAGTTGAGCCCCAGGAAGCCCGCACCGGGGGATGTCCATCCCCCAAACACACAGGGGAGAGGGTGCAGATCCGGGATCCGGAGTGAACACCCACAGCCCCCACCTGGCCTTGCTTGTCTCTCCCTAGGGGCGATCCGGGGAGCAAGTCACTCCACCGCGCCCAGACTCAGGCCCGTGCCACCCTCCTCCGGGACACCAGCCCGGGCAGCGGCTCACGTGCGGCAGCGGGAAGCGCAGGCGCGTCACGTCCAGCCCCTTCTTCACCGGCACCGACACGCGGTTGGGCAGCACCAGGTGCGAGGCAATGAGGTCCTCCAGGAGGCTGTCGGACATCTCGCTGCGGGGGGCGAGGCCGCGCTGTGTGTGCCGGGCAGTAGGGCCCGCCCCAGCAGGGTGGGCAGTGGGGTTGGGGGGGTATTGCCTGTGAAGCCCAGGGGCAGGCGTGGCCTCGTGGGGCCCCTGCAGCCCTTCCCCACCAGCTCCTGGTAGGGCAATCCTCCCAGCCTCGAAGCACCCCGAATCACAGGGTGGGGGGTGTCCCCTGTGTGTCTCACTTCACATCCAGGTAAGGGAGGGGGTCGTAGGGACACAAAGGAAAGGCCTGTGCCCACTCCAACTGTGACACCACCCCACACCCCAAGTTTTCTCCCAGGAACCTCAAGACAGAACCAGGCTCTGCTAAGACTGAGAAGAGCCCAGGTCACTTGTCCCAGGTCACATAGTCCTGAGGACCAGAGCCGCAAACCGGGCATCAAGCCTGTTCGTGTTCCGCAGGAGTGCTCCCATGCTTGTATGTGTATGTGTGTGTGTGTGTGTGTGTGTGTATCTAAGGATTTGTGTGTACAGATATGCATGCATGTGTGTGCCTGTGTGAATGTGTATGCATGTGTGTGCAAATGTACATATGTGGGGTTGTGCATGGATGTATGTGTGAGGATGTGCCTTTGTGGATTTGTGTGTGTGTGTGTGTGTGTGTGTGTGTGTGTGTGTGTATGTGCACGCAGGGGGATGTTCATGTGTGGATGCATGTGGATGCTCGTGCCATCCTAGGCTGCCCCTGCCCTTCGGGGCCGCAGACCGGATGGGCCTCCCTGTCCTTGCTGTGGCCCTGCCTGGCTGCTCTGGGGACTCTTACTTGATTCCTGGTGCGTCCAGCAGGTTGGTCAGGCCCGTCCAGTTGATCTGCAAGTGCTGGGGGCACCAGGGACGGTGAGGCTGGAAGGAGGCAGCTCCAGCCCGAGAACTGCATCCCGCCCTCGCTGGCATGGGGGCCCCGCTGGGGGAGCGGGGTGGCAGGGGTGGGCACATCTTTGTCCTGCTGAGGGCTGGCCCTGTGGCCACAGGGGATTCATACCCAACCCAGACCGCGCCCCTGGGGCACTGCCTCGCCTGTCTGAGTTGGTTCACGGTCCTGGGAAGGGGGTGTGGGGCACCTCATGGCCTTCTGCGATACAAGGGGGGTCTTATGAGGGGCAGGGCCCGAGGCTCACCGGCTTCTGCAGGAAGAATAGGGTCACGGCCCCCACGAAAGGCTTATCCACCAGGAGCGGCTCCAGGATGACACGCAGTGTGCCCTGCAACTGGACACTCGGCGTGGGACCCCGCCCCCCTCCCCGCACACTTTGTACCCCACATGCAGGGATGACACCAGGACACCCCCACTGCTTGCTTCCAAGTGCCCACGCTGCATGAGTCCTCCCTCTCCCCCCCCCCCCAACAGCCGCCTCCACCTGCCCCCTGCCAGATACCACCCTCCCCTCCTTCCACCTGGTGCAAAGCTCTGGCTCCCACTTCCCATTTGAGGAGTATCTTTACAAACGTGCCGGCTGAACCCCATTGGCTTTCTGGACCTGTAACCTTGTTCTGTCTCCACCCGCACCCCAGGCCAGAAAGGAGGAAGAGGAGGGGCACCCCCACCTGGATCCCGTTCACACCAGCCTGGATTTTCTGCAGCTCCACGCTGATCTCACAGTCCCCGATGTAGCTGTAAAGAAGGAAGGGGTGAGGGAGGGGGGTGGTCAGAGCGTCCCATCCTGGCTCTCCAGCCTCAGCCTGTGTGGGCTCCGCACAGAAGCTGACCCGCGCCCAGGAGGTAAGTGCCTCTCTGCATCCCAGCTCTGATCTCAAGGGAGGTAACTCTGGGTACCACCTCACAGGCACGGGGAGGCTCCTGCTGTATGCACCGGCTGCCCTCCTCGGCGCCCCCTGCCCCAAGGCCTGTTCCAGGTATGCTTGGAATGGGGGCGTTGGCACTGAGCAGATAAGAGGGACCTGCGGCCAAGCATTGGTTCCAGGGAGCTCAGGACAGGGCCTCGGAGGACCAGACCGGAGGAAGCAGAGGTCAGCCGGGGCTGAGCATGCAGGGCACAGGCAGAGACGCCAGGCTCCTAAATGCCGAGAGCCCCTAGAAAGGGGGGCAGGGAGAGACCTGGGTACCCCAGGGCACACCCCTGAGCTGACAGGAAAGCTGGCTGGGCAGATCAGTGAGTGCCCATCCTGGGGATTCAGGCATGGGCTAGGAGTCCCCATGCCTCCTTGTCCTGTTGCTCCCTCCCGTTAGCAAGGGCCAGAGGCAGTGGCCCAACCTCCCTGAAATAGGCCACGCCCCAAAGGGCCCACCCACCAGCCCCCACCCCGGACCAAGCCACGCCCCTCCACCGGCCACGCCTCCCTCGACCAAGCCACACCCCGTGACCGCCCCCTGGGCCCAGTCCTGAGCCTTGTGGGGTGGGGTCAGCATGTGCGGCCATCCGGCTTGACCACAGCGAGGCCCATTCATTCTGCGTACCCTCCTCTTCTCCCAAGCAGGAGCCTCGTGCTCACCCAGCCCCCACGAAGGGGGCTGTACTACGGGGGGGGGGGCTGCGTGGGGAGAGGCATCCACACCCCAAATAGAGGGCACGGGCAGCCCCTGCGAGCGCTCACCAGATCTGCAGGTCCAGCACCACGCGCCTGCGGTTGCGCTGGTCAGTGTGGGCCTTGACTCCGTTCACGCGGGGACACTGAAAGGGGGAGACACAGTCAGAGGGCTCTTCCGGTAGGGGCAGCCCCCTCTTCCCTCCTGCCACACCAGCGTCTTGTGTGTGTTTCTCCAGACCAGGACAGGAGAGGGCAGTGGCTCCCCCCTCCCACTTTGTCCGCTGTGATTTTATTTTTTCGGGGCGGGGGTCACACACGGCAATGCACAGGGGTTACTTCTGGCTCATGCACTCAAGAATTACTCCTGGCAGTGCCTGGGGACCTTATGGGATGCTGGGAATTGAACCCGGATCAGCCAGCGTGCAAGGCAAACGCCCTACCTGCTGTACTATCGCTCCAGCCCCAACCCCCACCCTGTGATTTCTTATACAATCATTTTGGTCCTAATTTCACCTTTTCAGGGGTGTGTGCCTCAAGAGTGCCCCAACATGCTGAAGTTCTGGCATTTGTAGCTTGTGCTTTGGCAGAACGTTGTGATCTGTTTGGCCTTTGCTTTTTTGGATTTGGGTACATACCTGGCGGTGCTCAGGGCTTACCCCTGGCTCTGTGCTCAGGAATCACTCCTGGTGGGGCTTAGGGGGACCCTATGGGGTGCTGGGGATCGAGCCCAGGTTGGCAAATACCCTCCCTGCTCAGGGAGAGGTTCCCGCTGTACTCTCACTCTGGCCCTGTGACCTGTCTTAAAAATAAAGGATCGTGGGGCTTGAGCAATAGCACAGCGGGTAGAGCGTTTGCCTTGCATGCAGCTGACCCAGGTTCAATCCCCGGCATCCCATATGGTCTCCCGAGTCTGCCAGGAGTAATTCCTGAGTGCAGAGTCAGGAGGAACCCATGAGTATCACCGGGTGTGACCAAGAAAGCCAAACAAATGTAAAAATAAGGTATCTTGGGAAAGGCTTTTAAAGGGGCACCCCAGAATCACAGGCAGCAGGCCTGCTGTGACCTCCAGGCCTGGGTCCAGAGAAGCCCGTGGGCGTGGAGGGCAGGAGATGACTGAGCAGCCCCCTACAGGCTATCTGGCGCGGGGGGCGGGCGCTGTGAGAGCCAGCAGCACCCCCTGCAGAGACTATAATGGGGCAGCTGCACCTGGAGGGAGGCCCTCCCAGAGGAGGGACGCCACTAAGGGGCAGGCAGGGCGGCCGGCACAGGGTTCACCAGGCTGCGGCTGACCTCTGGGCCTCGGCCACACTCCTGCAGGGACTGTGACTCCAGCCACACGTGACACCCAGGTCCTGTTCGTGACACCCCATAGCCGTCCTTCCCTGGGTCTCCCCAGCAGGAGAGAAGTGCTCAGAGAGGTTAAGGCACAGGCCCAAGAGCACCAGCATACTGGGCTCTGCAGAGCCGAGGACCAGGCGGGGCGGGGGTGGGGGGTGGGAATCAGGCATACACCTGTGCAGGAGTGGAGGTCCTGGCCAAGCCCAGGTGGGACCCTCAGCAGCTTCCACACAGAGAGGAAAGCGGAGGGGGTGGGGGAACAGGTCAGGACATGAAGGCCATCTGGTCAGTCTACAGGTCCCGAGCTGGATCCTCCTGTGTGGTCCAGTCATCCCTCTGTCCCTGCCACCACAGGGGCTTCCTCTCCGGCAGATCAGCTACCTGACCGAGCAAGCTCCACAAGCTCTCCTGAACTCTTCCGAAGCCACTTCTGACACCACCCCCTCCAGGAAGTCTTCCCTGACTACAGCCCCCCACCCCTCCACTCTTGATCTCATGCATTCCTCCAACGTTGGGCGTGCCTTGCCTGGGTGTCATCTGTCACTGACAGGACAGGAAGGTAAGGCCACGGCCACACCCATCTGCCCACAGTGCTTGCACTCAGCCGCACTCGGGCCCTGAAGGAAGCTAGAAATGAACAGATGGACCCACAGACGGTGAGACTAGTGGAGCTGGAAGGCAGGCACCAGAGTGAGCACCGCTCAGGCCTGCTTCTCCGACTCAGCTCTGGGGACACACACTGAACCCCCATACCTGGGTGCTCCCAGGCAGACCAGATGCCAAGGCCTCTACAGAGCAGGTGGTGGTTATCACTGGGCTCCGGCCCGGGGACGAGGCTCAGAGGGTCACAGTAAGAGTCACAACAGGAGGGACGGTGCCAGGGACAGAAGCCCAGCCTGGAACACAGGACAGATGTCCCCAAACAGGACTTGCCACATGGCTTGTAGGTCATTGGTGATCCGAGAATGAGACCCTTCCAGTCTCCTCTCTGCTTGCTGAAGGGTGCTCCCTGGCCGCGGGGACGGGCACACATCTTGGTCCCTGGCACCTTCTCCCCTGCGGCACGTTTCAAAGTCTTCTTACCAGTGAAATGAGCTCAGAGGGCCAAGAGCACACCTTGTGTTCTGGACCCTTGGCACTGCGGGGTTCCCTATACACATTCAGGCATGGGTACTGAGTACTGAGCTGGGAGTAGCCCCTGAGCACCGTGGGGTGTGCTTCCCAAACCAAAAAGACGTGCGAAGGTCCAGGGGTGTGGATCCAGCGCTAGCCACAAGTGCTTTACAGGGCTGAGGCCCTATTTGATCCCCGGCACCACATGGGCCATCAGAACTAGGGGGTGTAGCTCCCACAAGAGATTTTTAAAGAGTGGGGGGGTGAGAAAGATAACACAGTAGGTAGCGTGTTGCTTTGGCAGAGCCAACCCGGACTGATCCCTGGAACTACATATGATCTTCCTGAGTCCCGCCACGAGTTACCCCTGAGCACAGAGCCAGGAATGGTCCCTGAGCACAGAGCCAGGAGTGAGCCTTGAGCACAGAGCCAGGAGTGATCCCTGAGCACAGAGCCAGGAGTATGCCCTCCGCACAGCTGGGTATTTTCAAAATAAAACAACCAAGAAAGTCTGAACAGTCCTGTCAAGCAATACAGTTTTCAAACAACTGACCTAAGCTAAGTGGTGTCCACCCCTGCTTCACCCCTGGAAGGCCTGGGGTGGGGGGCCGACGATGAAACTGAGTCCCTATCCTCGGAGCCCCCCAATTCCTCCCCTCCATGACCACTTCCCTTCTTCTCTCCCAGCCGGTGCCTTAGAGCTGGGCTGAGGGACGGGCCGGTGGCCAGAGGCTGGAGAGTGAGGGGGCTCGGGATACCCACCTTCTGCCCGAAGTTGAGCTTGGTGAAGGCGAAGGACCTCAGGTGGGCACTCTTCTCCCGGATCTTGGGCTCAAGCTTCTCCCGGAACTTGCTCTCTATGATCATGCTGAAGTAGGGCCAGGTCTGTGAGATGATCTGCCAGGAAGGAGGGAGGCAGGGGGTCAGGGCGTGCCCCCCAAAGTAAGGCGAGCCCCCCTTCTCCTCTGCTGCCCCCCACCCTGTCCTCCCGTCTGTCTCACAGAGATCCCAACAGCGGCCGGCCCTGGGCTGTGTGACCCCTGGATTTGGTGTGGTTTTGCGGAGCACCAGGAAACAGTTACCGAGGCTGGGATGTGCAACCAGCCACTCTGAACCCACACAGTGAATTAGAGCCGCCGGGGAGGCTTCTGGGGAAAGTCCCAGAGAGAAACCTGGGTTTCCTGTGGCAGACTGTTTTGTTCGTCTTGGGGTCACACCTGGCTGTGCTCAGAGCTTACTCCTGGCTCTCTGCTCCAGGGTCAGCCGGGCAGAGCTCTGGAGCCCATGTGTGGGGCCAGGATTGAACCTGGTTGGCCACCCGCGAGGCCAGCACCATGCCCTGCCGTGCTATCACTCTGGACCCAGTGGAGGCCAGCCTGACCAGGGACCGAGCAAAGGCCGCTGCTGGCTGCGTGCTGGGCCCAGCTCATGGCGCTGTTTGGGGAACTGAGCTCAGCACCTGGGGCCAGGCCAAGGGGCAGCAGGACAGCGCTGGAGGCTGTTTGGGGGAGAAGACCCAGCCTCTCTTTGCGACCCGGGACTCCTATTAAAGGGGCGGCTCTCCCCTTCTGAGCCCTCCACAGGAGGTGGAGTTTGTTTGTTTGTTTGTTTGCTTGCTTTTTGGGTCACACCCAGCGATGCTCAGGGGTTACTACTGGCTTTGCACTCACTCCTGGCGGTGCTCGAGGGACCTTATGGGATGCTGGGAGTCGAACCCAGGGTCGGCCACATGCAAGGCAAATGCTCTACCGGCTGTACTATCGCTCCAGCCCCAGGAGGTGGAGTTCGGGGGCTTTATCGCCCCCATCTCCCTGAGGGGCTTCCTGGGAAGCTGCTCCCTTCGTCCCATCATCTGCCAAGAGCACCAGGCTCTGGGACATCATGTCAGAGTGGTTTGGTCTTGTGCAGTGTTTCTCACAGTGAGGGGCACTGGAACAATCCAGGGGGCAGTAGCTGCCTTGGGGGGTTGCTGGGGAACACTTTTTGTTTTGTTGCTTATAACGGTTGACTTTCTGGGGGCATGCTGAGTGATTTTTTAGCCTGTGGCCTAGAGTGTGTGCTCCTGGGGCTGAGTGCTCAAGAAGCGCATCTCACAGGTGAGTGAGGGACTCTGATGCAGGCGGGGACCAGGGAACCAGTCACACATTCAGCAGGGGCTCAGTGCGGGGTCCCACGCCAGCCCACAGACACGCCCTCAGTCTGCTCCGTGCACGGGGCGCCCACAGGCCGGGCACATGCTCCATGCACTTGACAATGACGTTTTGGAGTCTCAGTCTGACCGAAGGGGTGTGTGTGGCGCAGAGGGGCTCTACGTTGAGCCTTCACCTCTGCGGACAGCTAAGCACATCTGGTGGGGGAGACCGTTTCCCAGGGCTGGGGCCAGCCAGGGTCTGCCAGCACGTACCCTGACAATGACTGGTCTGCTCACGAGGTGCAGGCAGCAGTCCCCAAAACCCACTTGCGAGGCTGGAGTGATGGCACAGGAGGCAGGGTGTTTGCCTTGCACGTGGTCAACCCAGGTTTGATCCCCAGCATCCCTTACGGTCCCCCCGAGCACTGCCAGGAGTAATTCCTGAGTGCAGAGCCGGGAGTAACCCTTAAAAATTACCAGGTGTGACCCAAAAATCAATCAAACAAACAAACAAAAACAAAAAATAAAAACCCGCTTGCTTCCCACACTCCCCAGTATCAGTGATTGTCAAGGCTTCTCACAGGAGGGGCCCAGCCAGGGCCAAACCCAGCACTTGCTGTGATGGGGCGTGGGGGAGGGGTTGCTGCATTTTTCTCTCTGCTAGTGTGTTTTCTACCTTTTGGAACAGCACTGCACAATAACTCCATGCACACCGGACAATGCTTTCAGGAATGAAGTCAAGGGAGACGGACAAGCAGAGAGGTGGTAGGGATAGAGGGGGAGAGACCATCTGGGGGACCCAGCCCCGCCTGGCCTTACCTTGTTGGCCCACTCCACTCGCTCCACATCAGGAAAGTGGATCTACAAGAGAAGTTCGAGGGCAGTTAGACTCAGAACCTGCTAAAGGGCCAGGGAGCACCTGCACCCTCCCCGTTCTGCGCACCTACAGACATGGCATGTTTGCTCATGGGCAGGGCCCCTTGGCATTGCCTTTGCATATGCAAATAAACCAGGGTCCTCCTTTGCATATGCTAATAAGCCAGGGTCCCTTTTGAGTATGCTAATCAGTCAGGATCCCCTTCCCTGAAGAAGCCCAGAACCCCCCAGATGGGGGCTCCCTCTGGTGACACCCACGTTTCCTCCTTGCAAATTCCGGTTCCCTTATTCATAGTGACACAAATGAGACCAGGCAGCTAAGCCAAAGGAACGTTCTTACCTGGTCCCAGAGCACACCCAGCCACCGGGCCAAGGGGCCCAGCCTTTCCCCCACTTCCCCTCAGAGGGGCCTGTGCTCTCTCCTGAGGTCACACACATTCATCCCATGCTGCTGCTGTCACTGGCCCATGCCCAGGGGGAGTGTTGTGGGTGACCCTTGTCAGCTCCCAGGTGTCGCACCCAAGCCTCACCCCTTCTCCATGTCCCAGAGCTCAGGCAGGCAGACTTTCCTTCAGCCCCTAGCACCTCCCCTCAACACACACACACACACACACACACACACACAGCCTCTACTGTGTGAATCCCACTACACACCACCCCGAGAGGGGTCCCTGAACAGCTGGGGCAGGCCCAGTGGCAGACCCAATGACAGGTACAATGATAGGCCCAGTGACAGATGCAATGGCAGAACCAATGACTGGTACAATTACAAGCCCAGTGACAGGCCTAGTGACAGGTCCAGTGACAGGCTCAGTGACAGGCCCAATGGCAGAACCAAAGACAGGCCCAGTGTCAGACCCAATGGCAGACCCAACGACAGTTACAATTACAAGCCCAGTGGCAGGCCCAACAACAGGCCCAGTGACAGGCCCAGTGATAGTTCCCTAGGACTGTCCAGCACCAAAGCAAGACAGTGACAGACCCAATGACAGACCCAACAACAGGCCCAGTAACAGACCCAATGGCAGGCGCAGTGACTGGCTTTCAGAGTGGATGACTGATTAAGGGGCTTGACCCCCTCTCCAGAGGGCCCCCATCTCCCAATACGGTTGCGGACCTTCTCACCTGCTGCCACCCTGCCCAGCTCTTGGAGGGGTTTCTGTGTCAAAGCAGTGGAATCATCGGGGCATGAGGCAGTGTGACCAGATTCCAGGGCCTGGAAGCGCCTGAGGAATGGCAGGGGCCTGCCCTTCCCACCGGGGCTCAGAAGACTCATGTCCAGGGGCCGAGCAGTGGAGCCCCCAGACCATCCCCGAAGACACCCCACCAAGGCCAGGTGCTGGTGGCTCCTGGGACAGGCTGCTCTCCTAGCCTTAGGCTGCCCAGCGCACACAGGCTCAGAGGCGGAGGGGAACTACCACCTGGCCCAGCTCCCAGAAACAGATGCCAACTACAACGGGAAGAATCTTGCGGGCGGGGGGGGGGGGGGGGCAGGCCAGGCCCTGCTCATTCCCTATTGTGTCCCAGGTCACCTCCTGAGTCGAGACCACGTCAGTGGGACTAAGGTCAGGAGCCGGGGGCCGGTCGAGATCTTTTCACTGTTCCCTAGGACTGTCCAGCACCAAAGCAAGAATGACCATGGTCCCTGAGAGGGGTCTGACCGCACGGCTGCCTCCACACAGACTCTGATGGCCTCTGTAAGCTTGTGCCCTTCCCAAGGGCTGGGCGGAACTGCCCCATGAGCCCCGTGGACCTGAGCTCTCAGATCTCCCAGGAGACCCACAGACGTGCTCCCTCTTCCAGGCCCGAGTGTCCTGATAAGTGTTTGTGGAATGAAGGAGTGAATGTATGAATGAACGAATGAATGCAAGGCTCTTGCCCTTAGAAGCTTCCAGGCTAGTACGGGAGGCAGCGAGGAGCCACCCAGCACTACTGCCATGCACAGGGAGGAGGGGTGCTCCCAGCTGGCACCCGGTGCCTCTGGCCCTACCGCTGCCCCTCCACCCACCTCCCCACCTCGCATTTCCCATCCTGGCCCACCGCACCTCTGCACTCCCCTCCTCACCTCCCTGGGATCCTGAGGCTGGGTCCAGGGAGGATCCTGGCCCAAGTGGAGCTTGTTGGACCGGGATCCCGAGCCCGGCTCACACCTCTGGAATTAGTGTCGGGTGGGGCCACTAATTGGTTCCTAACAAGCTCCTGGCATGATTCTGGAGCTCAGCCAGGAGTGCTGGGGAGGAATCCATGCCCAGCCTGCCCCGTCTACCAGGGTGACCTTCGCGTTCACTCCCTCAGTGGAGACAGTGGGTACCCGGCCACCTGGCAGCTTCGCTGGTCTCCGAGGCTGCCACACAATACTGGAATGTCCTGCAGAGAGCAGCTGTTCAGAGCCAGAAAATAAAGTCGCGTTGGTCACCTGCCCTGCTGAGGCCCAGACCTCCCCTATGAGGTCCTCTTCCGTCTCCCTGCTCCTGAAAGTCCAGACTGGGGCTGCCCCCACCAGTGTCCACTCGTGGTTCCTCAGACGTGTCAGTTCTTCCATTTTAAAGCGGCTTCTGAAATCCTTCCCTAGCCCAACTCAGCATCATTCTACTATTTCTTCATTTTTATCTACTGACTTTGTTTTAGCCTTCACATGTGGCCCCTCAGCTGCTGTAATCTGGGGAGGGGGGTGCAGCCATACCTTGGTGCTCAGGCCTTGATAGTAAGTTTTCTATCTGTGGAGTATTTCCTTTTTTTTTTCTTTTTGGGTCACACCTGGTGATGCATACGGGTGTGTGTGTGTGGGGGGGGGTGTTATTCCTGACTCTGTACCTCAGGAACCACTCCTGGCAGTGCTTGGAGGACCATGTGGGACACTGGGAATCAAACTCAGGTCGACCTTGTGTAAGGCAAACGTCCTACCCGCTGTGCTATCGCTCCGGCCCCTGAAGTATTTCCTTTTATTCACATCTTACTTTGTTCACATTTAGAATCAGAAACTTGATACATTCTTGGACATTTTTAAAAAAGCTTTATGGGATTGCTGATGTTTTGGGGGGGACCCACACGCAGCGGTGCTGTGGGATACTCTGGGGTCAGTGCTCAGGGGTCCTTCCCAGCATTACTCGAGGATCCATGCAATTCTGGGGACTGACCCTGGGAATCCTACACAAAAGCACGTGCTCAGCCCCTTAAGCTGCAACCCCACCCCCAACTCTGGCTTTTTTTTTCTATTAAAAATCTCATTTTCCAGGCAATACTGTTGAGCTGTTACCAGTCCTAATTCTTTTTTTCCATATATTGAATTTTTATTGAATTCGTTAATGTTAGAGTTCTTGCGATGCCAAACCATGCCTCAGAATTCAAAGAAAGAAATGGTACAATGGACAGTCTCATCTACCCATCACACAGCAGATTAGTACTTGGTTCATGTGCATTTTGATAATTCCACAATCTAATCTCGTCCTAAGTTTTTATTTACTTTGAGATGTTCTTGGTATACATTTCTAGTCACCAAACCACGATAGGCCTTGCAACTCCTCACCCATAAGCCTCTTGTTTCTTGTTTGAGACCCCCACTCTGGACTTTTTAGCACACCGTGGGCCAGGCAGGAGAGGGGTGAGTCAGCGCCTACCTAGTCCTGAGTGCAAAGGGAAATATTCACGGTTTTTGCCATCAGTTCCTCGAGGACATCCTCTATCCAGCTGAGGCTCTTTTCAATTCCTAAGTTTTCAACCATTTTCATGATCATTGTGTCCTGTACTATACTCAGTGCTTTCACAAATCTACGGAGATTTTATTTTTCCTCTCCCTCTGTCTAGCTAAACTGAAGATTGTTTCTGTGCTTGTTTGTTTTGCAGTGGAGGGGATTAAACCCAGGTAAGGCTTATGTTCTGCCTCTGAGTCACATTCCTGGCCTGAAGATGCTTTCGAAAGCAAAACCACCTCAAGTTCCTGAAATGTCTTTAGTCCCATATTTCCTTGAGTTTTTATAGTCAGGGTTCAAAGTGACACCTACAATTTTATTCTCAAACAATTTACATTTGGTTAGGTGGAAAGATTTGAATCAGTTGTAAAATGAGTATGAATGATTGGGGTGGGTTTCCTTATTGTGTTTTTGAAATAACTTGTAAATATTGGAATTATTTGATCCATTACACATACACACACTCACACACACATATACAAACATCTTATTTTTAAGCTTTTAAGGGCTGGAGCAATAGCACAGCGGTAGGGCGTTTGCCTTGCACGCAGCCAACATGGCCGACCCGAGTTCGATTCCTCCGCCCCTCTCGGAGAGCCCGGCAAGCTACCGAGAGCATCTCGCCCGCACGGCAGGGCCTGGCAAGCTCCCCGTGATGTATTCGATATGCCAAAAACAGTAACAACAAAGTCTCCAATGGAGACGTTACTGGGCCCGCTCAAGCAAATCGATGAACAACGGGAGGACCGCGACCATGACCGAAGGGCAAAATACTCTTTCTGAATTTGGTGGCAAATGCTGTATTCAAGACGTACTTTTTTTTAAAATTGTGGTAAAGCTGCTACTTGTCTTTGTCCAGCAACATAACAGTGTCATTTATTCATCAAATACATTGATGAATACTATATTGATATATAGTTGTTTATAATCTGTCCATATGTTACATCTACAGTTATTTGTTCCTTTTTCATTCCATGTTTTTATCTACTTTTTTCATGACAAAGCTTGACAGTGGTTTTGCCAGTTTCACTAGTCTTTTCAGAGAACTAGCTTTTGTTGTTAATAATTTTCTTTCTCCCTTTCTACTCATTTTTATCCTTATAGTTATTACTTCCTGCCTTATTTCTTTGATCTAAAACTGTGGCTCTTTTATGTTCTTAGTGTTGAATTCTGGATCTGAGTTAAATCATTTTCAATTTTTGTTTTATGACAAATTCAAAGTCATAAATTCCCCTACAACTTTTGGCTATGTTTTCATAGCTATTCCACTGTTTTTAAAATAAGTTCCAGTATGAC